AAACATTATGGGAAAGAGGGTTAACCCTAATCTATAATATTTTAAGGTCGATTTAAGAATATAAAATTTAATTTTAATAAATAAAAAATATTAAAATTATAATAAAAATAATTAATAATTTGTTTTAAAAAATAATTTTTAATCATTATTATAACAAAATTTATATTAAAAAAGAGATTAGTGACATATAAGTGACATCATATCATGTCGAAAGAGAAGGGCACGTAGGCAGCTCCCATTTATGCCGACAGATTATTTTTTCCGATCACAAGTCGGTGTCTTAAGTTTATGGGCCCTCTCTTGTTATTTCTGCTGCCAATACTTCAAGCACTATTTAATTGCCTAAGAGTATTATTTTTTTGATAAAGATAAGCTAAGAGTATTTTAAGAATATTAGTTAATAAATAGTAAATAAATTAATTGAGTGGTTTTATATTATTTTAAATTATAAATATTATTTTTATAATTTTAATAATATTTTAAATATATTTATTAATATTTAAAATTTAATTTTTTCACTTTAAAATTACTTTATAACTATTTTCAATAACCTCGTTTTTTTTCATATTTCTTTATGACAATTTCATTCTCATTATTAAAAGCTAAAAAATAAATTATCCAACCTAATTTGAAGTAATATAGTTTAAATTTTGGGTTCTAAATGATAGAAAATAATTAAAAAGAGAGGAAATCTCAATTTAAAAGATAAGTAAAGGTTTCAATCTACAACTTGTGAAATGTAAATTTTATCTTATTTCACTTTACTATTTTTTTTAAAGTTTAATTTTACTAAAATAAATTTCTTTTTTTTAAACTAAGAAACAGTTACTTAAACTTAACCTAAACTTAACACACCTCACTTTAACTTGAGTAGATGAACTTGAATCTAACCCACAAAACCCTACCTCTTAAAATTCTAACTCATAAAAACTCAAGTAGGAGGGAGTGATGCATATTTAACTTAAGCGACGTGACTTAAAAAAAACTTATCAAGTTAACTCAAACCTAACCCTAATTTGAATTTAAATTTTAAAATAATATTTTAATAAGTATAATTCAATTATTATAAGCATACATTTAGATTATTTCTTATGAAATTAAATTTATCTTTAACTAAACTTCAATCCTTAAACAAAACAAAATAATGTCATAGTTTTGCTTATGTTATGTGTATGATTTTTCCTTTTAAAACTAAAAGGTTTAAATGTGTCTAAACAAAAAAAATATATATATTATAAATATAAAAAACTATTTCATATTGATTAACTACACAACACTTCATATTTTGATGCACTTAATTTAAATAGTTACGTGTTAATTAGGTGTTAGTGTCTCTCAATAAATTTTGATATTTTTCTAGTAAACGGTATTGCTTTATTTATATATGTATTTTTAAAATATTAATAATCAAATAATTAATTACTCGGTTTCGTGAACGCAGCTAATTTAACGCAGTTATTTACTTCAATTTTTTTTATAGATGACATTTATGAGACCGAATAATATCGATTTTTATAATAAGTGCTTTTACTTTTTATAAGTATTGACATTTATGATTATTTTTTTTAATCAAAATAAGTTACTTCATAAATGGCAACATTAAAGTTGTTCCTATGTTTTTAATTCAAGATTTAATTATTTTTTTCACTCTCTTTCTGCCGAATCAAATGGAACACACCATTGTAAAATATAAGTTATTTTTATTAATAACTTTTTATACGATAAATTTTATTTTAACTTTTTTACTTTAAAATTATTTTTATACTTATATTTAGGTAACTTTGTAAAGAACTAGGTAAATTTATTTAGATTTTTGTTTCATCACAGTCATTTTTCTTCATTTTTTTATGACAATTTCATTCTCACTATTAAAAGCTAAGAAAACAAATTATTCAACTTAATTTGAAGTAATATAATTTAAATTTTCGGTTCTAGATGAAAAAAAAAATTAAAAAGAGGAAAGTGTCTCAATTTAAAAGATAAGTAAAGGTTTCAATCTACTACTTTTGAAATGTAAGCTTTGTCTTATTTCACTTGACTAATTTTTTAAAGTTTAATTTTTTTAATTTTAGTAAAATAAATTTTTTTTTAAACTAAGAAACAGTTACTTAAATTTAACCTAGACTTTAACACACCTCACTTTAACTTTAGTAGATGAACTTGAGTCTATCTCACAAAACCGTAGTTGTCAAAATTCTAACTCAAAAACTCAAGTAGTAAGAAAGGATGGATATTTAACTTGAGTAAAATGATTACAAAAATACTTAATAAAAAATTTAGCAAGTTAACTCAACGAAACCCTAATTTGAATTTAAATTTTAAAATCACATTTTAATAAGTATAATTAAATTATGATAAGTAAACATTTAGATTATTTCTCATTAAGTTAAATTTAGAGTTTTGTTAAGGGTTGAGTTTAAGCATTCACAAATAAAAAAAAAATTATCTTTAAAGTTATATTAAAGTTATAAAAATATAATAAATACTTATTTTTCTAATAAAATATTTTTATTATTAATTGTTTATTCTCATCTCTAAGGGCTGAATTCAACAAAACTTTTAAATTTATCTTTAACCAAAATTTCATCTTTAAACTAAATAAAATAATATCACAATTTTACTTATGTTATGTGATTTTTTTTTCAAGTTTAATAAGTTTTAGATGTGTTTAAACATAAAATAATATATTATAAACATAAAAAACTATTTTATATTTATTAACTAAACAACACGTCATATTTTGATGTACTTCATTTAAATAGTTGAGTGTCAATTACGTCTTAGTGCCTCTTGATAAATTTTGCTATTTTTCTAGTAAATGAAATTGTTTTATTTATAAATGTATTTTAAAAACATTAATAACTAGATAATTAATTATTTAGTTTCGTCAACGCATCTAATTTAACACGAATATTTACTTCAATTTTTTTTATATATGACATTTATGAGAATGAGTAATATCAATTTTTATGATAAGTGTGTTTACTTTGATAAGTATTAACATTTATGATATATTTTTTTTAATTGAAATAAGCGACTTCATAAATAGCAAAATTAAAGTTGTTTCTATGTTTTTAATTTAAGATTTAAATTTTGTTCTCTCTTTTTACCGGATCAAACAGAACACACCAATGTAAAATAATAGTTATTTTTATTAATAACTTTTTACATGGTAAAATTTATTTTAATTTGTTCACTTTAAAATTATTTTGTAACTATATTTAGGTCACCTTGTAAAAGAACTAGGTAAATTTATTTAGGTTTTTGTTTCATCATAGTCTTTTTTCTTCATATTTCTTTGATGATAATTTCATTCTCAACTATTAAAAGCTAATAAAACAAAACTAAATAAGATAAAGTTTATCTTATTTTACTTGACTAATTTTTAAAAGTTTAATTTTTTTAAATTTTAGTAAAATAATTTTTCTCTTTTCAAAAATAAAAAATAGTTATTTAAATTTAACCTATACTTACACACCTCACTTTAACTTAAGTAGATAAACTTGAATTTAACCCACAAAATCCTACCTCTCAAAATTCTAACTCATAAAAACTTAGGTAGTGGGAAGGGATGAATATTTAACTTGAGTGGCATAACTAACAAAACCTAGGAAGTTAACTCAAGCTTAACTCTAATTTAAATTTAAATTTTAATTAATATAATTGAATTCTTACAAGTACATATTTAAATTATTTCTAATAAAGTTAAATTTATCTTCAACTAAATTCCAAACTTTAAACTAAATAAAATAATATCACAATTTTGCTTATTTTATGTGCATGTTTTTTCCTTTCAATTTTAATAAATTTAAAAGTGTCAAAACATATGATGAACATTGAATATATATGTATATATATATATATATATATTATAAATATAAAATTTTATTTTATATTTATTAATTATTAAACACGTCATTGTTATTATATTTGAATTTGAATAATTATAAGTCAATTACATTTTAGTGTCCCTTGATAAATTTTTATATATATATTTTAAATAAACGGTATTATATATATTTTAAAAATATCACCGACTAGATAATTAATTACTTAGTTTGGTCAACGCGCTTAATTTAACGCAATTTATTACTTATATTTTTTTAAAATTTTTTATGGATGCATTTATGAAACTGAATAATTTTGATTTTTTAATAAGTACTTTTACTTCAATAAGTAATAACATTTATGATTTTTTTTATATAATCGAAATAAACGACTTCATAAATGACAACATTAAAGTAGTTTCTATGTTTTTAATACGAGATTTAATTTTTTTTACCCTCTTTTTACCGAATCAAATGGACCCACAAATGAAGGTACGTAGTTTCTATTAATAACTTTTTTATACAGTAAATTTTATTTTTTAATCATTTAATTAAAATTTTTATAAAAATGGTTTAAAATTTTTATATAATACAAATATCAACAATGCTTAGCATAATACACTTTTTTTTTCATTAAACTGTATATTTATAAATGTTTTAATATTATGTGAAAGTATACACATATATAACCAAGATAAAGTCATATTGTTAATAAGTATATTAACAGAATGATTAAAAATAAAATATTTATTATTCAACAAAACTTGAAGAGAAGAGTGTTTTATAAAACAGTAAAAGATGGCGGTTAAAGTAAGAGTAAAAGTAAAAGTCTGCACATAATAGATGCAGAGGTTAATGCAATGGCAAAAATTTGAAAAGCTTTAGAGAGTGAGACACCTCTTTTTGTGCAGACCGGTTATTGATGACCACATCCTCTTCCCCTCTCTTATCTTCAACTCCGAGTTCAAACAAATTAATAATAAATATTATATCTCTAAAATTTATTATTATAATAACTCTCGTTATTATTACAACCAATATAAATAAATACACAATCTTATTATCCTTCATCGTTCAATTCACTCAGCTCACCCTCTGGAGTCGAATTTTTTCATTGTAGATCTTCTCCCTTAGTCGCATACCAAGCGATTACAGCACAAACCCATTTTTATTTTATTTTTTTAGAAAAAGTGGAGAGCGACATGGAATTTGACGAGCACGAAGACCAAGACCAAGAGGAAGAAGAAGAGGAAGAGGAGGAAATGGAGTTCCCCTTGGCGGCGCCGCCGGGTTACGACTCGCTCGGAAACACGGCGGCCAGGACCAAAATGAACGCTACCGAGGGAGTTCCTGTTGCAGCCTCCGTCAATTCTGGTCGCAAAAGCGTGTCCACCGCCGCCGTCAGATACCGAGAATGTCAGAAGAACCACGCCGTCAGCATCGGCGGCCACGCCGTCGACGGCTGCTGCGAGTTCTTGGCGGCCGGAGAAGAAGGCACGCTGGAGGCCGTAATCTGCGCCGCCTGTAACTGCCACCGGAATTTCCACCGCAAGGAGATCGACGGCGAAATTAACCCTTACCACCAGCAGCCGCGCTCGCAGCCTCAGCCTCAGCCGCTTCACCCTCAGTACCACCACCAATTCTCCCATTACTACCACCGCACGACGCCACCTCCCGCTGCCGGATACCTCCACCACCACCACTTGGTCACGCCACCGGTGTCGCAACACCGCCCCCTGGCTCTGCCTCCTGTGGCGTCTGCCGGGGTTTTCAGCAGAGAAGAGGAAGACATGTCAAACCCCAGCAGCAGCGGCGGCGGCGGCGGCGGAGGTAGCGGCAGTGGAACGAAGAAGAGGTTTCGGACAAAGTTCACGCCGGAGCAGAAGGATAAGATGCTGGCATTTGCGGAGAGTGTAGGGTGGCGAATCCAGAAGCATGATGAAGCTGCTGTGGAGCAATTCTGTGCTGAGACATGTGTCAAGAGACACGTCCTCAAGGTTTGGATGCACAATAACAAACACACCCTTGGTAAGAAACCCTAATTTCAGATTCTTAATTTCTCTCTTTCAATTTTTAGGTCGATATCATCATAATGGTTGGGCATTTTTGTTATCATTCTGTCTAGTCAATAGGATAAGTTGGATTACCAGAGTTAATTGTGTCTCAAGTTTTCAAAAGAAGAAAGGAACAATTTGTAATCTAAAATTTTAATTAATGAAGATCTTTATTATTTCTAAATTCTAGCTAGGGTTCTTACTCTCATTCATTCTTAATTATTTTATCATGCGATGTGATTTTAGCTGTACATATTGGCTGATTCTGAGCAAACCTTGAGCAAGGAAGGGATCAAACGGCGAGATTAACATTAACTGCTATACATACAATAATTGCGAATATTTCTCCTAAAAGGGAAATTATAACCAAATAAAGAAAAAGAACTGAATTTGGAAGTTGATGAAGTGATAGTGAGGAGGAGTATGGAACTGAAAAATGGACACGAGCACAGAGAATAAAATCCAATATAAGTTGAATTTAACGTGTATGGCATGCAAGTGCAAAGCTGTTTAAGTTTACTTTGTGTTGCTTCACATCTGTCGTCTTTTCCTGTTTTTCCTCCTTAACACCGCTCTAACCTTTATTCTCGCTTCTCTCTCATATTAATGTCGCTTTTTCTTTGCCTTTTCTGGACACACTTCCACGTACGCGACCTGCAATTTCACATACCATTTAATGAGTCAAAGAGATTCATGATCCAAAAGTGAAGTGACACCGTTTTCTTTTGGTCGGATTCAGCCATAGACAAATCATTCCACTATTTTATGTTCCTTTTGACGTTATTTTCAGTTGTTTGTTTGCGCGATTTGTTCAAGACTAGGTACCGCGTCCTCCTATATTAATTGTTCCACGGACTTTCAGTTAATTTCTTCCTTTATGTGTTGGGTCGCTGTGTCTTGAATTAATTTTCTCTAAAAATGAAAACAAGTCTTTCTAATTAATCTCATTCCCGCATGTGTTGGATTAGTTTCGCGTGAAAAAGCGAGAAAGCAATCGAAAAACAATATTCACTGTGAGTGGGTATTTCACGCGGCAAACTCGTACACTGTTTGCCTGTTGCGTCGCAGATCACTGTCTTGCAGATCAGACATGCAGACTTTTTCTGATTTTGATGAACACTGCTCCACGTTAATGCTGCTCTATCCACTTTTCCTTTCTTATTTCATTCTAGTTTTCCGGTTTATATGCATATACTTAAGATTTTAATTGGTGCATTTTTCTCTCTTTTATGGGGCTGTATTTATCTTTAATCTATTTAAACAATCGGAAAATGATGTTTAGTAGGAATTTTTCAGTATGGAAATGGACGAGGAAGTTATAATGAAAAATCGGAAAAACAATTTCTCTCTTTCCTCATGGACGGACAGTCATGTGATAATTTTATCATTCATTTTCAATTTGTTAAAATTCAAAAGAAAAAAAAAACACATGCTGTATCATTTTTTAAGATAAATTTTATTTATTCATTAAATTTGTTCAATCTTTTTGTATAATAAAGAGAGAAAAAATATCATAAGATAATTGATGTGAAAAAAAAGAATAAAAGTGTTATGAAAATATTGTATAAATAATACACTTTTTAAATAAATAATATACTAATTCTTCAAATTAGATGCTTAAAGAAGATTAATTAAAATGAGAAACACATATGACAGTTATATATATATATATATATATATATATAATTTAAACATTTATTAGTATGTTATTTAAAATTTTATATTTATTTATTTTTTAAGAATATATTATACATTAAAATAAACTAATACCATAAAATTCATGTTAATTATATTTTTATATAAAATTAATTTATTCAATGAAAACTTGTAAATCTACAATATATATATATATATATATATTATAATTTATCTCAGCTGTTTTGGTTGATGCAATTTACCTTAAGACGATCATAGCTCGGGAATTTGATTTGTGTAAAGACATGCAGTTGTCGGCAAAACTACTAAGTGTACTGCTTAATCAATTTAACTGCCATGTGTGAAGCTCTACTAAATTTGCTGTCATACCCTTTCAATTGAGTATGGTAGTAGCAAGCAATGCGATTGAGTTAAATTGATAAGACCTTGATGATTCAAACAAATTTGTTGCTGATGGTCTAGTACGTAATGCACAGGGGTTGGTTTTCTTAATCATGCACATTAATTTGTGTCTAACATGTTTAGTTCTAAGAAATTAATATCTTGCTTAACTAACCATAGTTCTTAATGTTTGTGTCCTCCACAACATTATCAAGTAATAAACTTGAAAGAAAAGTATAAATCAATTTAGTTATTTATTTAATTTTCTAAATCATCACAAAAATAATGGATAAAAAAATTGGTGTTTGCTCTCATCTGGGTGCCCATGGAGGTTTGATTAAGTTATAAATGGCGAAGCAGAAAGGGTGGACCTTAACTTTAATTCTACAAAAAAACAAAGGAGTAAGCATCCTTGTTTTGCCACATTTTTTACCTGTTGACGTGGAACTTTAAAAATTTAACAAGGAGGATCACCAACCCTGAAGTAAACCATTATCGTTTTTAAGTTCTCTGCAAAATTACGAAAAAAACAATTCATTTAAGATAAGTGTTAATAAAGCCCATTTTAATTTTTTACTAATTAAAATTATAAAGTCATATAAACCTCACAATTTAACAATTTTTATATAATTTCATAAATTTTAATTCGCAATTATGAATATTTTAAAAAACATGTAAAATAATAAGTTGTAATCACTTAACTTGATTTTCTTATAACACACTTTCTAATACACTTTATCAAGAATTATGTGAATATTATTTTTTTATTTTTGAATTCATAATTATCTTTTATATTTTTTAAAAATTTTTAGTAAATTTTAATCAATAATTAAAGTGTGTTAAAATTGATAATAAAGGTTCTTTTGAATGAAGAGACAGCGATAGAGGCCAAAACGTGATTAAGGAGAGCGCGTTCGCTTACTCAGAACCATTACTCCTAACGATAGCAGCATTACTATCATTGATGAAAGGAGCAATAACAATAAATGCTTAACTTCCATGTTATATTTATTTAATTCATCTGTTTCAAAATACTCTCTCTTCCTTTCTTACAAAGTAGCTTTAATTAAATTATATGCAAATCAATATAAATAAATAAAATTATTTTTTAATAAATTATTATCGTGTAATGATATTACTCTTATTTAATATTGTTAGACTTAACTCAAGCTATTAATAAGTATTTTTTTAAATTTTAATTTAACTAATAACTAACTTAATTTATTAAAGATAAATAAAAAATATAATAAATGCTTCATAAAAATTATAAATTATCTTATAGAAAAATAACTAGAATCTTCTAGAATGGGACTTATGAAAAACATTAGAGAAAGTAGTTAATTTTTAAATTTAAATCATATTTTAATTTGAAAATTTAAAAACATACTATGATTACTATCAATTTGTGGCTATTTTTCATAGCATTCACTATAAATAAATTAAAAGTGAATAATTGTAGAATCAGAGGTGATATACAATTATATGATATTTTATCTTTTAAATTAAGATTACTCAATGACTATCTCGATTATTATTTATACCCATAAAGCAAAATTATATTAAAAAAGAGGGAGTTGATTTGTATTTAGATAGGATGGAAAATTCAACCTTAAAATAATTGTCTCATTCTGAATTTCCACATATGAGTTGAGGAGAAGATTGGATTCCTATTCACATTTTGGTGTGTAATTTTGATTGGTAGGAGTTAATGGTGTCATAAATGAGAAGAATCACTTTGGCAAACTAAATTTGGTTTGACTTAAGCTGGGTTTCCGATTTATGATAAGTTGTTGAATTTGGTAATACAAATCAAATAGGGGGCATTGGCATAACCAAAGTGATGGGTTTGGAAGTCAACGAAAGGAGCTGAAGCAGAACATAAAGGTATGTCATGGAGCGACGGAGACAATAACAGAGGTCTCACTTTGACCTGTTACTCTGAATTGATTTGTCATGTCTCGTGCTTCCATTAAATGGTAGTGTCAAGTTGATTTGCAGTTGTGATTTGTCAAGGTAATCCAATTCTACAGTAGTTGGTCAAATCAAACCTCAAACCTCGTCGGTTGAATTGGACGGGAATGATCTTTATATATATAGATTTCTAAAATAAATTTTTTTAATAACTTTTTATACATATTAACTTTTTAACAGCGAGTATATATATAGAATGGGCTAAAGTGGATCCTACCTGATCTGAACAGTAGTAAACATGGGCCTGGTTAGAGCTTTTGAGTTTGTCCAAAAATTCGTCATGGGAACCTTTTTTTTTTTTTTACACTTATATTACTTTTTTTAAAGTATTTTTAAAAACAATTTTAATTGTGAATTTTTTTGTTTTTTTTCATTTTTTTTAAATATTATTATTCTCTTTTGAAAATTTCCTGTTCATCTCGACTAACGTTTCGTTTTTAATTATTTCAAGTTTCGTTGTCTTTCGTCACCACATTCTTTGAACAAATTTCAACTATTATTACTTTCTAAAAGCTTCTATTATGTTGAAGGTATTATAAAAGACTTATTTTGTCATAAATTTTGGCATATTCATTTGCCTCCATTGACCTCTTAATGTCAGCGTCATTTTAGAAATAAATATCAAAATTAAAATTTTACACTTTTAAAAATTAATTTTGAAACTAAGTTTTTAAAATTCTGGAAATTAGTTTTTTGAACTATTAACCATTTTTCAAAAATAAAATTTCAAAATTAGGATTCTACATTTCTAAAAATGAATATTTTACACATTCATGAATTAAATTCCAAAATTATTAACAATTTTCAGAAACAAGTTTTCAAAATTAAGATTCTACAATTCTAAAAACCATCTTTTGAAAGAGTAAAATTTTTATTACGGAAATACATTTTAAAAAATTAATGTTTGAATGCATGAAAACTTAATTTTGAAAACATATTTGTGAAGTGTTATTTTATTATCATAATGGATATTTTGGAGAAAAAAAGGTATAAAAAATTTCTAACATTGGTGTGAAAAAAACAAAACTGCAAATGTCCCGTTAGCTATACCTCCCCTAATCCCAGAGACTTTGCTTAACGTTGTTTTTGCACGACCAACTACTGTTAAAGTTGTCCTAGTGTCTTTATACCACACATATTGTCTCCAGACAGGAGATTGTGTCCCCAAAGCTCTGCAGCCACATACCACAAAAATTGCACACCGTATATCACGATCAAAACCAGCTATGGATAATAAAAGAATCCTTCCATTTCATCATGAACCATTCAAATCTAGGCACTCGAACATAAAATGATTATCTTATGCTCGAATTAACAAGGCTAAAATGTTTCCTCAATGTATCAATGTTTCAGAAGTTAACAGTAAAATCAACCAACTGCAAGATATACAGATTATGGGGGTTCCTAGTTGAAAAGAAAGAGAGAAAATTAAAGAGATTAAAAAGTAACTTCACCATCTATATTCACTCAACTTACAACAAATCAATTGATTTTCACTTTCAGAAAGTAATATGATGTCCACACGGGTAAAACAAATATATCATGAACACTGAAAGAGTTTCAGTTTTAACACTATAAAAGCTCCACAGACTAAACTTGCGGACTACCATACAAAGATAAAACACTTAAAATGTTTCTGTGAAGGATGATTTATCAACACAAACCTCATCTTTGCACCTTTGGTATAATACATCGTGCTTTTCAATTCCATGTGTGTCACTGAGGCTGCAATGCTCCTTGAATATTTTTAACAGCACTGTCATAGTGCACAAAGCCCATAAACCAAAATTCATGGTTGTCAACAGAGATAATCTGTATATACTTTTCTGATGCGTTGGTTCTACTTGTTGATGGGTTCACTGCTCTCAGCTGATGTAACGGAATGACCACCTTATGCATGAGAAGTTAAAGCATGAGCGTAAGTATTGAAGTAAAAGAAAAATATGAAAATAGTGTGGGATCAATAAGAGAAAATAAACGAACATTATATACACTTCTCATTGTCTAATCTAAAATGCGAACCAAATTACCAAAGGTAAAGGTACTTAAAAGAGTTATGTCATAAGCTCCAAAACTGTAAATATTTTTGCATTGAAAATGATTCTGTAGTGTTCAGTTTGTTTAATACCCCTACGAAGACATGAATGCTGAAAACATTGAACATATGAATGTCACGAAAATGCATGTAGCATAACTCTTTCCATATTTAATTAGTTTAGACTTTCCAATGGTATGGTTTTATATCTTAAGTGCCAGTAAATTCCTTTTACATACCTTCAATAATAGAAATTAAAATATCTACAAATACAATTATTGCTTACAAATTTGTAATTAAAAGTTTAAAACTGAAAAAAGAACTCTTAATATTCGCACAGAACCAAATAGTTATTTCACAGCAACATTGGTACATTCCCTCAGAACCATATCCCATTTCTCAATAAATTATCATGGATCATAATGAAGATAATCTCATTAGCATTTAAGCTTCTAAAGACTGGAATAAGATACATGGCCACCTACCTAACAAAGACCACAAGCATGGATAGCTGACGCAGAATGGAGAATTATATTCAAGGATTATATATTACTTGAGGATTCTTATTTTATTCAAGTTTTTAGTGTAAGAAATTAATTTTTATTTTATATTTAATTAGGATTTTATTGTTATCGGGTTATAAAACCATTTTAAGCGCTTTATGTTATTTAGACTTTTGTTAAATTAATAATATCAACATTTTTGGTCTTTCAGAGTATCTGAAACCAAGTTGTACTTTATAAGTCTGGGATCAGGAACACCTTACTCAGAATGGAAGTACTCTTGATTACCATCCAACATAAAATATTAATTTCCTAGACTACAAAATCCTAATAAAATAATAAATAACATAATAATCGTCATATATACTTCTTCGTTCTGCATCACTAGCAGTCTAGTACACAGTTTAAACTTTAAACCCAACCAAACTGCATCCTGACAAACAGCCTAACAGGGCACACACCACACAGCGACATAACTCTTTCATCATCATTGACTCCAGTTCAAAAAACAAAGCAGTAAACTATAAGTGCAAGTTGTAATCAATAATCACCATTTGTAGAAAACATTTATTCTGAATTTATAAAAAAGCATACCAGCAGACCTCGTTTCTCAAGTTGCTATCAGAACTCAGGAATCTCAGATTAAAAGCATGAGTTAAGACACAAGCACAAAAAAGGTATATTTAATGAATTCCACTTTCTTCATCCTTAGAAACTGAAAAAATTAGAAGAATTGTGCATCATGCACGTACTTTGAGTCTAGATTTAAAATTTCAGACAATATCAAAAAGCACTTAAGACCTCCAACTGCTAAAAGCAATCCTTAAATCCAGAAAATGCAGCATAACTGAACTTGGGAGTTGACAAATCTAGCTGGTAAACATGTTTAAGTAAAATTTTCTTTTACTTGGAAATATACACAATTGCAAATCTATTTCGATTCAATTCTACAAATAATAATAATAATATGCAGTTTTAGCAAATAACCATAGAAAATGAAGCCCTCGACAGATCATGGTAATGAAATCAAATCACGGTGTATTATATTTTGTATTATTAAGACGAATACCTTATAATAGCTCCATTGAGTCTGGTCACCGACTTGGTAAGAGAGAGGGTTATCACTACAAAAAGCGAGCTTAGCCGTTGACAAATACAAAACACCCATGACAGGTCCAGCGGAGGTGGAAAGATAGCAGGCATAGGTTTTGAGAAGTTGCTCCTCAGGAACAGTCTCAAAAGTTTGTCTAAAGATCTTCTCGTACCCACCTTCTGCAAGAACCTTAGTCCCCTGAGCAATCCTCCCCACAGCAGCATCAGCAAAACTGGGACCCGTTTTCACTGTTCCACACAAACACATAATAGCAACATAACCCCAATAACCAAAGCTTGTATTTTGAATAAGTTTCGAATGTCTTGGGAGTACATACAGTGCTGCCACATATTGCCGGCGAGATCCTCGGCCTTCTTGGTAGCTTCGGCGGCTTTCTTTCCCCATTTGCCGAGAACATCTTTGACGGAATCCAGAGTACCTGCGAAGAATAGAATAGAAGGAACGTTGGGGTGGATGATGGTAAAAGCAGAAAGAATGAGAAGAGAGTGAGGGAGTGAGTGAATAGTAACTCTTGGCAGATGTGGGGGCAGGGACGGGCGCAGGAGAGACGTAGGGGTTGGATTCGTGGGGCATGGTGGTGGCAGCATCGGTGGAAATGGGGGCACGAGATTCGAGGGGTTGTTGAGGAGGTGGAACGACGTCGTCGGGGTCGAGTTTAGGATAGGGAGCGTAATCGGGGGTGTGAGACTGAGACTGAGACTGAGACTGAGGCTGAGGATGAGAATCTTCTGGTTTGGTGTTTGTGGTTTGGGTTGGGGTGTGAGACTGAGAATGAGAATCTTCTGGTTTGGTGTTTGGGGTTTGGGTTGGGGCGTGGATTTCGTCGGGTTTGGCGTTGGTGGGTTGGGTTTGGTCGCCACTCATGTTGTTGTCGGCTTAGGTTATCTCTGCTTCGGGATCGGACTGTTAGCGGGCGAATAGGGATCACAATTGGAAATGGAAAACGGATGAAGAAACCTGCGACTTCAATTCAAACGTCAAACTTTTCGAAACCGTAGGATCATGTAACAGGTTTCGCTTCTTCGATCCTCTTTCTAGATCTGGCCGTTCAGTCTTTGCGTCTGCATTTCAGTCTTGCGCAATCGTTTTCTTTTCACTTTAGTCTCCTCCACGTTGTTTTATTTATTTATTATTTATTAAATAATTATGCTATTTGAATATCAAAATATTTATATTAAATAATTTTTTTTTTATATATGTATTTTTCTCTTTAAATTATTACACAGATGATCAAATATATTTAAAATTTTATATGTATATATACTTGAATTTAATTAATTTCCCGGTTTTTATTTTTATAATATATATATTTAAAAATCTCTATCATTAGATTACTTTTTATAAAATATATAATTGATTTAGTACATATACTAGATGGACATCCCTTGTTTTTCAGTTGAAATATAATGGACATCTATCTACCCATCGGAGGAAAAACATTATGTGGTTGATTCTAGCACTATTCTTCCATGAATTTAATTTCTGAAAATAGGGATGATAATGGGTAAAGTACCTGATGGACACCCACAAAATTTACTCACAATGGATAGGGTATTTACCCGCTATACGGGTAAGGGTATGAGTGTGGGTAAAAATTCGCAAATTTTAATAGGAATGGGTGTGGCTATGGGTATTTAAGTACCCACCCCGTCCCATACCCGCATATATATATATATATATATGCTTGAACTTTATTCTACAATTATTAATTAAATTTTTGTATTATTATATTACTTATGTGAAGTTATATAATATTAATATAAAAATATATTTAATAATAAAGTAAACCAAAAAATTTATTTTGGTTTATATTTTTAATAAAAAAATTTATTTACTATTTTATATCATTTAATTAGGTTAACACAATTTAATTATTACATAGTTAATATGAGATTGGCTTTTTTTTTAAATATTATTTATATATGACACACATAAAATATTTTTTACACATATTTTTGTTAATAAAATCATATTGATGTTTAAATCATAAAGTGAATGATAAATAATAAATATATTATAAATATTTTATAAATTTTACAATCACTTACTATTACCGTAAACTTATTATTTATTAATAATATTTAATTTTTATTTTTATATTTTAATTTAAAATAATATTTTTCTATGCAACATATGTATTACAAATACAACTATAATCTATTAAATCTAAATAATATTATTCTTACTATTTATTCACATTCAAAGAAGTTTTTGAAAAGATATAAATATAAAAAATTATTGTTAATTTTTATTTGTTAATTTTTTAAGATAAAAAAAGTATAATTTTTTTAATATATACGTATATTTCTTTATTATAAAATTTTATTGTAACTATTTATCTTTTATTCAAATTCTTTTTTTTAAATTTATATACATTATAAATATTTAATTCCTTAAAATAATTTTTCAAAAATTTATATTTTTGATAAAATACTTTCGTATAGTATATGAGTTAAAAAATACTAGTATTAATATATATATATATATATATATATATATTATATTATATTATTTTAATTAAATCTAATATTTTTCTTACAATTTCAAATTCAAAAGTTAAAAAAAATATTTTATGTATCAACTTTCTATTGTTAGTATTGAACTTTTCTACTGTAACTCTATTCTCATTCTCAATGTCTGTCTCACTAAAACTTAATAACTATGAAATGTTATTCATTAGAGTTAGTTGTTAATGCCGTCACAAGAGGTTACTAAGTGATCCCACACGAAGTGACAACCATTGTACAGATCTATTTCGTTGTCGTTCTGACATTACCAATCAATCAAATCTCACACAAGATAGGATTATCACTGACAAATAACTTGTGTGTTTAGTTTTGCTTATTATTTCTAAGAATTTTAGTTTAGAAAATTATTATATTAAGATACATTTAACATTTATGATATTTGAATATTTGTTTTTTATCTATATTTGTACCTTGTTCGACAACTACATATTGAATTTTTGTTTTATTATGCTACTTATGTAAAATTATATAAACATATTTTTCTTTATAAATATTTTTTTCTCAAACAAGCACGAGTAATGGGTACAAGACGGGTATGCAAGTATCCAGAGGGTACGGGTATGAGGATTAATGTTCATACCCACGCAGGTATAGGGTCAGGTACGGGTATTTTTTTAAAACGCAGGTATGGGGATGGGTACTGTAGTACCCTACCCATTGTCATCCCTATCTGAAAGTGACTAATATATCCTGAAAATTGGTTTTATTTTAAAGGATGGTATGAAAAAAAATATATATGGTCTTCTTTGTCATTCAAAAAAAATGCTGAAAATGAAAAATAAAATCGCACGTCCAATAATGTTCAACTGGTAAAAGCCCAGTAGAAGGAAGTTTTGAGACAGAAAGTAGGCCTATGATGAGAAAAAAAAAACCAATAAATAGGCCCAATAATATAAGGCTCGATATCAATTTCAACTAGTTTTCATTCACAGACTCTGAAAAACTAAAGGTATTGATTTAATATTCAATTATTCAACCTTGGTTGAACTGATAATAGTTAAATATATTTTTAATATTAAAACTATATTAAACAATAATTAACATAAGAATTTAGGAAATTAAAGTAAATTAAAATTTAAGCATAAAATTATCATAGTATATACTGTGTAAAAAATTAACAATAGAAAGACAAATGAGTAAATTTTGTGTATGTTTTTTATAATTTTTTATTGAAATAATATTTTTAAATAAATTATATAAAATACAAATTAGCCGCTTCAAACCGATTTTAGTTGGTTTTCTTCAGTTTTAAAATCAAACATATTTTTTTTGGATTGAATACACTGAATAGCTGACCAGTTTTCAGTTTAATCGATTGAACCTACTTATCCAAATTTCAAAATAAAGAGCTTTTATAATTTTTCAGACATTCTAATAAAAGCTACGATTTATTGTATGATGTCAATCAGAAACAAATGACTATTCCCATTCTGGGCACGATGTTATGAGATAAAATGACTGCATAAGAAAACATGTTTTCTTGTTCCGCTCTTTTTAATGGAACAAAATGTACTGCTTCTAATCTCGTGCTTTGCTTTGCTGTGGTCGTAGAAAGCACCAAATATAATTATAAAACTGAACTTATGTTCTGCTTTGTCTCTTTTGACAAGTTATCAAATTTTACATAAATATTTTTATAAAATGTGTTATATACAATATTATGAATAATGATGTTTTTATATCGTTATGGGCTGTATATGTTCGTTTAGAAGAGATATAAGAAAATAATAATAATATAAGTGACGAGAAGAAAAAAACAAGTATAAAAATATTTGTAAAATGAGTGTAAAAAAAGTTATATGAAAAAAACAGGACCATAAGATTAATAATATAAGAAATGAATAAATATAAAAAAATACTATAAGAAATGAATTTCATTCACAAATATGTATGGCAAAATTATAACGAAGTTAAACAATTTTTTTTTGTCCGTAATGTGAATGGAAGCTGTGAAAAAACCCTAGAGTCAATTCTTTATTTCCAAAATTATTATTATTATTATTGACATTTTTACTAAAACCCACGAAGTTGAAACTATGGGTATTTTAATTCCTTTTTTGGGTGAAATGTTATAATTCATAGGACAGTATTCTAGTTCCATACTGTATGTTTTAATGACAGATTTAAAACTACAGCTATAAATGTTATATATTTATAGATTTCTTAATTCATCAGTATATATTTTAGTGATTTGGTTAAATAATTGTGATATAACTTATATGACACGGTATCATTTTATGATAAATATATAACTGTGAGTATATATGTACATAATATATATATAGATATTTTATTTTATCAGTATTACCCTTACCATGGATAAAATTTAGTACAGTGAAGGTGAGAAGAGCCAAGAACGTTCTTCAAACATCATATTACCAGAGTTTCCAAATTTCCAGGTAAGGGTAATACTTTTAGACTCTATAAAATTTGTAACATTTTTTCTAAACATGCTCTACACAGATCCGACGTTGATCAGTGATTATTTGTTTTGCATATTCAGCATCGTATATAAAAAGCATGAATCAAGTTCATAAGATATTGGATGAAACCATCAATAAACTATTGACATTTTTTGTCCTGCACCATGTGTACTAGCAAGGCATTTGTTAAACATGCATAGCCCATAATTATAGAGCTATGTTGTAAACTCTAGGGTACGTAGTGCATTCCCCTCAATTATTACAACAGTGATATATATAAAGATATTTTCTCATTCTCTCAATGTTTAAGAGGGTAGCATATTTGTTACATGAAAGCATCTTCATAATCGGGACATGAGTGGGTTAATGCTTGGTCTCAAGTAGTTTGACGAATAAGTTAATTAAATTTATAAGTACGTAAAGGATAGAATATGAGTGCTTAGACTTAATTAGAGATTGTTGAATAAAGCTTTAATGGGTTATCCTCTACCAATGATGGTTGGACAAAGGACATTAGGTGGTGATATTCTTAATGTGTAAAATAGATAAAATATAGAATTGATAATGGATTACCAAAGTAGGACGTCTTTAAGATTTTTTTTTTCATAAGGGACCCTCAAGCATGAAAAATTAAACGTTGTTTAATTTTAGATTTTTTTAAAAAATTTATATAAAAATACTATTTTCTACTCTTATTATTTCATATACAAATAAAAAAAACAATAAAAACAAAGTAGTAATTTTACAATTAAATAAAAATAAAATAAGGTTTTGAGAAAGATACTTTTTTATATGTATGATGTTGAAAAAAAATACTAAAATATAATTTTTAAAAAAAATTATTTAAATATAAAAAGTAAAATTTATTATACTTTTTGTAAAGAGGTTTTGATATCTTATTTTACAATTATGACCATTAAATTTATATTGATAGATAATAAATTTAATAGTTTAATTAAAAAAGATATTAATACTATCTTATTTTTAAAACATTAAAAAAATTAGAGCTATTAATTTTAAAAAAATATGTAATATACTCGCTAATTTAAAAGTACCACAGCAAACATCAATATAAAGTTTAACGATTATATAGTTTTTTAAAAATATAAAAATTTTAAAATTATGAAAGAAATTTTTTATTAATTTAATAAATAATAAAGATTTTGAGTTTTATATTTTTATAATTCCCTCTAAAATTTTATATATGAATATATAATACTTTAAAATCTTATATTTAATTTGATTCTCCTTAAAGAAACTAAGCCCCAAAAAACGCTGAAGAGTGTGAATTAGTACTTAAAAGTGAGGGTGATGCAGTGGGTAGCTAAAGTCTAGAGAAGTAGACGTGGAATTGGACAAAAAGCGATTCCAGTGGAGTCTTCCAGCTCGACTTCAACCCAAATTTCTACGCGTATACGTACACACTATTATAAGATACTATACGCTACGTAATAGTATAAGTTAAGGATATACTATAATAATTAAATAGTAACTCAACAAAAGCAGCACGCACTTTCATAATATTTTTAAAATATACCTAAATATTTTATGATAAATGAGTCAAATACAATAATATTTTATGATAACAATTTTAATATATTAAAAAGTTGTATGTATTAAATTTTAAATATTATTAAGTAAATTTTTAAAAGATTGATTGAATATAATTCTTTATAAAAAATTAAAGATAAATTAAAAGTATTACTATAATTTTAGTATTTCAATTAATATATAATTATGATTGGATACTGGTTAACAATTTTAAATTTTTATTAAAAATGGTAAAAAAGAGTGAAAACAAAAAAAATAAAGAAGAGGAGAAGCGATAGTTGGTGGGATGAGGATGAGAGAGAGGATCTGAATGCTGAGGTGAAAGACAGGTGAGCAGAGCAGAGCAGAGCAGAGCAGAAGCTGAGGAACGAGCAAAGCACTGAGTCCTCTCCTCAGACCTGAACAATTGAAGGCAACTAAAAACTAAACTCAACTTTGTCTTCATTTTTCATTGGAACGAAAGCATGTTCGTAAAGATTCCATCTCACAGACACAGACACTGATAACAGCCAGATCGATCGGGAATAATGGAAAACAAAAACGAGTCATCCATCTCGACCAAAACCCGAAACTGCATCGGGTCGGATCCTAACTCGCCACCCCCAGACCAAGTACTAGAAATAGTACTAGAAAACGTCCTTCACTTCCTCACCTCACGCCGCGACCGCAACGCCGCCTCATTGGTCTGCAAATCATGGTACCGCGCCGAAGCCCTCACCCGATCCCACCTCTTCATCGGCAACTGCTACGCCCTCTCTCCAATACGCGCCACCTCACGCTTCCCGCGCGTGCGCTCCGTCACCATCAAAGGGAAACCTCGCTTCGCAGATTTCGATCTCATGCCCCTCAATTGGGGTGCCCACTTCAGCCCTTGGGCCACCGCATTCACCACCTCTTACCCTTCCCTTCACCACCTTCACCTCAAACGCATGTCCCTCACCGATCACGATCTCTCTCTCATCGCTCACTCCTTCCCTTCTTTCACCCAACTCGTTCTCATCTGTTGCGAAGGCTTCGCCACCGCCGGCCTCGCCGCCGTCGCCGCCAACTGCAGGTCCCTTTCACTCCCATCCACACTCTGCATAGTCACTAATACCACTAACTCACTCTTTTGAATCGTTTTATCAGTTTTTAAAAATGTCCAAGTGTTTTTTAGAAAATATCAATTTAGTATGTGAGTATTTTTATTTATTTTTAAAATAATTACTCGTAAGTTGAAGAGGGTGTTCAAAAGATTATTTTTTTTAGGATTTCTCTTGGCTGCATTCTACTGTAACCTTTTCTCCTTTTTTTGGGTGGTTTTTTCAGATTTTTGAGAGTGCTTGAACTTGTAGAATCTGTGGTTGAGGTTGGTGACGACGAGGAAGAAGTGGATTGGATATCGTGTTTTCCTGAGACTCAGACTCATTTGGAGTCTCTTGTTTTTGACTGTGTTGAATGTCCGGTTAATTTTGAGGCTTTGGAGAGGCTTGTGGCTAGGTCTCCTTCGTTGAAGAAGCTTAGGTTGAATCGATATGTTTCCATCTCTCAGATGTACCGTTTGATGCATCGAGCGCCGCATCTCACGCATCTTGGAACTGGGTCTTTTGGTGCTTCTGAGGTTATGGCTGTTGGGGATCATGAACCTGATTACGCATCTGCATTTGCAGCTTGCAAATCCTTGGTTTGTTTGTCTGGATTTAGGGAAATTTGGCCGGATTATCTGCCTGCTATTTACCCTGTTTGTGCAAATCTCACATCTTTGAATTTCAGCTATGCTGATATCAATGCAGATCAGCTCAAATCAGTGATTCGCCACTGCCATAAGCTTAAGACGTTCTGGGTATGCGGTTGTCTGTGCTTATTTGAGTGTGTTGATGTTAGTGAATTGGGGGTTAAATTGAAACTATTTGGTTTTGATTTGGTTTATGTGCAGGTTCTTGATTCAATATGTGATGAAGGGCTTCAAGCAGTGGCTGCGACTTGCAAAGATTTGCGGGAGCTTCGAGTTTTCCCTGTTAACACAAGGGAGGAGACAGAAGGTCCTGTTTCTGAGGTGGGGTTTGAGGCAATTTCTCGAGGTTGTAGGAAATTGCAATCAATTCTGTTTTTCTGCCAGAGAATGACAAATGCAGCTGTGGTAGCCATGTCAAAGAACTGCCCTGATCTTGCGGTGTTTCGATTGTGTATAATTGGTCGATATCGGCCAGACCCCGAGACACTAGAACCCATGGATGAGGGTTTTGGTGCCATTGTTATGAACTGCAAGCAGCTCACTAGGCTTGCCGTGTCTGGTTTGCTGACTGATCGAGCTTTTGGTTACATTGGGATGTATGGGAAGTTGATTAGGACACTGTCAGTTGCCTTTGCTGGAGACACAGACATGGGCCTCAAGTATGTGCTAGAAGGATGCCCCAAGCTGCAAAAGCTTGAAATCAGGGATAGTCCATTTGGCGACAGAGCTCTGCGTTCTGGTTTGCATCATTTTTACAACATGAGGTTCCTCTGGATGTCGTCCTGCAAATTGACGCGCCAAGCTTGTCAAGAAGTTGCGCGAAGGTTGCCCCATCTGGTGTTGGAAGTCATCAATAGTGAAGAGGACAAAGTTGATGAGATTGAGATTCTGTACATGTATAGGTCTCTTGACAGGCCACGGGACGATGCTCCAAAAGTTGTTACAATCCTTCGTTAGTCTTCTGAAGCTCACCTTAGAATAGTGGCTGCCAAGTGAAATTATATAGCAGGGATTTTTAAATAAACCTGCAGGAGATCAAAACAAGTTCAGCTAACAACTGCTGTTTTTGGCCAGAGTTACTGTGATTGCAGGCCATAAAGATGCTTATTCTGGGGCAAAGCATTTCCAATTCTGCATTCTTGTTTGGGGATGAGAACTTGGGTTCTGGAGGGGAAGAGTTAATGTTAGATAGGGGAGGAATGATGCAGAAGATTAAACGAAAAATCCCGCAGGTATTATTGGGACCATCCAATGTTGTACCACTATGGTTAAGATTTATGTCCTTTTCCTTTTTTTATTCATTTTATCATATAGCAGAGTTGGGGAAGGTAGAGGAGATTGCTGAAGCTGCCCTGAGGATTTGTTAGTGTTACTCGTCTCCTTGATCAGATAAATGGGTCTATTCTATTGAGAAGCAGACTCAGAAAGATCAAAGCAACGGAAATTTTGGAGGTGACATTCTCTAACTCCTCCACCGTAGCAGTAGAAAAGCAAAAGCATTCCCTTTGTAAGGACTTAGTCTGTGTATTTTGATTCAGATGATAGATAGTTTAAGCTTAGGTGGCGAGAGTCCAAATACCAGACTGGTACAAGCTTATCTGCTTTCCCCTTATCTCACCGTTTGTTTTCTTAGATGTGTTTCTGTGGCTTCTGACTTTTGAGTTTATTTTTAAGTTAACATGGTGACATGGTTAATAAATGCCAGAAAATGCATGGACCGTATACAAACACACTTACTGGGACTGTATGCTTTTCTTCGTTTTATCTGAATGTGAATGATAAATTGACTGTGAAGGCACATTAATCGATTATAAGTATGATAGTCGTTGAAATTGTAATTGTTAGTCACTTAATTTTAAGTTTTGTAAAATCTTTAATTTTAAACTTTATAGAATGTCGTTCACTTTATTTCAGTGTAAAAATTTTACGAAATTAAAAAATTAAATTTTGATGTTTACAAATATCAATAATTAAAACGAGAGGACAATATTTTATTCAATAATTAATGGGTTTGAGGGGGGTGATGGTTTGTGATGAGGAGCGTGCTAGGTTTTTTCGTCCACAGCACAATAATCTTGGACACAAAACTTTATTAATTCACAATGACAAATAGGTTTATTAGTTGCAGTGTGAATCAATTCCACATGGTGTGAGGGGGCCAATAATTTGATGGGTTGTCTCCACCTCTTTCCCTCTCTCTCTCTCTCTCTCTCTCTCTCTCTCTCTCTCTCTCTCTCATTATTAGGAAAGAAATATATTTGCTTGCTTTCTTCTTGTTGATATTCAATCTAACATGACGCAGAATGGTAAAAGTAAACTTAACATCAAAGTGGAATCTGACTGTGCAAATAAACGAGTGATGGGGAGCAAAGCTTTGGCTTTCTTTCTTGTCTAACCATTTTCTGCTGCACCAAGTGGACCATTGCCAATTCCCACTGCTCTCTCCTACACTGCCCCCTTTGCATTTTTAGCCATTTACCCTTTTCCTTTTTATGTCTCTGACCCTCACCTCCTTCAATGAATCACATTGCATTGCTAAGGATAAGGAGCTTATGCGCTGAACATAGACAGTAAAGGAACACTCAGTTCTCATCCATATTTGCTCATGATGGGAATTGTTGGAAATAGTCTCCCCATGGCAAACAATTAAGCATTTATAATTTTTTTTATTTCAGATGACCTTTATTTTATAAATTTATTTTAAGTTCCTGCATGTGAAAAGTGATTTATAGAATGAATATTATTTGGATAATATTAATTACTTTTTTTAAAATGTGTAATTTATTAGAGGTATAAATTTCATATTAATTTATCAAAACAACAGCAAAAGTAGTAATTTCTTACTTTCACCTTATGTTAAAGCAAATTCTCGATGAAGGCACAGAACATGAAATTTACCAAATTTATAGTCTTTAACTCGATGTAAAGGTAAATGCAGGCATAACTAATCATAGCACTAGTCATTCTTTACCGGTAGCCATCACTACCCTGATCCTATGGGAAAAAGTGAGAAAAGAAGGAAAATAAGAGAAAAAACGAGTTGTAATGAATGACAACCAATAAAAATTGGTAATGAATGACCTTAGGCGGGGACGATTCCCTTTCACCCCAACACTTGTTTCGGTTGTAGCCTTCCGATGCGTTGAAAGACTATTGATTATGGTCGTGCCTTGTCCACTGGGCATTCCGCAGACCATTCCATCACTTTTTCAATAAAAAAATTTCATCAAATTACACGATCCGAATGGAAAGAATAATGTATAAACACGCAACCGATCTGGTTATCACATGCATTATACTGTTTGCTAAGCACGCATACACAATGATGGTAACAAATAATAATAATTATAATGAGTTTTTTTCTTTGGGTCAAGAATAATTATAATGAGTTGCAATTGTAAAAAGTTGAGGTTCTTTGGGCTAATTGGTGAGGACCCATGTGGGTCTGGCCGACCTTTTGATCATTAAAGTATGTGGGCCATGTGTACGGCAATGGATTGAGATACATTATAGCTTTGCGTATATTAAGATATTTTATAATCATGCATTTTATCAATAATGATATCATGGTTGATAAAATAATGAAGGGGCAAAACGAAGAAGCTAACGTACAAAATATCAAACAAGGAAGCCAATAACTGCTTGGCAGTGGCCATGGTTGGTGTCGGTGTCTTGGTAGGGAAAGGAAGCCAAAAGGGTTTTTCACAACTTTTGTGTGTTAATAACATTTTATGGCTGATCTAAGCACAAGGTCAACCACTTAAGTATAATGTACTGTACTATATCAGTGTATTAAGCTCTTCCACTAATGTAGTTCACCTGAAACAAAGTTTATATTAATCGCACTGTTTTCAAACACCACTTCCAGGATGGATCTTCGCCTTTTTCCCAAGTGAACCCACATCTCGTTTTATATGGGTTATAGACCATGATCAAAGCAACGGCTTTTGAAGCAAAGCTGGTTGAATTTTCATGTATACGGCAAAAGAGTCAAGCCATGCACTGCAGATTTCTATCTATAATATTTTGTATACTAACATTGCACACCTATGTGTTGAGGGAAAGTTGGTTGAATTTCCATAATAAAATGATTTTCCATTCGCTTTATATTAAATTTGCATAACTTTATCTACCAATAGGAGCTCCTCTATACCATCCGTGCTTATATACAAACGGTTGAGGAGTATATGCTAAGTGCTAACCATTTTTGCATAAAGGGTTTTATTTTAAAGGTCTCACATGGAATTATATATAATATACTGAGCTAGAAAATTGGAGAATTTCTTAGACTGAATTTCAAAATTATCTAGATTGACAATTCCTCAATTGAGGTTCGCCCACGACCGAATTAATGTTTCTTGGAGTCAACTGTCTTTGATCCAAAAAAATCACAGGATTTTTCTGGCCCTTAATTTTCCATTTGATGCTTACACTGCCATATCAAATGTCCATAAATGAAAGAAACAATCTTGTTTAGGAGGTTTTCTCTGGGAAGGTCCAATGTGCTTCTAGTTTGGCAGAAATACATAACAAAGGAAGAACTATCTCAGCACCATTAATTTATATGACATCAATTGAAGGGATGAGACATGCACTAATACATAAATCAATAAATCGCTCATAGGACAGCAGTCAAGTCAGATTGTCGGAATCTTTTTAGATAAGTTGCAAATTTTAGTCCCTCAAAAGGTTCATCATAATACAGATAACCATTAAAGAAAAAGTTTTCAAAAAAGAAAGTAGCATCATTCCCTGTGCTTCAGTATCTTTGTCCATTCCTAAATACAACTGGAAACTAAGATAGTGTTTGTGCAATGTAGAAAACTTTTTATTTTTGGGAATAAACGGGGTTATACTTTTTAAGTCTACAATATACGTCTATAGTGTCTTTCTTTTCCATTTCTCCTACGGCTTATCTAGATAAAAAACTCTTCTCTTTCTACCACTGTATAATATACGTATAGTACATGTACAAAAAAGTAAATACATCCTTAGCCTTTAAGAATGTTAATAGGAATACTTAATTTGGTGGCCGTGGGGGGCCAGTTCCCTACTCCAAAATTGACAAATGGGTCATCCTCCATGGATGGTTGCATTGAGTCTTAGGCTTAATGTTGATGTCATATTTTGTTAAATTGTCCTTCAAACAGAACCACTAACCAGTTATTTTCCAATGCTAATTACTCATCAGTTCGATCAAACAGCTCCCCCACTTGGGGAATTCTAGAACAAAACTTCAAATCCCATTAAAACCTTTTCTTTTGGTGCATGATGGGAAAGAGGGGGAAAGACCACTCCAATCATTTCTCCTTTAGAATAATTAGAACTCTCAAACTCCTAATTTAGCTCCGTCCCATCTCAACATGTCGGTATCTATATCTTTCAAGCGTGACAAGTAACAACAGTGCACTGTGAGTTTAACAAAAGCATGTTAAGATGGAAATAGCACTCATTGAACCTCTCTTTCTGAAAGAAGGTGGCATCGTCAGTCAGGTCAGGGGTCAATTCGGCTTAAATAAAACTGGCCTTGGATAAAGCAGCGTGATTGTCAGATATCAGCTTCAACTTGGTCAAAAGGAGGAGGATAGGAACGCTGAAAAGTTAGGAAATTTGCAAGTTTTATAACGATGGTGGAGCCCAGTTTGGTCATGATCGACCTTAACCACATCAATGCTACCATGATATCAATAAAAGTTCATTCAGGAAGAGTCCAAACTTTTGGTAGAGGCATTGCGCTCAAACCTTAAGAAAAGGAATCCAAACTATTTGTTCTATTTCTGCAGGATCATATTGCATAGATGATGGAGGTAGGATATTGGGTATAGGCAGACAGCAAATATACTGCACTTTCACCCTTCAATTTGGGATGCTTATAGAAAAAGTACACTTAACTGGCAAGAAGCTCAGCCTTGATGATCGGGCTTGATCTAATTAGGATCTCCCAATAAAGTTTCCTATTACCAAAGAGGTACTATTTAATAGTCAGTCAAAAGTGTCATATTCAAACCTCGTCTTTCTAAAGAATCAAAGCTCGTATTGCACTTACGAATGTCACAATTATCTTAGAATATCTCATACTTTTGGATCCGAGGGACCATAATTAGATTTAGACGAAAAATGAACTTCTCAACTTGTGCAACAATACAAGCAACATTAAACAACAAATACAAGAAAAATAATCAGATCATTCTTATCGTTTATGTTTTACAGAACATGTCTAAGATAATCGATACCGTTTCGTAATTACCATTTCTGAAATGAATATAGTTCAAGCGACTAATTGAAGCTATCATATATCATGGTTGATTTAGTTACTTATGATAAATTATTTCAATTGAACTGCTTTTCCCAATCTTCTTTCAATATTATTGGTTTGTCTTTTCTTGGACTTAAAATTAAACCCAATCTCAAATTTACAAATTTTGGGTAGGCCATGGCTCATTGTTCTGAAAAATTTTACATAGATTTAATTACAATCCTTCTAGTTTAGATTATATATAATTTTGGTTCTTAATTATTTTTTTGAACTTACGAAATTTCCTATTTTCAAATTTTTCTTCTACCTAACACTCCTAAATTTTCTTTATTTACTCTGAATCTTTACAAATTGAATAAATTAAATTATCTTCTATTTAAAACTGACCAACCACAATATTAAATTTCTCTTAAAAGTAAATAAATTTTCCCTCGAGACCCTTATCTCACATCTTGTACAAGTACTTTGAAATAATTATTCGCTAACTTTTTTACTTTTAAAATTCTAAAATGATTTCACATTTCAATCCCATTACAAACCTCAAAATTTGAATAGAAAATCAAAATTCGACAGTTTTAAGTAGAAGAAAATTAATGAGGGACTAAATTTGCCCAATGTTAAAAATACAAAGACTTAATTAGATTAAAAAAACTTAGGGAACAAAAATCACGCATAATTCAAACTAAAGAGAGCAAAGTACAATTAAACTTTTTACTTAAAATGTAGAACTTGCAATCAATTCTACTTAGAATGCCAAGAAAAACCAATACTAAGCATATAAAAATAGAAATAGCACAAAAAAGAAAAAATAGGTCGAGATATAGAAAGAATTTCATTCCCTTATTTTTCACATATTGAGATATTGAAACAATATAAGTGATCAAGGGGCCAATCGCTCAACCTTCCACAGCCGTTGTCCATTGATCTCATGGGGAGTATATCGCAACCTGTAAATAAAACATGCATATAATATCAGGAACCTCTAATGGAAAATTTACCCAACACTATGGAGCTTTCCTCAGGGACAGAACTGATATGCCTAGAGTACTCCTCTTGTAGGGCATCATACTCCTTTAACTAGAATTTCAAATAATATTTTTTAAAAGGAGTCTAAATATTTCATTATTACGCAGAAAGGAATGTGAAATGTTTCTGTTAGTGTTAGATATCTGTTTGTAATGGTTAGTGAAGGGTGCTAGTTGGACCAAGATAATTACAAGAAATAAGGCAACTTGCATACAAAAAAGAAGAGGGGTTGAGAGAAGGAGAGGTAGCTATCATTTTGTGCAAGAATTCGGGGCTTAGGGAAAGGAGGTGCAAACCATTGAAGTTCCTTTAGTGTTATCTTTGTAATTGGCGTTTATTCCTATGTCTTACCTTAATAAGATACCAAGTTTCTATCAAATGGTACCAGTGCTCCAATCTTTGTAGCTGTGAGTAGTGTGTATTGAAGCATTCAGGGTTTAACAAGAATGAAGAAAGTACATTCGTGACATTATTGATGCATACAGATGATTGATTCAAATCCAACAGCACTTCAACATGATGGAAAAGAAGGGAAGCAGTAATTGGTTGTGAAAACAAATTATGATTGATATCGAGTGGGGAGTCAGTAAACCTAAGGCATCACAAGAAGAATTATAGAGGGCAGTGCTCAAGAAATTCCAGCCTTAGTATGATCTGGATATGCCAGCTCCTACCAAGAAAGGGAACTGAAATCTGGGGAGCAAGAAGATAGAAGGGGAAATGAAGGGTTGAAGGTTGAAGATCAGGAACCAGAATAACAGTGAGGGAGGACAAACAGAGAACACTGAAGCAAGAAAAGTGAAAGAAACAAATACTACGCTAGATATAATTGAGGATGTACCTGGTCAAATGATTTTGGAGAAGGAACAAAGGCACCGAGACTCTATAGTAAAGGAGGAGGTTTTACGGGATACAGATAAAAACAACCCAAGTGACAATTTGAGAGTCTTGGTTGGAAGTGGTTTTTGACCTATTGTGCAGCAATGTTTGAGTGGTCTGTCGAATCACTATGGACAACAAATTTGAGAAGGGAACATGGGTGGAAAACAGTAATCAGAAATGGGTTGCAGTCTTAATGGATACAGTGACAGAGTGATGATGGAATTCCGGTTCTCAGGGGGCTGGCCAAACCCTCTTCGCTGGAGACAACTTAACAGAGTATCACTCACATGGGGGGCAATGCTATTGAAGTGGCAGCGATGAAGGTAAAGCAGATGGCTGTTTTGCATGCCGCTTTACAACTCCAAAACAGCAACATTATTCCAGCAGAGACAGCAGCAAACGGAAGGAAAACATCAAGCAAGTTGGTAGCAGTTGCAACCAAAAGCAGCGGGATGAGGGTGCAGTGAGATGGGTGTGTGTGATGCTTCCTTGACCTACTGGCCAGCCCAAACCACAGGGAGAACATAGTTGCTGTAGCCCAAAAGCAGAGGTGGGTATTTGGGAGGGGGAACAGGGGCCAAGCCCAAATCAGTCATGAACAGTTTTGCAGATTCAAATGATCCTGGTACTGTTGTGCACAAGGTTGTCCCAGGAGATTACAAGGTGTGCAGACTCCTTGGTTGGTGTTAAAGAGGAGGATGTTGGCTGATAATGTTGACAGGGAACTTCAGATAGTGGGTCCCAGTGGGATTCTCTTTAGTTATCACAAGCTCTTCACCTTCAGGACAAGATGAATGTTCAAGGGTGTTAGATATCTTTAGCATCTGTTAGTATCTGTTAAGGAACGAGATATTGGCTTTGGTAATTAGAAATAATCGGGCATCTTGCCTATAAATAAGAAGAGGGGCTGAGAGGGAGAGGTAGCTTGTCATTTGTGAGATTAGGGGCCTTAGGGGAAGGGTGGCAGCCGAGGCACAGACTCTCAAGTTTTGTAGTGCTCAATCTTTGTAATTGAGGTTTATCCCTATTTCTTCCTAATAAAATACTGCTTCTAGTCCTTATACGGCACATTTTAACTAAATTACACAAACTACTAAAAATAGTTAAAATTAATTAATTTCCTTGATTTTTTTTAATTATTATAACATGACAATTTTAACCTTATTTAATATCATTGTACTTAACCACACTATCAACATTTACCCTTGTTGATTTTAATTAAGTTCCCAGTCCCACCAACTCCATTTACTTAGACAAATGAACAACATAATAAATGCTTTATAAAAACTATAAAGTGCCTAATAAAATGAACCATTAAAACCTTCTAAAAAGTACCTTATAAAAACAATAAGAGGGAGTACTAGGTTTCTATTGTTTATATGGATATTTACACATCAAACGTAACAAAACACCCTAACAAGATAACCCTATTCGACACTCAAATAACTTAATCCAAAATAGGATAAAAGCCCTAATAATAAATAATCCAAATCAAAACAGGAATTTTAAAATTAAAATCCTAAAACTAATTGCCCGTCAAGGAGTGTACCCAAATTTTAAGTAACTCATAAGGTTCAATCTTTAGGCTGTTTCAATGGCTAATGGAGTAAGAAAGATGCAGCAAAGAACTTTATGAGTGATAACTTTCAACACAACCCTCATAAACTTAATTAAGGGACCCAATTTGAAAGGGAAAATAGTAGATAACAAGTTTTAAAATTAAAAATGTTATAATACTGTAGTAGATGTGGCAGATTACTAAATAACGTTACCATAACCAAGCAGCCAGACTAGTGTACAGACCAATTAAAATGTCACATACAACATAGATCTTGAACCTAAACAGTAGCATGAAAGCCTAATATACGTAACTAAAAGGTCATTATGTACATACTTTTTGGCTTCATCCATTTAAAAAAAGCAATTTGAAAACAAGTAACCTATCATAATCTGGAGAGCAACCACCTGTCATGCAAGCGAGATTGCTGTCCTTGCCAAAACTCAAAAAGTTGTGGTCTTAGCCTGTATCCTCCCCAGTTCTTAGGTTTAGGGATCAAACTTCTGCAAGCAGATAATAACAGTATTATTTCAAGCTACCCTAGATTTAACAAATGGAAGAATGGGTATTGACTATTGACCTCATGCCTAAATGAGATAGTGAGCTAATCAAACTTCCATGTTCAAGCCAAGGGTAGACGTGGAATTATTGAGCACCTCATGGGACTAACATATTTCATCAGAATTCACAAATAGCTTTGAGTTAAAAGCACAACTTACCCATCCGCATATTTTTGTTCCAGCTCTCTGTACTCTTGATAAAGAACATGCCTACCAGGCACTACAGTGCTCTAATGATCAAGAAATTGAAATTGTAAGTTTACATACCATATCATTTCCACATGTCACAACTACATTAATTGAAGTGAGGCAGAAATAGACCTGCTTGCTGACTATTGCTCCAATCTGGCTTCCTCTAGGACGGCTATGGAAATACTTTTCTGATTCCTCATCAGAGACTTTTTGAACAGACCCCTCCACTCGTACCTAGGAAAAGAAAATAATAAAAATGGAATAGACAATGTTTTTTCATTCCTTAATCAAATATGAATTACAGGGAAGAAATAAATAATGAAAACTGTCCACAAATTTAGGAGCCTAAAATAGAAAGGGAAAAAAAAACTTTTCCTATACAAATAATCCCTTAAAGGAACATAAATAAATAAGATTACAGCTGGTCCAACTAAAAGGACCTAGGAAATCAGACTAAGTCAATTACACCTGCTTCATATTTTCCAAATCAGCACCCAACAGTATTAAAATATTATGATCATCAATAAGTTATGTGGCGTGCCTCCAACATGCATAGTGACATGAAGTTTGCAGTATAAACTGGATGCATGTACAAGAAGTAATACAAGAAATTGGATTCTTCATGTGAAATAGGTACAATAAGTATTAAACTGCTCTAAAATAGTAACGAACCAAAATGTTGATTTGCAGCAGACCCTTTGCTTACAAGAAGTAATAATGTACCATTTTGATTGATTTTTTTGTAAATACATTTTCAGTGAAGTTACAATTTATAGTATGTAAGACAACAAATACATTTTTATTTCTTCACCAATGTAAAATAAGTCATCAAATGCAAAATAATAGTAAATCAAATTTTCAATTCGTATGGCAGACAAGTATTAATGTTCACCCTTCTTTTGCAAGTTTCTAAGATAAGAACATGTAAAGAAAAACTAAGAAGGTTAAGGAAAAAACTCCCTGACAAGAAAAGCAGGTAGGTTTACGAACAGCTAGTTTTCTTCAGTGTTAAGTTCTCAAATGTAATGTAACTAGTAGTAGAAAAAATAAAACACAGACCATATTAAGATCAATCTGGATTTATTTTGTTAAATAAAAGATAGAGTATAACAAAGACAAGGAGACAAACATCACACCATGCATTTATCACACATTAGACATCTAGTCTGTATTGCTTAGTATTTCATGACTAAGAAAGACTTCTACCTGTCTGTAACAAGACTCATTAACATAGAAAATCAATTTTTGTCTATCTAAGCTTCCAAAAAATGAAAAGAAAGTAGACATATCATCAAAACAAATTCCTTCAACTCAAGATTTCCAAAAGTTATTAAAAAAGACATTTTGATTAACCTGATTTCTAAAGATTTGGTTTTTGACCGAGCTCAATGGCGTCATGTGATCTATGTAGGCGACCTCACCTAGTGAGATAAGACTGTCGTTGTTGTTGTTGTTTGTCAAGATTTCCAAAAGTAGAGGTGATACTGAAAGTAGATATTCTAATTCCCTATGTTATACCACCTGAAAGAATTTTATTCATCCACATCTTAAACAGTCTTTTCAGGAGTTCTAACTATCAAATATTATATACTTCTCATTTTTTGCCTCCTAGGAAGGTACATTATGACATGCTGCACCAAAGGTTTCCAAGGAGAAGGCTAGATGCTCCTTGGCATGAAAAATTAACTTCATCAATTCCATGTATGAATAAATCAATCTGAAGATGTAGCTGGCTAGCTAGAATTAAAACAACAATTACCTGCCGGTTTAAACCATCCCAATAAAAAAGAAGTGATGCATGTGGATTTTCAGATAATTGAGATGCCTTTTGACTTTCATAGTTTGTGTACCTGTGCAAAGCAATTGAATTAGGTGAACACAAATAACCATTTGCCAAAACAGTTCTAATACAAGAATAAATGATTACTACTAACCAAACAAATCCATCCTTTTCCAAGCCTTTTAGCAATACCATTCGTGATGAGCTGCAGCCAAATGAAGTAGAATAATTAGGAAATTTCAGTTCAGATACTATACATTATCCAGAAGTACAAGAGTTATTCATTTTACAGGACCCACTGATATTCAGGCAAACATTTTAAAATAAAAAACAGAGAAGCAGATCATACGGTTGTCCATCCTTCCCTACAGTTGACAAGGCCATAGCATTTGGTTCCTTCAAACCAGCAGCCATTGCATCATCAAACCATTTACGAAACTGCAGATAACAAATAGAATATAGTAGATTGGCAAGTATCCAAAGCCATTAAAATCTAAGTCCTCAAAATACTCAGATTAGGTAACTCAAATACATCATGGCAAAGTATCAAAGTGATTAACCACCAACAAGGAAAAGGAAGAACAACTCCTCTGCAACAACTAGTATTGTTTTACATGAAATATACCTGATTAATAGGGTCAGCCTCCACCTGCTCTTCCAGAAATTCTGGAGAGATATAGTTCTCTCTTAAAGCTGAAATATCAATTTGTGGAGGCTTTCCAATTCGAACACACATGGATGTTCCAGGATATGGTGGAAGTATAAGCTTATATTTTTCTGCAATGGCAGGAGGAACAAATCTACCTCCAAGAAAGTGGTGATGACCACCATATTTCTTTGCACATAATTTTGGGGCTGTCAAAGAAACCTACAAAACATTAAGTACAATGGTGGGATGGTATCTCAATAGAAACACAATTTACATTAAAATAATATCGGAGGTTATTATATCTAAATTTAGACGTTTAAAGAAATAAATAACGAAACAGATAGACCCCTGAGAAACATACCAACATATCAGGTTTAATGCCAGTACCATCAACATCTCCGTCTTCAACATGCCACCCAGAGGGAATATCTACAGACACTATAACTGATTGTTTTTGACCAATTTGATTATGATTATGCAAAGAGACTAGTTTCTGGATCAAATCATCAAAAGGAGGCCTTGGAGAACCTGGACAATTAGAATATAACAAAGTGAAATAAGTGAAGTTAAATGGTATTATATATTCAAAAACCCATGGAGTAGTTTGGAATTCAGAAACTGTGTGAATTGAAAGCCTATTTGATAATAAAAAAAAGCCCATTTGATTTAAGTAACTGAGTGAAATGAGTCCAACATCTAGGAAAGGACTTGGAAAGATTGGTGCAAGTTATCGTTCATAATTGTAGCAATGATATTGATCCTACCAGGGACCCCATGAGCAACTCACAAAGAGCTCTGAGGAGACAATAAGCATTGAAATAACGAGGAAGCATGCATGAACAAACAGATAAGTAGCATAAACAAGACAATGATTAGAGGCAGAAAAACAGTGGCAGCAGGATGTTGTTCAATCCCTCTGGTTTGCAAAAGATAGGCGAGAATGATGTAGATACTAGATAAGCATGGATTGCAAACAATTTCTTTAAAAAATGTAACCTACCATGAAATGAGAATCCAAACATTGCATCTAATAGAATGTCAAAGTCTTCTGAGAGATCTGATGGCAGGTCTTCCACTGACAAGAATGGAATTGACAGTGCTTCAAGCTACAGCATCAATATTTCACATGAGACTCACAGCATCTCACACCCAAACAAATAAATGGTGACGTACAAGAGCAATAAACACAGGATGGTGGTTCAAAACTTTGTCAATGAGTTCCATCCTACCTGAGTAACTAATCCAGTATAAAGAGGTTTTGCAGTACGCTTTGGGTAGCAGACTGAGGGCTTATAACCAAAGTGATGCAGGTGACGGGCAGCCACCAGACCATCACCACCATTATTACCAGGGCCACATATGGTAAGAACACGACTATACTCACTTGGTTTGTAAACCTGTGAAAGAAAAACAATTATTTCAATTCAAGCACAAATGCATCATTGGTATTTATAGACAGGACTTCGCATTATCTCCTTCATAACTCATTCTAATGTAAACTACGCATCAACAAGAATACTTTCATGGCTGAGCTATACTACCTATGGTCCATAGTTATCAATAGCAGGCTATCACGGTGCTATAATAGCAGTGCCAAATGGCCATAGGCTACTACAAAATTTGAATAGTGGAGTTTTTGCATTCATATATATATATATAGAATAATTTATTTAGTTTGTATATAAAATTTCCAAATAACGGTCATCCCATGACCGTTATGTGGTATCCTACTATAGCATTTTTGGCATCAACTGCTACACGCCACTATAGATTGTTAACTAAGCTCTAGTTCAATTTATAAAAAACAACTACCAATATTATTTTTGCCCTAACTATGAAAAACAAAGTGATAATTTTAGATGCATTAATTGCACCCCGTTTGTATACCCTTATTTATCGTAACATTTGTATTTGCAAAACATTCACCCCTTTAACATATGAGTGAATATATTCGATTATTTAATATATATAAATTACCAATTTAACCATATACTATCGGAATATAATATAAATTTACAACGTATAACTACTTCTATTCGTCTTAATTACTTGTTTTTCATAGTAATTATCAGTTTTCATTTTTCTTTTGGGGAAACTGAGATGAGTACTCGCAAAGCAAATACCTCAGATATAGAAGCAGCGACGCTCAAACCAGCCAATTCCTGAAAATAGGAACCAAAGGCGTTAAGAAAATTAAGCATTAACACGAGTAAAGCAAAGAGTGGGACGAAGAATAACCATGAGCTGGTCGACACTGAAGCCAAGAGGACCCATGAGCGACTCATCGATCTCAGCGGCTTCACGCTGCGTAAGGTAAGTGACAGATTCAGTGTCGAAACTCGCCATGATTTGGGGCAAAGAAGAAGAAGCAGTGGGTGTGGTTCCGCCTCTGAAGTTGGTCGAAAACGCTCGAATTCGAGAGCTGAGAATTCCCTGAAACAAAACTCGATAAAGAAACGCCAAAATGTCAGAGAAAAACATCGATGTGATTTGATTCGATAAAGAGGAAAAGAAAATTGCTTACGGAGTATATCTGAAAGAGAGGGTTATGGTTGTGGAGAGAAGAGGAGAAGGTAGTGACGTGTTGTGAATTATGGGTTTGAGTGAGTGAATGGGTAAGGGATAGACATTTCAATGTCATGCTTCTTATTCGTGTTCCTTTTCCCACCAATGAAAGCATCGATTAAGTGCTTCTTCTGCTTCTGCATCTCACCGCTACTATTCACTCACTGCAGATGATGTTCCTCTTCCGTGTTTGATTCCTCAGTTTATATCTCATAAGCTTAAGCTGTCCCTGCCTATGTAAGCATTAAATTAAATCAAATCAATTATTAATCATAATCTTAATTATGTGGATTACCATCTAATACTTATCTCTAAGACTATCGCTGAAATTATTAAAATAAATGTGTGATTAAAGCAAATATTTTTACAAGCAATATAAAAATGACCATGCATGTAAAAGTTTTATTATGAAATTAAAATACATTTGAGAACATACATCTATCAGAAGATGTAACAATATTAACTCCAAATTGAAACCAAAGTAAAATTTATATGCAACCTCAACATAAGCCAATGAGAGTTTTGACTTTTGAACTGTAAGAAAATGTTTAATTTAACTAAGGAAAAGAGTTGAGTTTTAAAAGAAAAGTGATGGAAAAATAAATATTTTATTTTCTAATTTAAATAATTATATAATGTTTATAAAAAATAAGTAAAAGATAAACACATTAAATTTATATTAATCTTTTACTAAATTAATTTTATTTTTAAAAAATGAAATTAGAAAGTTTGATTAAAAAAATTGCCCTTTCCTCCATTGCCCATCAAAACTAAACTCCAACACACCTAAAGAAAATATGATGGAGTGGTTATATTACATGATGTTGTTTCATTAAAAAAAGATCTGCCGAATGCCATGAGGGATATTAATGTTTTGGATTTAAATAATTATTTCATAATACCTTCTTTTGTTCTGTTTTGCGACAACAATAAATTTTCCTTACACCATTGTTTTCCCTAAGAAGCACCGTTGTGATTACATGGCTGATTATCGTGCAAATCTCCCAGTTCTTCATAAGTGAGTCTTATTTATAGAGATAGAGGGGCATATTGTTGATCAATTTCCAAACTAAGTATACACATGGCACCATTGGTGGGGTCTGTTAACCCCTTAAATGACTTCCAAATTTTTATTTTACTGTTCTTAAAATCTTTGATGCCTCTTCTGTGATTTGGTTGTTCTCATAGGGAGCAAAAAATGCCAGCAGAAGGAGGAATTGTACTTGAGTTAACAGAGGATCTTCAAAAATAAATAAGTGTTATCGTATAACATCCATCACAAAGTATTTGGTTAAAAATGTGACATTCAATAGCAAGAATTAAATAAAGTAACTGCAAAGCATTTTTTGTGGTTATTGGTTTTAATGCATTTTAGTTTTCCCAAGACATGCTTCCTTTTTGGAGGAGTAAGTTGGCCATTTTACCATTATTTTCTTCAAGAAAAGCATTGCAAGGAACAACAAGTGCCTACCCAAAACAAACTCATAACTCCTTGAATGTTTTCTCTCTGAAGAAGAGATCAGCTAGTGCAAGCCTAAAACAAACAATTAAGCAAATGTTTAAAAAATTGGGAACTTCTTACATTGCCCATTAGTAAAAGATGTAAGGTGAATAGAAGCCAATTGCAAAAAATGAAAGGAAGAGATAACTCTCTTTAGTGATAAGAAGAATATAAAGAACCACATTTGAAGACCCACATACACATTTCCTACATAAAGATTTCTTATAGTCAAATTGAGGCCCTCAAGAACCTTTCTTGGTTGGCTTCACTCATCAATACAATCTTTTTGATGGTTCAACACCATCTTCTAGTTGGTGTAGTTTTGAGTGGTTATTGCAATTCTTATTTTTAATGGAGAGATGCTACACATGAGATAAAGAGGGAGAGAGAAGAGAGGTTGGAAGCGAAAGGCAGAAGGAGAAGTCCTAACAAATAAGCAAGAGAAGACATTGACTTAGGAACATATATATATAGATATAGTAGGTCGGTGGTTTTAGTCCATTACACACTTCTCCGCCGACATATTATATCTTATTTATTATTGCATGCGTTTATTATTGATTAATTGTTATTTATATGCCATATTAAAAATCAAAATTTGCATATAAATTAGTTGAAATTTGATTAAAAATAATTAAAGAATAACTTATCCATATTTTAAAATTAAGTGAAAATTAAATTAATTGTTATAAAATAATTATACAACAATATAAATTATTAAAAATTTTAAATCAATTAAACATACATTTAAATAATAATAATAATAATAATAATAATAATAATAATAATAATATAGTTTTAAACTTTAAGATTAGCATCTAATATTATTTTTAAATAGTTTATCTTATCATACTTGTTTACATAATCTAATTAATGTAATATTGAAACAGCTGCCATACAAATGGCCACACTTGTAATATTAAGCAAGTAAATTAATTTATTTGTAACAAATTATTATATAATTTTTATTTTAATAAAAGAATTAATATTAAAACATCTATTTGCGGCATTGATAAATTAGTTTTAAGATGAACATGTTATAAGACAAATGAACAAAACTCTACTCCCCAAAAATAATTTGCTTTTATTAATGTTTTAAATGCCTCAACTACGTACAGGAACATAATCTTATTAGAAATATGATTTAGATGTTTTAATTTATTAAAGATATATAAAGTATTATAAACCATATTTTATCTATGTAAATAGAAAATGTAAATTATTTTATTGTTTTAGCTTCCAACTTATATAAAACATATACCTTGTCCTCATTACATTCAAGCTTTTGATAATTAGAGATGAATATCAGATAAGATTAACAAAAATATAATTGTTTTATAATATAAATGATGTTCTCCTTGTAACAAGTTACCATATGAAGTATGATTTAATAACAAAATAAAATTTTTGAAGTAAAAAAGTTAAAAATTTGTGAAAAAAAAAAAACATATATCGTATCTCATATCAGTAAATTAAGTGTAATGAAAAAGAAAGATTTAATAAATTTTAAAACTCATTATAAGCTTCTTATTTTGAAGTAAAATCTGTGTACATAGACAGAAAATAATAAATTTTCCTCTTGTATGTAGTGCCCTCCATATATAAAATATTGATATGAATGCAATTTTTTAATTACAATATAAATACATTTTTAGTCTATATAAAATCGGAAGAGGTTTAGGTAAATTAACTTCAAATTCTGATGGAGAAATTGATTGCAAATTTGAGAAATTGACAATAATTATTACTTTTATATAAAAATTGAATGTGGGAGAAACTAAAGAAGCGAAAAACATAATTAAGCTAGGATCAATTCAAAACTTGTTTCTATTAAGCTCCACACATGCAATCAGGAGCAGGATAGGTATAAATTGACTGCTTCTCCTTCCTTAATCTTATCTGTCCTTGTCTGTTCTTATGTCCATCAAGAACTGCACGCTGAAATTCTGACCAGCTTATGCTTTTATTCTGAAATAGCTGGCCCAATAGTGCCATGTTTGGTCTGATAGTCTTCAGGTTCATATAAGCACGATGTCCCACCTATAAACCCAAAAGAGACGTTTGGTTAAAATGATAAATTTTGGGAATTCACTTCAATTCTTGCGCCAATGCAAAACAAATTATAGCTCTTCAAGGGTCTTCTAAAACTATACAGTAAGTAATCTTGCACGTAAATAGTTTCAAATGGAATATTTAACAATGATGCTTACAAGAGCATTGTGCATATTGCCTGGAGAAGCAGAAATGAAGATGTCACTTTGCATGCTCACGTAATAATCAACAGCAGCTAATAGTGATGCCTTTCCTTTAACCTTGGCCAGTTTCTCCATGGAGACTAGGCTCTTCTTATCTTCCATAAGAGGAAATAACTTGCTTAAAGTTGCTAACCTAGCTTCTCCACCATAAACCTGAAACCATATAATCAATTCAGACTGTCGCTTATGTACGAAGTGCTTAGCCATAAAGGTGAAAAACTAGTAGATTGTTAATCACTCGGTATCGCTATGAAAATCAGAATGAAATCTTTGCTGTTACATAAGCACAAGCCATCCTGTCATTTGTTAATGAACCTTGTGGGAAGCAAGATAAAGCCGTGTTCTATTGTTGAACCCCAAAGCTGCCAGGAGCAATCCAATCTCTTCAGGAGTCAGTGGGCAACGCCCCTGATTTCGCAATTCTTCATCAGTGAATTGAGAATTCAATACCCTTCCCTGCCAAAGCACTTGTCGGTACTTTGCTAGAGCCATTTTCTCAGCTTTTCCCCCACCAAAATCACAGGCTGAATGAGCAGCCATATCCTGCATATGAAATTTGGAATCATAGACGTGGTCATCGTGAAACTCAAAAAGACCCTCAGTTCTCTGAAAAATGTATAACTTATTGCAGAAAATCCAAGATGAAATGTGCACTTCATTAAACTGCAGTTAATCGAAAACGTCCTTACAACAGAATCATCCTTTTTGTTCAATAGCGGCATGTGTTAACTAGTAGTACTCAACTATAGAATGATATCATTGAACACATGAAACCATGCGCGCTTGCACACACACAGGCAAAAATATGTAGTTCTTTGAAGTGTTAGTTACCCTAAAAGTTCTTTACAACATATTTTTATGTACAAGCATGTATTAGTTGGCTACTCTAATACAAATGCATGAACTATCAATTTGCACGAACAATTACACTAAAACACAGGAAAAATATTTTGATGCTAAGGATATTTTAATCAACAATTCTACTCCAAACAAATAAAACAGTTAGTCTAATAAGTTGTAACTACATATCAAACCATATACAACATAGAATATTGTAACCCCAATGCAATAACTGAATAACGAGACTTTCCAAATGAAATTTGAATGACAAGAGACCTAGAATTTCATGAAGCTACATGTATAAGCTTTGATTCCCATTAAACTGCTCAAACCAAAATGAAGACTTTACTTTGTCAAATCGCAGATGCAACACAACAAACTTCCCAGTTTGCTGTTTTCCAAATTTATCAGTTTCCTCCAGTAGATAGTCATTCCCTTCTGCTTGATTGAAGCTAGAAGTGTGGCGAAGACGATGAACAATGGCCTCTCCTAATTCCTTGATATGTGGAACAAAGATCAGTGCTTCAAAGTTGACTTTACAACGGAGACGTTGGATGTCTGATGGCAAATTGTTGAATGTCAAGCGATGAGAGAATGGTGCAATAGCAGCAATTCCATAACTGTATCAATGAGAAAATGCACAACATTTGAAAATAGTTATTTATGTAAATATAATGAGGAGAAGGATATGGTTGATAAGAAATTTATTAAGGGTTTATGTTCCAATGGGATCCCATTTAACATGTGAAAAAACCCTCATTTTTGTGACATGCTTTCTGCATAAACATGGGTCTTAAAGGCTACAAGGCTCCTTCATATGATAAAGCAAGAATTACTTTACTTGATGAATGTAAACAAAACATAGAGAAGGACCTCTTCCAATCAAAGATACATGACATTCTCAAGGGTTTTCTATTGTTTCTGATGGATAGACCAATAGTATGATAGCCCCTTATAAATATTCTTGCTGTAAATAGTCGAAGAACTATATTTTTGTATGCTGAAACTTTTTTGGGCAAAGAGGTGGGCCCTCATAATGTGCTTCAAGTTGTCACAGACAATGTTTCAAATTGCAAAGCCTGGGAGGGAGGTACATAAGGTAGAGAAACATATATTCTGGTCCCTATGTATTGTTCACACTCTTAATCTTCTTAAAGATTTTGCAAGATAATTTGAGTAGTTGTGTATCGCATATAAGAGAGGAAAAATATTGTTAAATGTCCAGTGAATCATTCTCCAGAATTAGCTATTTTAGAGAGCACTATAAATTGGGGCTTCTTAAGGTGGGAAAAACTAAATTTGCTTGGCACCACATTTTGTCAGAAGTGACTTATTGATAGTAGAGATACTTTGGCAACTATGGTTGTAATTAAATTATGGAAGGATTTGATAAAACAAGGAAATGAGCATGCAAAAGAAATGGATGTTTTAGTTACAAAGACTATTAAAAGTGAGGAACTTTAGGGAGATAGAAAATATAATCACAATCAAAAACCTATTTATTTGTTGATCAAAGTTTGTGATGGAGAAGGACTGAAAATGAGTGAGATATGGAAAAAGATGCAGAGCTTGCTGGATGAAATAAAAGATATAATGAAAGAAAACAAACATTTTGATAATTATGACAAGATGGACGAAATTGTGCTCGATAAATGAGAGATGTCAGTCCCTTTGCATTATCTTGCACTTCTAGATTTTAGATATCTAGCTTTACCAGTGTAAGGAGGTACAATAAGGCCTCCAAATGAAGATGAGAATATTATTATGGGTGTCATGAAAACTTTCAGTTGAATATCCAATGATAGCGTGGGAGAAAATGGGGAAGAAGCAAAAATCTTAAAGCAATTTGCAATTTTTCATTCACATATAGGCCTTTATATTAGTGACAATGAATGTTATTGACTGGTGGTATACTTTCGGCTCACAAACTCCATAATTAGCAAAAGTTGCAAGAAAAAAGTGTTATCTCAACTAATTGTTAGTTCCTCAACTGAACAAAATTGGAACACATTCAAATCTTTATAATACAAAGAGAAAATAGGTTGAATACTAAAAGGGCAGATAAATTAATTTTCATTTACTCAAATATTCATTTCTTATCTCACTCTACTGAAATTTCCATTTTATGACTCTGTACATATATATATATAGACCCACACAGTCACACATACTTAAAAATTTGATGCTAAGCAGAATTCTATCTGAAAAAGCAAACCAAAACAGTATAACTCTCATTCCCCCTATCCTAGAAAATTCAAACCATGCAACATTGCTCAGAACATTTTCATTCATTCTCACACATTTCACTGACTATTGATTCATATCACAGAAAAATAACACGTATACCAATTATGTCTGGGAAATCCTCTCTCATCACTAGTATCAAAAGTTTCAAAGTCATATTGACAAAAAATAGAAACAGTATCTAACCAAGTAAGAAATGAATATACCCAAGTTCATTGGAGGAGGAGGGGACAGGGGAGAAAGCAGAATCTGAGGTCAAGCTATAAGCATACCTCTGAAGTACAGGCACCACATTTTCTATATACCAATCAGCAGTAGCTTGAACGGGCGCTGTTTTAATTCTAGTAGCCCTTATGCCTGTGCCATAGTACTCCCTTGTGCTCCAAGAGTAGTCACTAGGAAGCTCCTTCACTATAGATACTTCATCACGAAGAACATCAATAAAGTGGTCCACATCAAATATATCTGCAAACGAACTGCAGAAACACAACAACTTCACATAAATAGTTACTTCTCATTTTGAAAACTAAACAGATAAGTATTGCAAAAATAGCTGTCTCTGGATATACCTTGAATCTTGCCAAACAGGGTTCACTTCAAAATGTGGGATCACCAAAGTTGCATTCAAAATTTTAGCAACAGCAACAGCATCACATATCTTTCAAAGAGAGAGGAAAGGGAAGAATTACATAAGACGGGTGATCAAGTTTGGACATTAGATGCATGTTAAAATACCACTTTTTTTTACTTCATATATTAGATCAAATTATACCCTTTCAACACAAACTCATTCACGTACCCCCATCTTCTGCTGGTTCAACCCTCCATCAAGAAAAATCTGGATATAACCCCGTGTCTTTTCAGGTAGCGCTGCAAGAAATTATAACTATAAGGAAAGTGCAAAATACCAGACCCTACTGACAAACAACCCAGTCCTCATTTTCAAGACAAATCAAAGTCAAATTGTAAATAAAACAAAAAGAAAAGAAAAATCAATTCACAATTTGAACTCACAAGGTGATTTTGGAGGCTCAGTACAAGGTTTCCATCCTTGGTAGGCCAAGGGAGACCAAAGACTAGTTTGTCGTTCAACAGACTGAAAACAAATAAAGAATTGATAATCTTAAAACAACTACACAGAAAAGGCATGCCAAATTAACTAAATCTTTTAATATTTAAATATAATTATCATTATAACTATGATTAAGAATTTAAAATGTACTATCTCTACTCACACTTTGGCGTCGCAGGGCACCCTCTAGCAAAGCCACGTGCATAGGCTTCGGAGCATTCCACTCCTGTAATGGCAATTGATTGATTCCGAAAATCAATCTTTTTAATTTCTCAAAGAAAAGCCACAGTTAAATAAAAATGGAAAACTAATACTTACAGAGAACATAGAAGGGAAAGCACGACCCAGAGGTTGGAAAAGATTGGGAATGAAAGGCGGCAACAGAATCACGAAAGCCACAGCGAAAGCGGATTTTTGAGAGTGGTTTAGTTGGTTGAAAAGCTTCATTGTTCACTCAGAATCAAATAAAGGAGTTTCAACGATGATTTAAACACTGCGTTCTGCACCCAATTGACCCAGAAGAGGATGTTTCCCTCAGCTTCAATGGATTCATCTTCATCTGGAGGTTCAGGGATCTAACTCCAATGCTACTAAATAATCAAATTTATCGCCCAAAGGCATATCAAGTTGGTATTGTATATTTCTAAAAAAATAGGTTAATATTTGTATGAAGATTAACGCGATATTAGAGATCAACTTTTTGAAATTTATGTTAAAACATCAATAAAATTAGTTATGATGTACCTCCAAGAAGTTTAAGACACTTCATCATATATGACGTAATGGAAGTTACCCCCAAAATTATTTCAATGTAATCTCTTCTTTTTTAGATTTCTGTCCCAACATTTATAAAAAATAATAATTAATTGGCATAATTTTTAAGGATAAATGATAACTCTAATATTTATATATTTTTAGACTATTAATATATGAGTTTAAGTTTAATCTATTAATAAAGTACAAAGTTTTATATTATCAAAAAAGTACAAAGTTTTACACTTATGGCTTGAAAGTTAGTTATTACAAAATTAATATATTTTTTTTACTAATATTGTAATTTATAATTAAATAATAACAATTTATACATCAATCAAAAGAGAATTTTTCGAGAACACATTTATTGCAATCTAAATTGGACCGAAACGACAGTTCATGATTGATCATTGGGCCTAACTTCATTTCTCACAAACAGGAAACTATCCCTGACATGATCCATGTCCTTCTCATGGCCACAAACACCATTCCTGACATGATGGCATTCTTGTTGTTGGATAGAGGGTATGTGAGGAGTGTTCCTGTGGTGGTGGTGGTGGTGGAGTTGCACCATAGACTTTGATTGCCAACGTCTTCTTCATATTCAAATCCAAATTGGATTGAAGGTTTTCTCCTAAAATTTGTTTCAATCATACATGTTCCACATCAAGAATGCTTACAAAAGCTCTCTATTTGTTTATTATCTATTACATCAGAGCTGTTTATCAATTTAGGTAAAATACGCTTATAAATGCCTTTTTTCTGTCATAAATATTACTTTTTCCTCCTTGTCGTCATGTACCAATGTCATAATAGCTTTTCTCTGTACACCATGACCTCATTTTATATCTTATCACTCACAAAATTCTTTTTTTTTTCATATTCAAATAAGGAGAATGTGTAGTTGAAAGGAAAATTCACGGCACCATCTAAAATTCATGTTTCCAAAAGAAGAAAGTTCCCGAATCCATTTAAACCAAAAAAATTATCACATTACTGTAATCTTATTCTTGATTAAATTTCCTTTAAAAGAACAGTAACATTAAACAGAACTAGAGTTACATAATTATCAACCATTAAACAACATCTACAACAAACAAAGATAATTAAACAAAGAAAAACAACTTCCCACAAGTTTTCCATATCTATTGCTCCGAACAAACCACAACACAAAACTCAAACCACCTTTCGTGGCCTCCCTCGCTTCCGCGGAGCAGATCCCAATCCCCCATTTGCAACAGCCACAGCTGGTTTCCCTACATTGGGAGCATTCACCACGGGCGGCAGGATCCAATTATGAACCTCGGAAGACTCAGGCCCCTCAGAACCCAAAGTTGGAAACACGAAGCCCATGGGAAAGAATCCCCAGTGACAATAATAAGCCTCTTGACCCGGCACGAGTGGAGGCAGAGACGGAATGGAAAGGCCATGGAAGGATCTTTCGCAATTCTGGCACCTCAAACAACAACCCTGGTAAACCCTAGGGTACTCGTACAAACGATAACAGTAGGGACATGCAGTCCAGAAACTCACTGATTCGTCCAAACCGGGGTTCCCCCTTCGAACCGGTAACTTACCGTGGTGAACTGAACCGGAGAGGTCAAACCGGCAGATGTCGTTATCATAAATGGGCTTTTGGACAGGGTCTGATAAAACAGCCCATGCATCGGCAACAAGCTTGAAAGCTTGGTCAGCAAGGGAGAAAGGGTTCTTGTCGGGGTGAAGGAGAATGGCGAGTCTACGATAGTTTTTTCTGATGAGGTCAAGGTCTTGACAACCGCGATCGAGTTGGAGAATAGCGTACCAATCGAGGTGGTTGTTGCTGATGGGTTTCTCCGCAGCGACAAGGACATCGACGATGGCGATGATCTGGTCTGAACCTTCTTGAAGCGGTTCCGTTTCCTGCGCTAGAATGGCAAAGTCCCTTGAACTGTAGAGATCACGGCTCTGCAATAGTTTTTCGCCGATTCCGAGCAAGCGTTCGGCTTCGGCTCTGTTTGTTTCCATTTTTTGTTTTATTTTTCTGACGGGCCTTCGACTGCCTTCTTGGGAATTACAGGCCGAACTACCCACGTATTAAATATGTTTTTAGATAAACAAAGTTATATATAACAAAATAAATTTATAAAAACTAAAAATTATATTATTTTTTTAACTATAAGATGTTCTTATAAGTTGTTTATAAATATTTACAAACACTTCATAAATATTGTATGTTACTTTATTCAGTTTTTTTTTTCTAAAAAATGATAACTAATCTTCTTTAGAGTAAAATTTCAGTATTTTTTATATCTTCGTTCTAAAAACGAAATAGAAATTTTTTAATCAAACAAAAATAGTTATTATTATTTTAAGTAGTGTAATGTTAATAATATATGTTGAAGTATATTTTTTATGGTTAATTAAATTTTATTTTAAAACAAACAAAAATTGTGAATTTTACTCATATTTTTGTAACTTCAAAAAAATTGTGAGTTTAAGAGTGTAATTCAAAGGCTTATCATTTAAGAAAATAAATATGTATTCAAGGAGAACTAAAGGGAAAATTTTCCTAAACTTGCCAATAGTTTAGGTAAGGAAAAAAAAATTAATTATTCATATTTTTAGTCCTTTTAATTCATATTACTAGGCTAGTTTTTCAATTTTTTTCTTCTACTTGAGTGTATTTATCTTTTTTTTTATATAAATCTAATCCATGTTAAATTTTTCTTTCAAGTTTTTTTTTGTTATATATATATATATATATATATATATATATATATATATATATATATTATATGTGTGCATGCAAGTTCATACTTTGAGCACGTGTGTGTATGAATAATAAAGTTTAGTTTTTATTGTTTAATCTTAAAAATTAAGATATTCTTTTATTATTAAAAGACGTTAGAAATATACTTTATAAAAATTATAAATTATTAGTTAAAATTTATTATAAATGTATAAATATAGGATTAAAATTTCTATAATTTTGTTTATAAAGTTAAGTCATTTAAACGATGGCATACAAATTAAAAATATATATTTAATTGTCTTATTTTTATCAAAAGCATTGTAAATTTTTTCTTTAAACATTTTTAGAATTTGTTTATGCAATAAATTAGTAGATAAAAAATATTTAAAAACTAATTTTTGAGACAATAATCATCTAAGAAGTAAATTTGAGAGACAAAAAAATAATATTTTAAAATTGTAAAATACTATTTTTTTTAAATTAATTAGTAAAGTTAATAAAAATTAATTTATCATATTTTAGATTAAAAAAATTACATTTTAATTAGTTAGTTTTAAACATTAAAAGATAACTTCATCATTAAGAAATATTAAAAACACATTTTAAGTTATTTGTTAAAAAATCATTAGAAACTATAAAAGTAAGAAAGATAAATAATAATATATCTATGTATGAATAACAATCATTTAAATTTTCTATACAAGAATTAATAAATATATTTATTATCTTATTTTTATTTGAAATTATAAAAAAATTATTATTATTAGTTTAGAATTTGTTTATGCAATAAACAAATAGAGAAAGAAGATTAAAAATGAATTTTGAGATAATAATTATCTTGGGAGTAAAATTAGAAAAAAAAAAAAAGGTTATACCTTGAGAAAAACAAAATTAGCTAAAGAGAGAAAATTAAGAGTGAAAAGGGTTTTTTTTAATAATTTGTATTTAAATATTAAAAATGTGTTATTGATATTTTGTCTATTGTTTTATATTTTAAATACAAAATATATATTTAATAATTTAAAATATAAGAAATTTTAGAAACTGCATTACTCTAGGACATGGTATATAATTATAGGATATACATCAATAAATTTAAATTTATTTTTTTAATGATTTTAAATAGTGTCATTTCATGTTTGATTTAAGAGAAACTTTTATTTATTTTTTATTTTAATTTACGTTATGTTTTGACAGATAAATACAATAGACTATTTTTTTATATATAATCTCACTCTATATTTAATTGATATAATATGATAATTTTATATTGTATATATAATAAAATAACACAATATTTAATTATTATTTTGATATACATTAAAAGTAAAATAAGAGAATAACTTATTTTACTTTGTTTTTATTTAATAATCATTTTATGTCATTTTTTAATCATATATAAAATAATAATAAAATTTAGCAAATAATCTTCTTATCCATGGTAACTATTTTTATATAGGCTTAATTATATTTGTAGTATCCACAAAAGTAGTACTTTTTTAGAAAAAGTTTTTTTTAAAAAAAGTATTAAAATTTAGTTTTCAACATTTTAAAAATATTTGAAATAATTGTTTATCAATTATCTTATATTAATTAATGAGTTAAATAACATTACTGACTTTTCATTTTGATTTTAATATTTTATTATATAAAATTAATATTTACAAAATAATTTTATTAAAAACTAATAATTAATTTAAATATTTTTTTTTCTTTCTTTCTCCCTTCTCTCCACCTAGAGACTAGAGACTACTCCATCAGCATCTACTCTGATATCTGCAAATGATAACAAGAATGGTGGTGATTTGGTTCTATTACTTTTTGAAATAAGAAAAGTAATGAGGATTGGATGGACATGGCTGAAAGTGAAGCAAGTTACATTGGTGGCGATAAAGACAGCCACAATAAGGTTGGCAACACTTTTTGTATTAGCTGTGGGTGGGATTTTTTAAAAATAAATTAAACATTATTCAGGGGCTTTTTAATAAAATATAATATATTAAAATATTAAAAATAAATAATAACATATCAATAATGAATTAAAATTTTATTATTTAACTTTTTACTTAATAAACAATATTTAACATATTATTATAAACTAAATTTTAATTATTTTTTAGACTTATTCTAAAAAGTGTTATTTTTATAAATATAAAAAATATAATTAGGACTCTTTTATAATCACTATAGCCACTGGCACAAGAGTGTGAAAAGGTTTTATTTGTTTCAAAATATAAAAAATGGCAGAATAAAAAGGTTAATCAAATAAATTTGTGATTAAAATTTAATCAGCATGAAACGTAGAAGACACAAGGAACCAAATCAGTGATTATTAATACTACTGAGTCACTGTAGTGATTCAAATTTATCTTTGTACATTAATTTTCTTTTTGTTATGAATTACTTTTTTTAGCAGCGACATTGTATCGAAATAGAAAGTAAGAAAAATAACATCTGTATATAAAAAATAATATGCTTTATTTGGATGAAAATATTATAAATAATGATATAATTTAATAATGTTAACTGTAAAAAATAGAAAAAAATGAAAAAAATCTCATTTGTTAGTTAATATTTTATTTTTTCTTCAACTAAATAGGAGGACTGTACATAACGTGATAATAAGGGACATCAATGAAACATCTTAATCAAAATTTTGAAGTATTATGCCGTACACTTAATTATTAATTATTTGCACCTTGATTATTAATATAAAAAGCAAAAGAAAAAATAGTTTAGTAATAATGGACTATATTTAGAAAAACTACCCATAGGCAATAGCAAGTCAGAAAGCACAATGGCCATGATGTACGAAAAGCAATAATCTACTTAAATAAATACATAAAATATTCATTGAAAAAATAAATATGAAAATTACAATTTATAACATTAAAAAAGTATAAATTCATAACTTCAAAACTTGAATCCAACCACAGGTTCAAGAGAGATCACATTCACGTCTATGTCACTCTTAAAAACCAATGGCAGTTTTTCCTACAATAAATTATTGTTTTTAAATATCCCTATGTATTTTGACCATTGATCATGGTGGTCTTATTTATTTAAGCAAATTTAGCTAAAAAAATATTAAAAAATATACATATGTTATAAAAATATAGAAAGAGTCCAGCGTTTTTTAGCTATAAAGGGAAGGGTTTCTTTCCTTTCTTGATAAACCAGTCAGCATTCCAATCAAGGTTATCTTTCTTTGATTCTTTCTGTTTCTCTCTCTATCTTCTGTGTCTCTTTTTGTGTTCCTAACTCCCAAAAGTTCCCAGTTGTGCTCTACCACTTCCTTTCTTTGGTAATAATCTAACTGGTAACATTTTCCCCCGTTTATTCTATATGCTTTCACTGATCCAGATGATGCTAGCTAGATCAATCCAGCTACGGTGAAATCATTAAAACTAAAACCCACCACTCCAAAGCTTTCATCATATCCTTGCATGTTAACAACCTTCCTTTTGTGTGGTAGATTCTTTTTTATATTCTTGTGTTTATTGTTAGCCAGATCTGAAAGTAGGTGTGCTATACTAGGGTTTTTTTTATGCTAAGCAAAAAAAAGTAAATTTCTTTTTCTTTATAAGCATAATATTATGCTTATATATTTATTTTGTTTAGAGATAAAGCATGAGATTATGGATGGAAGGATGTATGGGTAAGAGTTCAAGGTTTTTTTTTTTAAGTTGTAAAATTAATTTTAAAATTTTCTAATTAAAAAATACTTGTTTCAATTTTATATATATATATCATTTAAGATTAATTTATATGCATTTAAAAGTTTAAAATAAATTTAAAATGACACGGAAGAAGATCAAAATAAAGAAGATCGATAACAAGGCAGCGAGGCAAGTAACATTCTCTAAGAGGAGGAGAGGGCTGTTCAAGAAAGCTGAAGAACTTTCTGTGCTATGCGATGCTGAGATTGGCCTTATTGTTTTCTCAGCTACTGGGAAGCTCTTTGATTATGGCAGCTCCAGGTACGGCGTTGTTGCACTATTTAATTTTCAGTACTATTTTTCTCTCAGTATATGAATACATGCACTGTACATATATGTATAACACATTCTTATGTAGTTTTCAATGAATTCACGTGTGCTTCCTTTCAATCATTATGTACGGTGTTTGAGTGTGGGAGAGACTGAGTGAGAGAGAGGAGAGGGACGGAAATTAGGTGTAATATAATTATGTGTTTGGAGCAGAAACCTCGTTTCATTCCCTTTTTTCCCTTAAGTACATGCACATGGAAATTTAATAGTTTATTGAAGCTCTATGAAAGGGTGTTGTGAGAAATCAAAAAGAAACTGCATCGTTAATTTATAAGCTTTTGATTATTATAGTATTTTATTGTTTTTACTATTTTTATAATACTAAAAAAGAAAAACAAAGTGAAAATTGTGATGATATTTTAGTAATTACTAATAAAATTATATAAATAAAACAAAAGACTTGAGCTTTCTGACATTAATCGGAACTGAATCTCCTTCCAAGCTCAATCAACATGATATTTGTGACCAATAGCATATGCTATAATCTTACAATATATATTTTGTAGATAGACTAGTTTGTTTATACATTCGATCCGTTTAAGCCTCTAATCGTTTCATTTACACATTGATTCATTTGACTGAATGGTGTATAGCTTTAGGCTTTTCGCATCTAACTTTTTCTGCATGGTTCTGAGATTCAACTGGTTGAGCATGTCTTATTGAATAAGTGATGTTGGGTAGAACAATAACTATACATGTATTGTGTATGGGAATGGGAATTGGAAAATGCAGATAAGGGCTTGCTTATTGCTTGTACTCATGCTTTTTTGTTTTATAAAACGGTTTTTAAGCATTGTTTTTGAAAAGGGAAAAGAAAACTTTTTTTTTTACTTGTTTCGAATAACCCATTATTTTCCCTTCTCTTCTCTAAAAACCATTCATTTCACTTCTCTTCAATTCATGATGACCGAAAAGGGAGTTGATCTCGGCACTACCTATATTCTACTCACTCACATATGCAACAAACTATATTTTTTAACTGAAATTGAACTGATTTTTTAAACACTTTCTGAAATCTCTTGTCGACAAGGTTTTTCTTTTGTTGTGTTTTTAAAAAACTAAAATTAGTTTGGTAAAACATTAAGCAAACATGTTATTAATCAACTGTTGGATTTTGTTTTGTTGTGAAGTTTATGTACTTTTTCTCCAAAATTATGCTTGTGCTTGTAGGAATATATAATTTAATTCCTTGAAAAAACATGAAATTCTTTTTATATAAGTAAAAATTGTGATTTATAATTTTGATTATGAAATTCTGATTGATGATGATGTTGTTAGTTTGTTTGAAATAGTTCATAAAGAAATTATTTAAATTTATAGAAATAATTTATATTTTTATAATTTTTTATTTCAGTAAATTTATTAGAGTGAGTTATTAAAATTTGATTTTTTATTTTATTCTAATAATTTTTATGGTTAAATTTATAGTGTAAGAATTTTCATGTGATAAAAATTATTAAATAAATACTTAATTAACTAAAGTGTTTACTCGAATACATTTTTAGTGTAGTAGATGTTCTTTTTCCAGACGTACTTAAGGACTTTAATAAAGGACTGATTAAATTGATTACTTTGAAATTGATCGTAATTAGATAATATGTTTGTCTTAAAAACGAGGACCTGGTTCATTAGTTTTGTATGGGAAGGAGAGGGTTCTCATCAGTTTAACTATATTAATGACAATTAGTCAAGTCTTTTAAGTTACCAATTCTTACATAAATATCATTAGTACCTAAATAATCTTAAATTTAAAGAAAGAAACATCCATCATGAAGTTTTCATTCTATCGAAGTGCTCCTTGGTGAAAATGTTAGGTAGCTTTCGTAGGCAATGATAATATTAATCTAACATGTCCAAACAACTTGTGTTTGTTGCCTGACCCTTTGTGAGACGCATGTTCATCCCACATAGCTAAACTATATACTCAGTATGTTAGGGCAATGATGTGATAAAATGGAAACAAACGTCATGGACTACGCAAGGGTCTTTTCCTTTTAATTTGTTAATTAAGGATAGGTTCACTATGCCAAAAAAATATTTAGAAAGCGTTTAAAACTACTCTAAAATTCGTGCTATTCAATATGTTATATTTAAGAGAGCGGTTAAAATTATTAGAGAGCAGTTTCATGTGTAATTGCTATCTAAAGTATAAATGTAAAGATTGTAGAGATGTTCCACTAAGAACCATATGACCACGAATATAAAATTTTAATTTTTTTTTTGTGAGTTAATTTATTATTACGTTTAAATTTTAATTTATAAGTTTGACATTTATTTTTATTTTTATTTTTATCACAAATCAAAATTAAATTTTGGTTTGTATAATGTATTAACTAAACAATTCATATTTTCATGAAGAGAACACAAGTAAGCAGTACAAATTAGCAGAATGACTCACTCTTAATGAAGAGGAAAAAAAAAAGAATAAATTATTCACTATTAATAAAAAAAATTGTGAAAAAGATACTTATAAGTATGAAAAAAGAATAATTTATGACTTTGGAGAAGAGTTCTCCCTACTCTTTTAAGTATAGATATGAAATTCTTAAAAGTATAGATTTGAAAATATTTCAATGCTAATTGCTTTCTAAATATATTGTTATTGTTACATAGCAGTTCAAAAAATTCTTGTATGGTATAGTAATTTTTTCAAGAATTATATTATTTAAACATGACTCTTTGACATTGTATTTATTTGTTTTCATCTCTCACTTTATTTTTTATCCCTTTTCTTCGTATGTATACACTAAAAAATACTCCACAAAAGTTGAAAGGACAACAAATATTGTACGAAATTGCCATACAAAAACACCTCTTGCTCAGTAATTTCGTACTTGTGTACTATAGTTTAAATTCACGAGAACTTTAATTTACTTCCTACCACCAGCTCTCTCAGTGACCTGAACCATCTACCAAAAGGATGATGGTATTCTTGTATATCAAGGTTAAAAAATATAAATTATTAGAGATTAGATCTGTGAATGATACATAATTATAAACGTGAATATTCATAAAAATTGACAAAAAAAAAAAACACAATCACTAACATTGTTTGTGTGAAACAGATGATTAACTGTACATCTTTGACTCTATTGAACGTTTTTTAATACAAACTTCTCACGTACTCCTATGCAAGTTATTAGAAAACATCATGTCCTACAGATAGCTTTTTTTTTATTATATAAAAATGACTAGATTATGCTTATAACTTGCATTTGGGTAATTTTTTTCTCCTTGGTAAAGACGTGCAAACAGTCATTAAGATGATTGCTTTGATTTCGAACAAGAATGTTATCTTTAAATGAGAAGTGAAACAGCTAGAAAGAGAAAAAAAATTAGAGGAATGTAAATTAAAAACAAAATATATACTATTTAGATTGATAAAGATAATAAAATAATTTTTTATTAGTTTAAATAAGTGAAACGATATAAATTTTTTATATAAATTAAAAAAGTAAATTTTAATTAAACTATTTATTTTATTAAATTTAATGTAAAATTGATTTTTTTTGTATTATAAAAACTAATTCAATTTTTAAACAAAATAGAAAAAGGTAGGTTTGCTATCCCCTCCATTTCATGATATTTTTAGACGTCAGTCCCACCTCTCCCTGTAAAAATAGTATCTCATTTTTTAGTTTTTCTTTTTCATTATTTTCTTTTCCTCAATTTACATCTAACAAACAATGGGAAAAACTGAGATTTACGGGGTTAGAATAAAAATTGATAGGTTAAACTTTCTGCTTCAGCCTATACTAATTAAATTGGTATGAATTAGTATCAACATTCATATATGGAAACATAAACAAGTCGTGATGCATGTTATCCTTAATTCCCTTCGTATTAACATCATTCATTCCCTCATTCTTAATATACAATTCCTAATTAGACTACCTGTGTGTGTCCTATATTCGTTCATGGGTTCACCAGTACATTCAGACTTTTTAAAATGCATTTTATATGTGGCTTCATTCTACTATATATGTTGTATAAGGAAAGGAAGTTTGTGCTTAGTAAATAACTTCAATTGGCACTGAATAGACAATTATTGCAAAACGGTATTGATTTGAAATTATGATGACTGCAACTTTACGCATTAGTAACTAATATAATTTTGGTTTTTTACAAATAGCGCAGCTAAATACAATGGGAGGCATCAATTACTTTAATTTCACTTTTGCAATTAATGTTGTTTGTGTTGGCAAAAATCTTTGCCATTTGCTTTATTTCCATTAAAAATGTATTTAATTTGACGTTTGTTGCTAACTTTTTCTTCACCCTTGTCTCTTCTTGTTTTCCTGGTAAAGTATGAAGGACATAATTACAAGGTATTATAGGCACTCCCATGTCATCAACACCAGACCTTCACCGGAACCGCAGGTTTGTCCCCTCCCTAAAAAAAAGCAGTTCTTATATTATGCTTTTGTCTATTTATTAGTTTGCTAAAGTTGTTGGTGACCAAAGTAAAAATTTCAATTGTTTATATAATTGCTCTCATCATATTAATATGTTACCATATATACATTTATATCAACACATTATTTATTAGTATATACTTTCAAAGTCTATACGAATAATTTAATTTTTATTAGATAAAAATATGCTGCTATTTGTCAGTAAATAATAATTTTTTAGGTAGTGATTGATTAAGCTGTACTAGTAACTGGCAGCTGTATAATTGTTCATTTCAGCTAGTGGATAACAATAACGCCAAATTGAGTAAGGAAATTGCAGATAGAAGCCAAGTACTAAGGTATATCAATTTTGTAAAACATTAGATGAGCTAAAATGCAAGAAAAAGGAAGATGAATTTGAAAATCCACTGTCTTTATTTTTTGATGGACCAGTCAGATGAAAGGCGACGATCTTCAAGGACTAGACCTAAATAAGTTGCGGCAATTGGAGAAAACACTTGAAAAAGGACTCAACCGCGTGATTGAAATTAAGGTACACACAGAAGGTTATTTGGTTAATTTGAATAAACCTCTAGTGCGTGTTCATGATTTGTACTAATAAGTTCAACTTTTACGTTCAGGAAAAGAGGATTATGAGTGAGATTTCCGACCTTCAGAAAAAGGTTTGTTGACATAGCTTGATGATGAAGTTAGTGTTTGACAATTTTTAGTCAAATTGAAAAGCACGTAATTCTGGTCCCTGAAAAGATAAACTTCTAAATTGTGAGTCAAACTAAATATTATTTAAATAAATAATAAAACAAATTAACAGATTGTTGCTAGAGAAACCATATGAAAATATGAATGGTTTAGAACTAGATTAAAATAATAACAACACACCAAATAAAAAAATACACATTTTTAAAGGACAAAGACAAATAATTTATTAAAATATTACTTTTAGGCATGATTTATGTACTCCCTAATTTACGTTCTCGATCACTTCTGACTTTTGAGGATTGTTGCTTTCTTTCATGTATTTTTCTTATAAAGGGAATTGAGTTGGAAGAAAAGAACAAACATTTAAAGCAAAAGGTGAGAAATTTACTAATAAGAATATATGATCAATGTATTGGTTTGTTAAAAGATAATATCAAGTTAAATTAATCAGTTAGTGGAGATGCAGATAGAGGCAATGTTGGGTAAAGCAAAAGTTCCTTCCCTGGTAGGCTCAAATATGAAGATGCAAGAAGGTGTCTCATTAGAGACTATGAATGGTATTAGAAGTTGCATAAATGACCTTCCTCTTGAGGATGGTTCTTCGGACACAGCTCTTAAGTTAGGGTAAGCAAACTGAAACAAACATTTATACAACATAGTAAACACCCATAAGGATTAAACTTGTTTCTTTCTCCTATGTTTACTATTAAGTTATACAAAAGTTTGTTTTTAACTTATTATTACATTTGTTAAACAGTACCTTTGTTTTTCTCAGGTTGCCCTTCTTTAACTGAAGATGTAACTTAGTGAAAGAGTCTAGTCCCATTTTGGCGTTACCAATAATTTTTATTTACATTGTGCCCATATGTTTTTGTTGGATTTGTTTATATGGATGAGAAGTGTATTTTAAATGTAAAAATGTAAAGTTATAGTTATTAATTAAAAAATCATCGAATTGCATTATAACAATTTCACAATTCGTAATATATTTATATGTATTTTTATTACAATATTAGTTGTTAATTTTTCAATTAATAGTTATAACTATATATATATATATATATATATATATATATACACACATTTTTTTTCCTTTTGTCTAGAGGATATATTCATGAGAATCAAATCTAATTTTGTTGATTTTAATGTACTTATGAGTCTATATATCATTATAGAATATTGTTATTTAATGACCTAGTATATATTGAATTAGCATTTGTTAATGTAGCCCATTTTTTAAATAATAATATAAATATTATGATATTTTATTAATAATGTGATATATTATGGACCTGTTTATTTCGGCTTTTGAAAGAAAAAAGTATATAAAAAAATTTCGATGTTTTTATAGAGGTTACAATTATAAAAAGTAGTAGACACATAATTTCAACTTTTTTCTAGAACCATTCAAAACAGTTTCTCTGAAGTTATAACCAGATTATTTGCAGCTTCTGATAATTTTTATAATTTTAACTAAACAATCTTAAAATTTTAGAAAGTGATTAAAAATTTGATTTTTCATAAAAATAATCTTAAACAAACGAATCCTGTATTAATAAATAATTCAGTTATATATAACGCATTTCTAATTAATCCTTGGAGTTAAAGAAGTTAATGGCTACCTTAATAATTTTTTTGAAGTACTTAATATGTTGAATGCGAACTCCTTAAAGGTAAATTTGCCTCTTATAATTTTATTCATTTACAAAACAATGTGTCTGGTAAGTTTTTTTGCCGTTATTTTTTTAAATATTGGCATAATTTGATTTTGATTTTTTTAATTATAACTTTTTTATATAAAAAATATATCGTGGTTTCCCGTAATTTTATGAAACTGAGTATTTAAATTTTAAAGTTTGCAACGATTAGAATGATTGAGAAATAATAATAATAATAATAATTCCTCTCTACGTTTTATCGCTTTCTTATTAAGAAAAGGATAAAAAAAATTATAATCCAAATGCCACCTGACAGTTTTTTTTATTATAATTTCCTTTCATGGGTTATATATTTATTTTACTTGATAATACCTGTCAAGTCTTCCGTTTATCGACATTGATGTATAAATGACATTGTATAAAGATTTATATATAACAAGTTTTATTGAAATTGTATAATTTAATATATTAATAATATTATTCAATAAAATTATAATATAATATTAAATGTTGTAATTTGTAATAAAATGTATTATTTAATAATCTATTATTGTGTTAATTAATATAAGTTAATAAAATAATTAGGTGTTTTGAAAAATAAAAACATAATTTATAATTAAACATGCAGTAATTATTATAGTCTAAATATGAAAATAAATTATTAAAGTGTAAAATACTTGTAGAGAGTAAGTCTTTGAAATTGTTGCACATGGATTGAGAAAGTGAAGGAGACACTAATTGAGTAGTGTCCAATATGATTATTATTATTATTTTTTAACTTTTATGCGAATCTTAAATGATCAGTTTTCTTATAAAATACTTTTGTTGAAAAATACAATTTTGAAAAACGTCAAGAGTGATAATTACTAAAAGTATAATTTAAAATATTCACATGTAATATGAGAATCTAATGTTCTTAAATTATAATTTTTAGTAACTTAAAAGAAACTTATTACGAAACATACACTGTGTTTAGGTGGACTTAAAATAAGAAACATGAAAGAATAAAAAAAAAATTGATTTATTTAGTTGGGGAAGGGATCTGAGAAGTGTTGGATTTTTTATTTTTATTAATTGAATTATTTATAAATTTTTACACAGTATAAATAATTAATAAGAAAACGTATGATAACAAAAGAATTTTTTTTTCAGCTATATACAATTTTTTGGTTGTAATTTAATTATTTTTTGTTCGTTTAAATATGATGATATTTGTTTTCACTTTTTTCTAACCCATTCAAACAATATATTTATTTTCATTTTCTTAAAAGTATTTCAATCTTCTAGTATATTAACTTTTAACGAATAACTCTTGTTATTACTGACTTTTCTTTTAAATTATAAACCATTTTTTTTAAAATCAAGTGCTTATTTTTTTTAATAGCCTTGATTTTTTCTTCTTTTCATTATAATTTTTAATACTTTACATAATTAATTATTCCTGTTTTTATATAATTACGAACTATTTTATCTTAAATGTTTATGAAATTATTTAAGTATTATATATATATATGTTAAGATAATTGATGTTTAAATAATTTAAACTCAATATAAAAATAAATAATTTTAATATAGACCGATATAAAGGAACAAATTTATTATATTTTTCATTTTAAAACCATTTATTATTAGTCATCACTCATAAATTAAATTTATATTTAAAAATAGTAATTTTTTATTTTAGTCATTAAAATATATATCGTAGTCCCTTACATTTAAAATTTAAACTTTAGTGTTAGAATTAAAATTTTTCAAGTATTTTAATAGTTGTTAAATAATGTAAAAATATGATTTATTAAGTGACATGTTAAAATCTATTTTAGACACACAAATAAATGTTATTTTATAATTTCAAAAAAATACTATTTTTGTAATTATTTTTAAAATTTGTGAATTTTGATATCTTATATGTCTCTTTCTTTTCAATTTCATTGTCAAAATTTAAATATGTTTCTTTTGCTATGAATGCAACTACTTCCTCCTTCACTATATGCTTATTAGTTTGGCTGTAATAACAATAAAAATTGGCATGCATTGCTCCATTGAGGTTTTTGCCATCTATAATACTTGTTTCGATTTTTTTATGACTATATGGATGGATCCCAATGAAAATTTGTTCAACAATGATAGATATCAATAAATTTTTAGATGTAAGTGAAGCTAAAAACTTGAAAAGAAAAGGAGAGATGAGAAAATTTGTAAATATAGATGTCAAACATTATAGAATATTTGAGATATGTCATGTTTATTTATCATTCAAAAGTACTCATTTCTTCTACACTCTCATTCGTCATATTTTAAATATTATTATTGTTATGTTCGAAAAAGGATAGCTGTTAAAGAAAGATGATAAAGCAAAATAAGATTTTTTTTTTTAAAACAGATAATAACAAATCACTGTTCCATTGTCATATTTTAACCTTTTTTTTAATGACAAAGGCCAGTTTTAATCGTAATAATTAATGTTTAAAAATTTAAACATAAAAAATTAATCCTAGTAACATTACATATTCCATAAATTAAAGTAAAAATGTAATCATTTAAATAGTCTAACTTAAATATTTTATTAATATAAAATTCCATACAAATAATTAATTTAAAATATTTTAAATATAATATTTGAAAAAATATTATCAATATAATATTTTATAATTAAACATCAATATGCATATTTTTTATATAAAATTTTTAAATTTACTTGGCACGAAATACTACTTCCACTTTTAATAATTAATTTTTTTTAAAATATAAAAATGAAGACTAATTTTTAAAATATAAATATTTAATAAAATCATTCAAATTATAAATGTTCATTATTTTAGTCATCGAATTTATTAAAAATTTAATTTAATCTTTGAATTATTTGTAAAATATAAAATATCAGTTCTTTTATTAATTTATTTTATAACAATTGACAATAAAAACAAAAATATAAAAATTAAAATGAATAAAACTGTAAATAAATTAAAGTAAATTTTTTAGAAAATTAAGAATTAAAAGGATTGACACTTATAAGTAAAGAGATTAAAATAAGTATTTACTTATTTTTAAACATTTTAATTGTTAATTTTTTATAATTTTACTAATTACAAAAGTGATGTTGACAATTTTTTTTTTATATTTATATAAATGAATACAATTTTTTATTTAATATATAATATATTAATTTGAACATTTAATATTATTAACATTGATAAAATAAATTTTAAATTTATGAATATAATAATAATTTTTTAATTTCAATAAACTAAATATTCAATATATATTTAAGAAAGAAGTTTAATTTTTTTTAATGAAAATAGATATATTTATTATTTTAAAATCATAAAATATAATTAATACATAATTTTATAATAATTTTAAATATTTAATAAGATACATTAAATATTTTTATATATATATCATTAAATACATGTGAAAAAATCATCAATAAATTAAATGTGTATTTTTTTATCAAATAGTACTGAGAGAGTTGTTGCCCCTAAATTCCGAACTCGAAAGAAAAAGCTATGAAGTTTCCAACGGAGGTTTAGGACAGCTGGCTTCTTCTAATTGGCGGAATTAGACACTATTTAGGGCATTCTTCAACGCACATCGAAGCCCAAAGAGTGGTATCACAGCTTGCATCAATTTCGCGCTCTCAGCTCAAAAACCCTCGTCGAAGTCGATGAGCAAGTCTCCGCGCAGAGATCTACAAGTCTTCGATTTCAAGGAAGAGGATGAAATTGCCTCCGATAAACACGATTTTCTCGCTCGCGGTTAGACGATTTCCCCTAAATTCGAATTTTACGAAACAAACATGATCTTCAGTTAGAATTCTTCATTTATATAGTCGTTTTGCCTTTTGGATGGTAATTTTCTAGGTCGCCATTGCGATATATATTTAATATTTTCAATTTCAGTTTTTAAGTATAGCGTATGCTTCTTGTAGTTAATTTTTTCTTGTTTTGAGAACTAAACAAATCCACAAACAATTAAAAAAGTTCAAATGTTATGATGTCTGGCTATCTTTGTTGAGATAAGCTGGATTATCCTTAACACAAGACGATGTTGAATTCATGGAATGGCATTAAACTTTACACACTTTGGTGGATAGATAATGAAGAATGCATATAAATATATAATTATTATAATGAAATTAAAAAACATTGAATATAATAAAATGTTAATACCCACAAGTAATATCCTACTCAGCATCAAGCGTCTTAAATCTTAGTCGCATTATGGATTATAGAAATGATACTGTTTTGGGAACTCACCACTTTCAGGTGAATGTGAAACAATACATGGTTGTATTATTGAAAATGTGCTTTAGCTTTGCCATTTCTTTCTTATGTTAGTAATTTTAAATTCAAGTTGAAATAGTTTCCCTTGCATATTCCCCGCTTCTTTCTTTTTCTTGTTTATAATATAAGAATTTTAATTCAATATGGCTGTCATAACTCTGTGTCTTGCTTTCATTCATCTTCAATTTGGCTTTCAATTAAATTGATTTTGCATAGGTCATGTGATGTATTGACAGATTCCCAGGTCAACAAGGTTGGCATAAATAGTGTTGCCAGTATTCCTTGTGTTGATGTTGATGTAGCTGGTGCTATTTTTAATCTGGGAAAAGGTGGTTCCGACCCCTCTTCTGATACAATGGAATATATATATGATAGCAAAGAGAAGAGCTCTGAGTTGGAAGCTGCTAATCAATCTAATTCAGTTAGTCATGAAAATCACCGTCACTGTAAAATAGATATGCATAACTATGATGAACCAGAGAAAATGGATACAAATGAAGTATCATCACCTGAAACGAGCCAGATTGATCCTTCAGGGTCTTCATACAGTGTACTGTAACTTCAATTTGTAAGATTACAGCCTAAGGAAATGATTTAATTCTGAGGTTTATGTGCATGTTCAATTTTTTTTGCAGAATGAATCAGTTGATGTCAATTCAGAGGCTGATGAGGGCATGAATGAGAGTGCTCCAACAAGTCCTGCTTCTGATATTGCAGAGAATGGTGGTCTATTTTATCATAATTGTGGATTTTGATACTTATTAACTCTACAACATTTAATTTGGAAATATTAGGTTGCAGCTTGCTCACTAAACTTACTGTTTGTCATTTCAGTTTCATTAAATGGTCATGGATTCAATGGCACAGACAATTCTGACATGGTAATTTTTTTTTCTTTAATATAACTGAATCTGTTTGTGCTAAAAAATTTTACATTTCATGCAGCATTTTTCACCTTTTGAGGTTTTTTAGATTTGGTATTGTTGGCTGTTCTTGTACTGTTGTCATTTATTGCTATTTAGTTTTTCTTTACAGATGCCTATTTTTTGGATTAGTTTGTCTCACCCCCTACTGATTCATAAAGTTTATCTAATTTTTATCTGAAATATGAGTTGGTGTACAAAACATTTGGGTTGCGAACTCTGTACTTTCCTATCTCTAAATCTAGTAGATCAATAATAAATGCTTTCTACGCATTTTATTCATTATTTTTGTGCTATATTGTGTTGGTTCATTTTTTTTGTATTTAATATTATTTTCTTTCATGTAATCTTCAGGATGACACAAATACAGAAGTTGTTCTTCATCCTGATTATGTCATATACCAGGATAATTATTATATGGGGCCAAAGTTAACCTTTTCACCTTGTTGCATCAAGTTCAATACTTCAACTGCATGTATAAAGCAAGAAGCCTTTGATCTTGAATGGGCAGTTGATGATCTCATTGATATTAAGTGTCAGTTGTTTAAAAATGTGAGTTTTGTAGTTCTGTTGCTTAAAATACATACATACATACACAAAATGTGTGTGTTCTGTAATTCCTGACTGATTTGCAATTTCTTCAGAGTGGAATGGTCATTATGAAGCTTCGTGTCATATCAATTAATGCAACCCAGTCAAATCATGTTAGCGATGCTTCAGGTGAGTGTAGTTATTGTAGTTGATCAATGAGGAATGGCTTTCTTCTTCATTATAGCTTGGCATACTTGACAGAACTTGTCATTTTTATTTAATCTGTACCTATAAATTTATTTGAGTAATTTCTGGTATCATGAGTTTGTAGAGTGTTTGCAGATAGTATCTTCTTGTTTACTGATTGTAATGCATGTGCATATGCTAGGCATTGAGGAATTGGAGATTGCGGTTGTTGATTCCAATTGGTCTCAGAGACATAAACAGATCACATCTCTTAATATGAAATACTTGGCTATTTGGAACATTGTGCTTCAGTAAGTCATTAAGTTGTATTTTTATCCTTGGTCAGTTGGTTATCCATTGCAGGTTTTCATTTGTAGGCTACTGGTTTCCATCAATTATATTCGATGAATAGGTTGCAACTCATGAGTCTTGACTAGACTTTGTTGATTGTTATGTACGTTTTTTGTATACAAAATTATGATGTGTAATTTCATTTCACAGTTAAGTTTATTTTTGGTTTAAAATTGATTTGAATTGGATATGTTTTGTGCTCCAAATGCCAATTTGTATCATTTTAATGAATGTAGTATTCTTATCATCAGTTTTTATCTTGTAGTATGGATGTAGAAGGCCATGAAACTGATTCATGTGGATCAAGATGCTACTTCCCTAAGTAAGAGTTGTTAACTTCCTTTATCTTTCTGAACAAGCATGCTTATATGTATTGATACCATAGCTTTTGTTTTGAAATTTTTTTCTGCTTTTGTGTGCTACGGTGTCCTATTTCTTTTGCTGTTGCATGGTACATGCTTTCTATTAATATTTTAATCCCTGTATCCATATTTTATTCCATGGTGTAGTGTGTGCTTTTAATAAGGCTTTGTTTGGGAGTTTGGAGGGAGAATGAAACACCCCAACCAATTTATAGGAACTTAGAAACATGAGTTTATGGGGAGGTTTATAAAAATTCTTCCTCACATTTAAAAACTCTCAAACAAGGGTTACTGTCCAATAAACTTTTTCCTTTCTCCCTTAAAATTAGCTTCCAAACAAAGACTAAGATATTAGGCTTACAATGTTGACACTTTTGGGATCGTTGGTTCATGACATTCAGAGCCTTTATGACCAACTGGTCTAGATTCAATCCTTGCTACCCTATTTCTTCTAATAAAACAATCGTTGCAGATATCTTTAGTTGCTTGTTTGTTGGAAATGAGGTTGGAGTCCATGGTTACATTTGTATGGTGTTTCATGTTTTCCATATACCTTTACCTTTAATGATAAATTTGCACAATATCTGCTATTTTGACATTAAAATGTGAGCATAAATCCTCTAATTTCTAGTACTTTTTAATGTGTCTAATCGAGTGGATGTTTAAGATCATGATATCTTGGATATTTTTTCCTTTAGGGCTTACTGCTTTTTGCTTTCTACCATCCATGTTCTTTTCTTATTTTGTGTTTTGGGGTGTGTGCGTGCTCCTAACACTATATGATGGCTAAGTTTGAGAATTTATATCTGAAACAGTTTTGAGGAGCCTTTTGATGAAGTTGTCTATCCTAAAGGGGATCCAGATGCTGTTTCCCTAAGCAAGAGAGATGTAGATCTCTTGCAACCTGACACATTCATTAATGACACAATTATTGATTTTTACATCCAGTAAGTTTGCTCTCTCTCTCTCTCTCTGATGTGCATGTGCACCATTGTGTGTGTATGTGGAATGTTGCATTCTTTTTCTTGGAAATTTTATTCATCCCATATGTAAGATTGTTTATACTAATTTTCCTATGTTCTGTCCTCGGTTGCATTTTCATTCTTATAGATTGTATCTTTGTGAACCATGGGACTTTGTCTTTTTCCCTTTAAAAACTATTACATGATTTTTGTATCATCCATTTTATAATGGAATATAGCTAATCATATATGTAAACACTTTTGGGCTGGGGAACAGTAAGATATGCCATGTTTATATAAAGAGAATACTAAAACTATTGACACTTGCAGGATAATGATCAAAAGATATTAAATAAAGAAAATTTTATAGATACCGAAATTACAATAAAAGTCAAGGAGAAACTCTCCTTTACAAGACAAAATTTCTCTTCTGCCCCACCAATTTCTTCATCTTCCTCTTTATTCATGTTTTCCTTCCACTCGTCATTGTGGAAAATTTCTCCCCAATTCCCGCCTGCCATGTATAAAATCTGTTAATTCTGTCCCAACACTACCTTTTTATTCATGACAGATTTCGCCCCTTCCTCTTATACCAGGCTATTTCCTTCGTTTTTTCTGGTATAAATATGTTAAAAGACCATCAAATTATATGGTTCTTGATCTATGTAGTGATTCTTGAAAATGGTTAACAGTTTTCAAAATCTCAATTTTGTCAGGTATCTCAAGAATCAAATACAAGAGGAGGAAAAGCCTAGATTTCACTTTTTTAATAGTTTTTTCTTTAGAAAGCTGGCTGATATGGACAAAAATCCATCTAGTGCTTCTGATGGAAAAGCAGCATTTTTACGTGTTCGTAAATGGACAAGAAAAGTAAATTTATTTGCAAAGGATTATATCTTCATTCCCGTGAACTTCAGGTGAGATTCTATCAGGTTTTGCTTCTCCAATTTTCTCTATCTGTATTCAACTGCTGATCACCATTATCTTTTTGTGTGATGGTAGTCTCCACTGGAGTTTAATAGTCATATGCCATCCTGGTGAAGTGGTTAATTTTAATGGTGAGGTCTCAGCTTATGATCTTTCTTGTGAAAATGTACCTTCAGAGATTTATGTTATATGATGCATATTCCAGATAAGGAGCTGGACAAGTCACTTAAGATACCTTGTATATTGCATATGGATTCTATAAAAGGAAGTCATAGTGGTCTGAAAAACCTGGTGCAAAGGTAGATTGTAACTCATTTGCTTTCTTTATTTTCTCTCTCAATCCCTTCCCTGGCCCCAAAAAATATGTATTCTGGTTTTTATGTTCTTTATATTAAAGATGAATTTGATGTTATATATGCAAATGCAAGTTGGCGACAGCTTCATCTTTGAGAACATTGCAGTCTGTCTGTCCCCTCACCTGAATTTTGCAATTGTTAATTTTGCAGTACCTTTATTAGATTGTATTTTATCAAGCAGATAATAATGAAGTTTCTAGTTGTTAATAAACTTCTTGTAGTTACACATAATTAGTTGCAAAGTCTGACACGACTGTCAAAATATATCACAAAATTGTGTAAGCTTATCTATCAGTCCCAGAACCATTCTACGGATCTTTTCATTATATCCTTAGCTCAAGCTTTGTGTATAGTAATTATCATTTAAACTTAGTCCCATCATACTAAATTTTAGTGCAAAATTCTACATGTAAAATCTGAAGTTCTCTTAAATTATACGTAGAGCTCAGACCATTGATCCTACATTTGATGAACTGTAAATGAGTCTTCTAGATGAATTTTCTTTGAAGTTATTGAAACACATTCAATGTTGAATTTTTTTATTGTTGGAAATTGAGTTTGAACTCTGAAAATGCAAATATCAAGGTTGGTTTTTCTTTGATTCTAAATAGTGATGCAAAACGAACAAGAAAACTGAGTTTAGTGTGCATGGATGCTGCTGATTTCGTTTAATAGCATTTTCTGCTTCATTAGTAGCTCCCTGTCTGTGTTTTCTATTTCCTTACATAATTGCAACATTAATGTCTTGTGTATATTTCTATTAGTACTTCTTTACCTATTCCTTATATTTGTCTATCTGCATTTTCATTTTCAAAAGTCAAACTGAAGGGACTTATACTTCTCCCCCTTCTTATGTGATGCTGACAGTTACTTGTGTGAAGAATGGAAAGAGAGACATAAGGATGCATTGGAAGAAGACCTTTCATCAAGATTCTTTAATATGCGCTTTCTTCCACTTGCGGTATTGCCTGTTAATATTTTGATGACTTTCACAAGGATAATCATTCTTCCTTTCTCTTATTAGCGTTGAATAAAACTAATTTCAGTATTATTTGATGAAATAGTAGATTGTACATTGTTTAGGTAACTACTAAAATTTTCTGTCTTTTTAAAAAATCTTACATTGTTTAGGTAACTACTAAAATTTTCTGTCTTTTTAAAAAATCTTACTTACTGGTTGATGAATGTGAAAATCTTCTCCGCTGCTGTTAAATTGTGGTCCAATCTTGATATGTTGGATTTTTTCGGCAAACCATTTGTGTTACATACACTTTAAAAAGGAAAATCCCTTCACTTGATAATTTTAATTTTCCTGATTTTTTTTGTTTGCTATGGAAAAAATAGAGAAATGGAATATGACATGCGTATTGCATTGTATTTTTCCTCAGTTGCTCAGGACTCATGTTTAATTGTGAGTTGTTCAAGGTGCACTGACATTTTTTTTTGTTTTCTGTTAATGTGTTTTTTAATTGTTTTGTGACCCAATGCTTACTCTATGACAGTTGCCGCAGCAAGAAAACTCGTATGATTGTGGCCTCTTTTTGCTGCACTACCTAGAGCTCTTCCTGGCTGAAGCACCTCTTAATTTCAATCCATTCAAACTAACCAAGTTTTCCAACTTTGTAAGATGTCTACTTAATCTTACTTTTGGCTTATTTCAAATTTCCTATGGAGAATCACGGAAAAGAAAACATTGGAAATTTATTTCCATTCTAAAATCAATTATCACTTACTTGGTTATCATTGTTCAAAGTTTGGTTAATGATTAACTGCTGTAACTGCTGGTGACTTAATTAGTCACTTGGATTAGTATTTTTATGTTGGAAATAGCTGTACCCGTAATTCATTTGTTGCAACTTTATTATTTCCTTTATCTTTATCCAAGGAGTGCTAGCAAAACATTTTTTTTTTTTTTGGCATTCTCTTCAACACACTGTAACGGGGTGAAGCACATTTAGGTCCCATTAAATACCTGGGCCTACACTCTTTAGTTTGACCCACTTGCAATTCACCCAATAACAGTCTGTTGAAGAATGTCTTAAAAAGAGCCTGTTGCTAGCATTTCTATCTTTATCTTAGCTGTTTGATCATGATCATGCCTATTTTTAGTATGTCATCTCCCAGCTGTTGTTAGTTCCTTTGGCTAGTTGTCTCAATGTTATCTGTTTTAACATTCAAAAGGTGACTGTCAACTCTATTATTGATTCATATGGTTTCTTATATGAATTGGACCTTACATAACTACTAATTTTCCAGCTCAATGTGGATTGGTTTCTCCCTGCTGAGGCATATCTTAAGCGAACACTGATCCAGAGGTTAATCTTTGAACTTGTGGAAAACGATGGTTCACATGAAATCTCTTCCTCTGACTGTAGTGATGACGATGAGTGCTTAGAAAATAATGGGAACAGAACTGGGATTGAGCATCCTGAAGTCAATAGGGAGTCAACAACTTCCCATACTGGGCAGGGTATAGAAATCACTCTATTGTCTGGTTCATCATCTTTGGATCCTCAATCCTTTAACAATTCAGGCTTGGTTCTCAAAGAGCTTTTTGAGCCTGGAGCTACTGCAGGAACCATATTGGGACAGTGTCAATCTTTTGACCAGCGCTCATCTGATTATCGTTTCAATGGTTCAATGTTTTCGATGGAGGTATCTACTTGTGTCTGCATATGCATTTTTGTTGAAAATTTGTTTTTAACCGCTCAACATGGGTCATGCATAGTCTCCCCTCACAGCAAAATAATTTATCACGTCAATACAGCCAGTTTTTGCGTCCACAAAATTTTTTATCTCTTGTGCTGGCTGCTATGCTTGTTCAGGAATTTAGGCTGTCTATTACATTATATATGTTGACATAAACTTAGGACCTATTCACCTCCTTAGGCATAGTTCCTAAATATAGCTATTGAATGATACCTGCTGACACGACAACAATATTTCAGGCCCTATCATTTGTTTTTTACTTTGATATTGTGAAACTAATTCCCCACCCCTATTTTGTTGTATTTTAATAGGAAGACACAGATCTTGGAGAACAGTTTATGTTCTTGGCTACAGATTCCAACTTCCAGCAAGTGGCTGGAATTACACCTCAAGCATGTTCTTTGCCATATTTTCCCACTAGAGATTGTGAAGATGAGGCATGTCAGAGACAAGAAATCTCTTTGCAAGCAGAGCATGATGTGGTTGAGTCATCTCTAGATGCATTAAGTGGTGCTTCAGATGATTCAGAAGATGTAAGGGTTACTGAAAACTGCCCCGTTGGGAATGAGCCCGGATCATCTAATGAAGCTGAAGGTGAGAAAACTTATTCACCCGCGGAAAATCCTGATGATGTTATTGATATTTCCACCTCTGTCGTGGGAATTTCTCAAGACCCAATTACGAAGTGTGATGATAACAAGAATGAAGATCTCCACCCTTCTGGTGAAGAAATCCCCACAATACCATTGCAACAAGTTTCTGATGCAGTAGATGACGAGGCCGCATGTGATGATGGTCTGATGATTGATGGCATGGCTCCTGATATTTGTGAGGAACAAGCTCCAAAGAGGCGGCGGGTTATGCCTCTACAATGCAGAAGTGAGGGCATTGTGACAGAATCCAATTTGTAGATATGGATAAATAAATATAGCTTTCTTTTACCTTTGTTTTGAATTGTTTCTAGGTTTTACTTTGCCAATATGTGAATAGTGTCGTTGCTTAGCGGTTGATTTTATGACGCTTTTGTGGCCGTGTTATTTCTGCCACCAAAATTGAGAAATATCTGCGACTTTAGATACAATTCAATTGTACAATGATAGTAAATTTTTTTCTAGATGAAAACCTTTCAAGCTCTTTTGCCTTCTATTTCTTGAATCCTAAGATTCATTCTTTAAATTTTACGAATCGTTGCTCTTGATTGTCTATCTAACTTTCAACATTTTAGGTTAATTCGGAGAGTAGAAAACAACAAAATGTAATCCCACGGTGTAAAGAACAAGTTACAATGTTCTAGGGTGACAAGTCACGAAACTACGGAATTGTAAACACTTTTAATTCTCACTTTTTCGTCTTTAATTGTCATCTCTTAGAATAATTATTTGGGACATTTATTTTTAAATTAGTTTTTAGCTTTTATGTACCTAAGAGATTTTAATTGAGCTTTTGACATCTATTATTGTCAAAATATTGTGTTCAAGTTATAAATTAGAATACAGGGGTATGGAAATATAAATTTGGAAGTAAGTGCCACGTAGATAAATTCAAGATACCTGTTTTACTCTTATATGCGATTTTCTTAATTGATTCTTACATTTCATATTATCTGCGAATCATTGTGTCATAACAACAGCAATTATCGAAATAGATTAATTATGTAAATAAAATTGAAAATAATTGTATATATAAAGATTAATCTAAACTTTTTTGCAGTACAAGGACTAAAGTAAAAAGAAAAATGTGTATGAAAAAAATATATTAAATTTTGTACTTGGTGCACAAGCATGTTAATCCTCATATTTATTTGAACTACTAATCATACCCACTAAAAAATTAAAGTAGAAAAATAAAATAGTTAAATTAAATTATGTAATTATCTTATAAGCTATATAAGGTTTTCTAAATTCATCTTTTAAGAGATAATGAGTTGTAGAAAGTGAAGCACAAAAAATAAATTATAAGAGATCAGAGTATTGATTGTATTTTGAGAAAAAGATAAAATATGTGATTAAATTGTGATAAATACCATAATATCTTACTAGTGTAGATTTATGATAATTAATAATTTATATTTTTTATAATTATTTAATATTTTATATTGCTATTCAAACGAATAAATGACTTCAAAATTTATTACCAAGTGTTGAGGAAAGATAATTATTTGTGGATTTTTTAAATTTATAATTTAATGCATATTTTCTTTTAAAATTTAATCTTTTGGTATATATCACATGTATAATGATGTTCAAACTGTCAAACAGGATAAAATTACTGTAGACAACAAAATCTTCCTTTTCGAATATTTAACATAACTACAAGAATCGAATTCGAGATCATTTAATTTAACTTATAATACTCAAATTAAATATTTATATAACTCTTTTAAATGTCATGTGAACAAATATTCAAAGGACATTAAAAAATCAATAAATAAAAATATTATTTAGAAACAGTGTTAGAAAGATAGGAATATATTGATAGCATGAAATATAATTTTTTTAATAAAAAGTTTACTTTTGATTTCTTAACTGAAATCTTAAGGATATTATTTAACGTTATTAAATTTTTAAATATAGATTAATTGTTCATAAAAAAATTATAACTTTTTTCAGTTAACTCATACAAATTTTGATAATAAGAAAGTTTAGTAGTTTAGTTTAGTTTAGTTTGCAATTCAAATTAATAATTATCAATCACATATTATAAATAATAATGAGAGTAAATTTAGAGCGCTAGCTGCTAAACCTACATCAGTTAGTCGGTTAACGGAAAGAATCTAAATTATCTTCCCTATATATAAACGTACATGAGTCCATTTGGCCTCTTGCGGCTTTGCATATTTATAATAGCTTCTCCATCTTTACAGTAGTTTCTCTCTTCACTCATTGATTCTTGAAGAACAAAAGGTCAAGAACTACTAAAAAAACCTTCTGTCATCATCAAGTGGAAGAAAGATGACATGCTTAGAAATTTACAAGATAGTGCAAAAGTTAAGTGACAAGGTTGTATTGTGTGCTGATGATGGTTATGGTGTTGAACGTGAGCATGTTTTTGTGGAATTTGCAAGGATCTTGACGGCGATTGGAAGATTGATGAGCATTCTTGAACACCCTTTTCAATGTGCTTCAAATGGAATTTGGAAGAAGGATTTTCACAAGCCAATAAAGGTTTTTTATCACTTCTGTCTAATTCCAACAAAAAAATATTTATAAATAAAGGTTAGCAGCTTATTTCTTATAATTTCATTCTCACTATTCGTCCCTTTAAAATGAGGTATATTTATTAATTCTTGAAAATTGATCTTTATCTAATGTGTACTTCTAATGGAATTTGGAAGAAGGATTCTCACAAGCCAATAAAGGTCTTTGATCACTTTTATGTCTAATTCCAACAAAAAAATATTTATCCATAAAGGTTAACAGTTTATTTCTTATAATCTCATTCTTATTATTTATCGCTTTAAAATGAGATATATTTATTAATTTTTGAAAATTGGTTTGTTAGATAAAGATTTAATCTTTGCCAACACTCCATACAGATTCAGTTTTTTGTTGTCTCATTTCCTACTCAACTTTCTTTTTTTCAATTTTTATTATTATGAGTCGAGAAAGGTTCTTGATCACTTCCACGTCTAACAAAGAGGAGAGAGAGAGAAGCAAAAGCACATTAGAAAGGGAAATGTAAAGTTGTTGATGCACACATTCATAACACAGCCTGTGCAATTATGAATTGTGTTAATGTTCATTCATGTTGTCAACGTTTACTGGTGCTTCAATTGAGTTTACTGGTGAAATGATAAGCTTTTGTACATTAATTCAATTTTTAATTTTGCATGAACACAGAACTTGTACTTTCATACATTACACAAGGTCTTCAGGATAATGATGGTATGTTTGCAGGTTACTGACTAGTCACTAGTGGAGATGAATATGTAACTTGTATCAATTGTTTCTTTTCCTCTCCTTACAAATGCTATCTTCAATTTTTATCTTTCGAGCTACATTAAGCAATTATAGATACCAGCCTCTTTAAAGATGACTGATTCTATTGCATATAATTTGATGTTAGGGGGTTTTGTTTTGCAATGAAGCTAATAAAATTCAATACCATCAGAAGACCCACCAACTCACCCATACTACCTAGAGATTGCATTTCCTTTTCTACCATGATCAGTGCCAGAAATGCATAGATTTTTGTTGCCACTAGCATTCTTGCACTCTCTCTTTGGTTCATTGTCACTATACTCGGCCATTGCTAGTGCTGCTGTAGTTGTCTACGTTTCATTCTCCTTTTCCCTATCAAAACAATTCAATAGTATCTGTTCTCACCGTCAGACATATGTCTTTTCTTTAAGTGATTGAAATGCAATCAGATACCTTTCTTTAAATAAGATGATTATATTGAAATGATTGTGTGACCAAGTAAATCACAATGGATGAAGGCTGGATAGTTCGAATATCATGCACTTGAGTTAAATTACCTTCTGTGACATAGATTAGTGCTGAATCACATAGTATTAAACTTTGACGTGCAAAGTAGGTTAAGATCCCAATCCTTCTCACTTTGTGTGGGTGGACTTGGGGAGGACAGAAACGGAAAAGTTAGACGAGAAATATGACTAGTGATAATTAAATTTTAACATAACAAGATCTTGCTTAAATATTGTCTTTCTCTTGATAAACCGCAAATAGGAAGGACCTACCTAAGATTTAATAGATCAAAATAGACACAAGATTGAACATGTAGATGATCCATTTCTACGGATGTACATATGGATAATCCAATGCATAATGCCCAGCTTAAAAAAGGCAGCTAGATAATTTGTGTAACTTCAACGTCTAACTGAATGAAATCGTGTAATCTATGTAACTAACCTCATCTAATAACATAAAGTTTGGTTGTTGTTGCTGTTGTTCAACCAAAGGCCTCTGCTCTATTAAGCATCAACATCTACTCTGCTCACCATTCTTCTTATCCTTGCTAATGGGAGGGCCACGCCCATTCTGTTGGACTGCAAATTCTTGGGATTCTTTAGGGATAGATTGAATCATTTCTTCATCAATTCTAAGAGATCGCTTTGATCCCCGCAGAGCAGCATCAAGAACAATATTCTCTTCCAAGGAAGGACTAACCGATGATGATGACACCATAAACTTCTCTTCATCTTGTGACTCATTGGATGTTAAATTTTTGGATGTTGTTCCCTTTCCTGTGTTTCCTGCTCTTCCCTTTTTGGGCTGGACGGACTTGGAGGTCTTTTGGACTGAAATGTCAAGATCCATATTATGGGTTTCAGCATGAGATATTGATGTGGGGTTTGATGTCTCTGTAAATTTGTGACATTCAACTCTGAAGTCAGATGCCAAGGTTTCATTAATCTTGGCATCTTTGCCCTCACTTGTAATAGTTGAATGAGTTGAAGGCTTAACTTTATAATGTGGTTCTATCAGTGGGAAAGAACGGTTTTTCTTTGATCTGGAATGAGTGGGAATGGTGTCATCAAATGTATCAATATCTAAATCAGTATCACTGCACATCTTCTGAACTGTGCGAATGGGTGTGGCTAGCCGAGCTCGATGATGGCTGATAACTCTGAGAAGATCCAATAGGATTGCCTCCTGTTAATCACCAAAGCTATAAGTGAGCCACTTATCTCATCAACCAAACAAACTAATTTGAATGTGAATTGAATAATGATCTTTTAGAAGAAATGCTTGGCAGCAACAACTAGATATATTGGATAGTTTGGTCAACATATTTTTCAGAAGTTAAAGACCTACCTACACAGTTAAAAACAACAATGAAACAAAATTCTGACTTCAATAATATTAGTTGTAAGTTAATATGCAATTAAGATAGTTAAAAAAATCCTTACTAATGAGTTTCAAAACATAAAAATGAGGTAGGATACAATTTATACAATTAAGTTGCATTAGCAAACATTTATAAGCATTATTATAAAAATGTTTGCCTTACAGACAAGGCCCTGACCATCACACTATGCATACTATGCATCGGCAATTAGTACAAGCAATCTAGGCTCACCTTTACACGGAGGTACTCTTCAGAACGTGAAGTTTTAACAAAGCAAGATATTAATATCTGCAACAGAAGAAGACATTTATAAGATAATGCAGTTGAGAAATGAAAATGATAAATGTGACAAACTCTTGGCAATGAATAGTAAAGTAGCAGATAACATTAATAGTGGCAAAAGGTAGATTTCTATTTATATATATTCCAAGATGTCTAGATGCATGTCATGCTATCAATAAATGGTTCTAGGGACTATTTAGAAATTTTTTTAATTTTATGAAGACCAAAACCAACAATTTTTTTTTGGGAGACTAAACGAAATTTAGTCATATTTGTAGGGACTAAAACATTTTACCTTAGTTTTTATCACAATAGTGTGAGGATTGCAGCATCCTTATTTATATTTATTGTCATTTTTTTCCTATTTGGGTTATCCAATATAAAACTAAAGATATAAGATAAGAATTTAAGCTTTCTTTGAGTATACATTTTAATTTATTTTATTGTCTAGAATGATTAAAAAATTTACTAATTTGATGATTATATAATAATAGAATTTATAGTTATTAATAGTAAAGGATAAAAGGTATTCAATACAAATAAAAATATGCCAAGGATTTTCAGGCAGTTGGCTACTAGAGGATGCGTCAAAGAAAGGTAGGTTCTGGAAGTTTGAAAAAGCCCAGGAAAACGGTGTTTTTCATTCAAAGCACTATGCTAAAAGATGCATCTCAAATTGAAGCTTAAAACAGCCTTTCAAAACAAAGATTGGAGTTAAAGGAAGATAACAAGATATTGAAATTTGTAAGCTCATAAACTATTATATAAACCAATAAACAGAAAAGGTATCAACCATAAGAGCCTGATTTTCTGGATCAATATCCTCCAGAAAAACCCTTCGGTGCAATTTTCTCTGTTCTACTTGAGGATTTTTGGCCAAAACGTTGCGCATATCAGCTATAATACTCTGCATAAAGAAATTAGGAAAGAGATTACCTATGTTTTCAGATGACGAGATAGTCATCAGACAGTCCCTGAACAAATTTAAAGGCAAGAATACTTACATGAATCTTGTTAACATCCAAGTGACTGATAGCAAGGCGAGTCTTGATGCGCCAATGAGATTTCTTACTAAGATTCCTCACAACATTTACACTCAACTTGTGATTAGGAATATGAACTGCTTCACAATCAGCACCTCTAACTATTGTTGGTGACCACCAGCCCACATGCTAGTGAGAATATGAAATTTGATTACAACAAAATTAAAATTTTGAAGATATATACTTGAGAAAAATATTACCTACAATGTAAAACACTTACACTGAACCAACAGTATGTTTTCTGTTCTCCTAACAACCTTTTTAGTAAGTAAGATGATAAATACAAACCTCAACTTTACCGGAAACCTCATCTCCTTTAATTTTTGTTTGAATCCGCTCATTCAGAACAAATGGCCGAGTTGCATGAATCATTACACTTGAAAGGAAGTTTGTGAATATCTAAAGACATCACAAAAAATGAAGTTAGAATGTCGGAAACAAGAGCCTATCGATTGATAATGGTCATGCCTTGAAGAGTTACTCCTATAAAATTTGAGAAATTGAATATAAAGGATGATCCATAGAAAATGCATTGACAAAGATGGCTTAATCATTTCCATAGATAGCATCAAAGAACCTAATCAACCTATATGTACCTCACGCCCTGCAAGGGAAAGTAATACTGTGCCCAAACCACCAGCAGTCAACCACCTCTGTGTGGAGAAACCCAGCAACTCCATGAACAATGACACAGCAGCAACCCATATAGCAGTAAATCCAGCTTTCCCAGTAAAATCAATGCTCATCTGTGATTGACAGTACAGTTTTTATTTGAATAAGATTTGTGTTATCACTTATGGAACACCATCGGGAGTTAATAAACTAAATTAATGATTTTGAACTCCCTCATCAAAACATCCAACATGAAAATAAGGAACTTTAGCCTATATAATGCTAGCCCACAATTTCAAAAATTGTAAAGAAAAAAGATAGTAATATGATAAAAAAAAAAAAATTCTAGAGGTTGGCTACTTTTTTAATCTTCATCTGGAATAACACAACTAATCTAAAACTTTAAGTGATATAACACCAAAATTAACCCATTATTGCAGTAAAATGTTATGCAAACAGAAATAGAAACAAGATACAGATCTGTAATAGAAACATACATTTCTTTCATCATTGAAGTCACTTTTCTCCATAAAAAATTTTTGTGCTTGTCGAATTAAGCTGAAAATAGGCAGACAAAATATTACATTATAGTCTGAACAAGACAGAAGACTCCAAAAACATAATAGTAAGAAATGAGAGACTGAAACAATTATCATTTGAACAAAATAATAAACAGGACTCAATATTTTATCTGCATATTATTTGAATAAATTAACAAAAAGTATCAAATAAATATATAATTGAATAATTAAAATTAAATAATAATAGAATCATCTTAGATAAGTGATATCCTTATTGTTTCTGCACTTCGGTTTTTTGTTTCTCCCAACTTTTTCTTAGCTTTGATTTGCATATACAAATACACATTAGTGTGTTTTACTTCTACTTTTAACAATAAAAAAAAAGCATTTCTGACAATTAAAATGCAATACAACCGTAACTTGGTTAGTTTCCTGACAACTACAGGATATACTTCTGCCAGAAATCAAATCTACCTTGAAGAACAGTAAGCAAATGTCAGCACAGTTGACAGAGATCTTGCAAAACTCAGCAGCCGTTGCTTCACAGCCTGGCTGGTTTCTGATGGCAGCACTAGTGGATCTAAATCCCTGAAACAGTTTATGCTAAGGTGTATACCAATAGGACGTAACAAACTTCCAGTGGAAAAGATTTGTCAATCCAGAAAGATACCTGCAGATGAGCATTACCCCAGTCCATAGCAGCAAAGGTTTAAAATAAGGTGTAAAAATATAACATGAACTACTTCTCTTACAACTTCTGTCAGCCCTCTGTAAAATTGTCATGGAACAGAAAGTCAACTATTGATACTATTCAATTGATTTAGAAAGAACATGCAGTAAGGTAGATGCTCACTTCTTGGAGAAACAGATTCCTGCTCAGGCGCAGGAGCGGCTCAAGACCAAAAACAGCAAAGCCAATAATACCAATGGCAGGGATCAATTGAAGCACACTTGGTTTTCCTAATATAGCATTATATGACCTGCATATATTTCAAAAATAAATATCTCCACAGTGATTGTTCAGCAATAAATAGATGAAAAAGGAAGGGTACGAATAACAAGACAAAATTTGGCACCAGCTGATAAGATTTATGGTGATAAAACTTTGTGTAGACAACACAACACAATACCATGCAACGGGTTTGCTTTGCAAGTGTTTTTTTTTTATATATATATAATCAATTTGCAGTCTCCGTAGGGTTTGATTGATTCCCTATTTCTACCCACTCCTCCACCATCACCACCACTCCTAAAAGAGGATCGAAGCTCAGCATTTCAGAATTCCAATTTATTAATAAAATATGACAGAGATAGCAGAAAGAAAAGACAGGAGGAAGCAACCGTGCAGCTGTAGTGTAACACTAGATAACTAGCTAACCACACACAGTGGCTTGGAGAGGAGTCAAATTGTCACCCAACATATCAAAGAAAGTCCACTTGCAATCATAATTACTAACTATCTGACTTAACAACCAGTAACAAGTAAAATAACTGCAGAAAATATATATTGAATAAACATAATTGTTTTCACATGCAGCGTAAGTTGCATCACATAGAGATATCAGTGCAGAGAAAGTCCACACAAAAGTAAAAGGTACACACCCCATCAAACTAAAATTTATTGCAAAGTTAGAAAGGCCCCTATCAAGAAAACCATAAAATATTGTATAAACCCAGACATGCATATCAACGAATTTGTTAAAAGTGCTCTCAACTAGGAGGAGAAAAATAGAAAGAAGAACCTTGACAACGAAACAGTAGCCACTTTCACAAGTGGTAGCTCACACCCTCCGGCTGGTATTAGAGAACACCGGCACGGCAAAGCATTACATCTAGAAGGTAGAGGCCTATGTGGGGAGTGTAATCTGGAAAGAAGTGCTGAAGAATCCCGCTTCTGTAAATTCACAAAGTCCTCCACAACTTTAGACTATAGATAAAAGAAACATAAATTCAATACAACAATTGTATCCAGGAACTAAAGCAAACAAAACCGCCACCAACAAAAATTTAAAAGATAATACATAAAATTCTAATACATGAAGGCCATACCAAACCATGTGGCAAAAGATTGATGGCAACAAAACATACTCGATCACCAGTCATAGGCTTCTGTCAAGCAATAATTAAAATAGAACTCAACATTTTACAACAAAGTAGGACTAAGGAAATCTCAAGGAAAACAAATCAAATTAAATAACCACATACAAGACAAAAACAAGAGCTTCCATTATTACTGTATAGCCTAACGTCGTGACACAATCTTACTGAGCCCGAATAGATCATTGTTGAATTGAACTGATAGAAACTAATTTAACCTTTGACTATTTGACCTGCATGAGAGACAAATCACAAAAGTAACCTTCTTAGCAGCGAAGAAAACACAAGGTTTCATTGCAAATAAATATATAATTTTCCCCTTTGATTGACTAGGGAAAGCAACATCAAATGCAAAAAATTAATCTCTCCATCACCAAATTCCCAAGTACCTGAGCTGAGCGATATGCTGATGTATGATAATGATAATATTCCAAAGATGTGGGAGGAAAAATAAGATAATATTCCTCGGAAACAATCGCCACTTCGCAAATTGTAAGAAACAAACATTTGTATTCTTCGAACTAAGAGGAGTCGGTCGGCACACGAAATCGTTTTTCCAGAAAGATAATAATTTAGCAATAAAACAATGACATGTCATGAAGTGGAATCACGAATTATTATTTTGTGTCCGCGTGTAAGATTTACAAACAGCTAGCCATAATACCCATGTTTTTTTTATATAGATAAACAAAAAGGGGAATTTTTAAATACCTTTTTTATTTGTTATAATAATACTTTGTCCCAATTTATTAATTTTATGACAATATATTAATATTATTTATATTTTTTATGAAAAACATTGTTTAAATGTTTTTATTATTTCACTTTTGAGGATTATGATATTACAAATAAAAAATAATAACAATAAATTTAAAAAAACAACATTCAATAATAAAAATATAAAACAATCTGATGTCATTGTTTTGTACTCTTACCTGTTGAAGTATTTCAATGCTCTTTCATGTTCATAGTTTTTCTCTGTGATTAACTTTGGATCATAATTATCATGTGATGTTAACAAAAATTATAACAAGAACAACAAAGATGAGGTGATGATTTAAATAGAGGTCCAAACCTAAACAAGGGATACAAATATTGAAATCTTAGTTTGAAATGATGTTTCAGACATGAAGGTTGTTTTCTTCCAAATATATTAATTAAAATCAAATTTAGAGTAGTTCTTTAGAAGTGTAACACCCTAGTCGAAAGATATATTAGGATGCATTTGATACAAGAGATGCAACATTGAACATAGTTGAAAGTGGAAGTAAGAGGCATAAACCTTTAGCAATGAACTCACTGTTTAGGTTGAATCAAAATGTCTTAACTAAGTCGAATGTCGTTTTTGACGTGACTTGAACCAATTCAATCTGGTCATAAACAAGATGGTTCCAGTTGAGTTATTAGGTCTATATTTCAAAGTTTTTTAAAAAATATAAGTTTATTTAAAAATATTGATTTATACTCAAATAATATATTATCTATAAAAAATAATATATCAAAATACACCTCAAAATTTTAAATATTATATATATATATATATATATATATATATATATATATATATATATATATATAATTGGGTTAAGTTGATCGAGTTATAAAAAAAAATCAAAAAGATTTAATACCTAATCCAAAATTGAAGAAGTCTAATACTCTAAAACTGATTAAAATTCGACTTTATAATTTTAGTTTAAGTTAGTCGGATTAATCAAATATACTCGATCCGTGAACATTTCTAATTAGAAGAATTTTGAAAAGATCTCTCTCTTACAGTGCGATATTAAAATTTGCATTGTACCAATATTTAGTCGGCAGTAAAATGCAAACCCTTGTAGTTGCTTAAGCCATAAGTTAACTATAAAAAAGAGTTCATGACAATATAATATCGGTCACTGACAATGGTAATAGGTATGCCATGCAATTGAACAGGAAAAGGTCAATCACTACTCGGGTTGAATATACATGTCATTGCTGAAGCGGTCCACTACAGGCACTAGCTGGATAATGATAGAGCTTAATTGAAGTAATTTATCCTATTAGACTTTAATTAATGTTTTCAGAAAATAATATCTTAAGAATTTTTTGCACATTGTCCCCCAACTTTAAAAATCTTTAAAACAAGAGTTCCGATCACTTTTCCCTCCCTTCCTTTCACCTGCTTCTCTTTCCTGACGTAGTATTAAACAAAATCATGCTCATGAGAGCGAGTTGGTTAAAGGAGTTCCACCCATAATTGTTAAAAACATACCCGATTAATCATTTCAACTAGTTGACCAAAAATGGATCAGCTGATTGATCCATATCACCCATGTAATAATGAAGATTTTTGAGTTATAATAATGTCTTTTTTTCCTTATTAACAAGGAATCATGCATGACCCAGTATCTTCTCAAATTTAATGATCGAACCGATTCTAAAAACATAGGCTCCACATCCAATTTATCTGCCAATGAAAAGAAATATTTAAATCAAATTCGAACTATGCAAACCATTAATTGATAATTATGTACATACATGGGCAATTAGAATACAATGCACAATTCCAACTTCAAAAAAAAACAGCTGGATCATTTTTAGCTTCAATTGAAGGTATATATACTGAAGTATCAACTTCTACTCTGTTTATTTAGCTACTAATCTAGTCATTCTGTTTGCTAGTTGGAAATGGAGATATCTGACCATCCTTCTTATCCTTGCTAGCAGGAACTCCACTCCCATTTCGTTGGACAGCAAATTCTTGAGACTCTGCAGGGATAGAAGATGGAGACATTTCTTCTTCAATTGGAAGAGTTCGTTTTGAGCCTTCTAGAGCAACCCCAAGAAGAATGTTCTCTTCCAACGAAGGCCTAACTGATGCCGAAGACACAGCAGATTTCTCTTCATCTTGCTTTGACTGTGAAGAAGTAGCAGAAGTGGTCTCATGGGAAGTAACAGAAGTTTCAGACACAGCACTTTGTGCGTTGTTTTTAGAAACAGGAACTGTACTTCCCTTTCCTGTATCTCCTGCACTTTCCTTTTTAGGCTGTACGGTTTTGGCAGCTGAGCTATCAGAACCCGTGTTTTGGATTTGCGTTTCAGGAGTTGACTTGGATTTATCCTTGGAGTTCACACCATGTAAGGAGGTTGATGTTGCTGCAATATTCTCATCTCCTTTGGTGTCAGATGCCAATGTTTCATCAATCTTGGCATCTTTTTCCTCATTTGGACGACTTGAACGTGTTGAAGGCTTAACTTTATCTTCTCCATTAACTTTATATGGTGGTTCTATCAGTAGAAATGGACGATTTGCTGCTCTGGATCGAGTGAAAATGGTGTCCCCAAATGGTATATTTTCTGAGTCAGCCTCACTGTATATTTTCTGAACTGTGCGGATAGGAGTGGCTAGCCGGGCTCGATGATGACTGACAACTCTGAGAAGGTCCAAAAGGATTGCCTCCTGTTTTGTTACATGTAAATCACACAAGTGAGCCACTAATTTGTTACATAAACAGAATCTAATAAACTTAAATTAAAAGAATAATTATTATCTTAAATGCAGAAAGACACTGTTGCATTGAATTAATAACTTCATAATTGGGTCAAGCTCTTCTTTTCACAGGGCGCATGAAGTTCAATGAGTTAAAAAAAATGAAAAAAACAGATAAAACAATATATAATAGAATATAAGCTTAACATTTCCTTCTGTAAAGACGTAGAAAAGTATAAAAGCAAACAATCTAAATATTCACAAATATCCACATATGTAATAATCAATTCACAAAATCCCACCAACCAAAGGTAAGGTAAAGTACAGCAAATTACAAAATCAGTGAAAATAAGGTGATTACAATAGAATTATTGACTTGCCAGCATCTAAAAACTTCAGCATTCCAAAATAGTAGCAAACACTTGTCAACATACAACATGTAATACACCAAAAGCAACTGCAATTTCTGTGGGTATTGCCTTACCTTAACACACAGGTACTCTTCAAAATGGGAAGTTTTCACAAAGCAAGATATTAATATCTACATCAAGGAGGACCATTAGTTAGAGGATGGTAAATTGAGAAAGGACAAGTGTAAAAGGAAATACACACACACCTACATACACTAGCAACGAGAACTGGGCAAGTGAAAACAGAAGGATAAGAGTGATTCATTATCCCCCTCCCCACAAAAAAAAGTATTTTTAAAGAATCATGTTATTCTAACAACACTTCAGAGAAAACATCATCAAAACTTGCAGAGTAAAAGCTGAAGACTTTTGCCAAATATATAAAAAATATAAAATGTAAACTAATGAATATGACACTTACCCTAAGAGCCTGATTTTCAGGATTGACATCCTCCAAAAAGACCCTTCGGTGCAATTTTTGCTGCTCTACTTGAGGATTTTTAGACAAAACCTTGCGCATATCAGCTACAATATTCTGCATGTAGAAATAGGAGTGGAGATAACATTAACTTTAACATAAAGAAGGAAATGCACAGTAGAATGTCCTTGAACTAATTTTTCAATCATGTGAACAAAGAATGCTCACATTAATTTTGTTAACATCCAGGTGACTGATAGCAATGTAACTCTTGATACGCCAGTGAGATTTTTGAGTCAGATTTCTCACAACATTTACAGTGAACTTATGATTAGGAATATGAACTGCCTCACGATCATCACCTCTCACAATGGTTGGTGACCACCAACCTACATGCTGGACAAAAATAATTGAATTAAAGTTACACAAATAAGAAAATCTACAATTAGTAATAATTGTTCTCTTTGTCTTGTGATTCCAGAGACCACTCATAAAAGAATATTTACTGGACCAGCATGATACTTCCTATACGAGTAAAATTTCCTTCTAAGTAAGGTAGAGATACAAACCTCAACTGTACCAGAAACCTCATATCCTTCAATCTTTGTTTGAATCCACTCGTTCACAATAAATGGCCTAGTAGCATGGATCATTATGCTTGAAAGAAAGTTTGTAAATATCTGGATTAACAACAAAAATGAGCTTAGAATGGCAAAAGCAGAGAAGAGTATTGAATAACTATTTTTATATAAATTCTTAATTGAATATGGCTACTAGCTCTACACATAGAAGACTCACTCTTACAGAATTTGTTCAAGTTGATTAGAGGATGATTTACAACAAACAATGATCAAGAGAGGACTAAAACAAACCATACTGGTGGAAAGTACAGAAGAAACAATACTTTACCTCACGACCTGCAAGAGTGAGCAACACTGTGCCCAAACCACCAGCAGTTAACCACTTCTGTGTGGAGAAACCTAGCAACTCCATGAACAATGACACAGCAGCAACCCATACGGCAGTATATACTGCCTTCCCAGCAAAATCAAGGCCCACCTGTTAGTCAATTGCCCTAAATGAGAAGCTGATAAAGATTAACAATTTTGGGTTCCTCCACAGTAAGATTCAAACAGGAAATGAAGAAGAATTTGATTTAACACATTCAATCCAAACACTGAAAAACAGGCATATATATATATATATATATAGACAATCAACTAATTTTTTTATTTCCTATACATTGAGTACATTTCTAATTTTTAATTACTGTAAAAAATAAGGCTTCATTTAAATGCTGTGACAATAAAAATAAATAGTCCATCGGGATTATTGCAGCAAAATGCTATAGACACAGCAACTGAAAAATGACAACAGACAAAAGTAGTAAATGAATATGTAACAGGAACATACATTTCTTGCACCACTGGAGTCATTTGTCTCCAGAAAGAATCTTTGTGCTTGTTGAATTAAGCTGAAAACAAGAAATACAACCATATAACATCATAATTTAAACACAATGCAGGACCCAATACACCTAATAGTGAAAAATAGCAACAAAGAAAGAAGAAAAATACAAGATAAAAACACTATCTAAGTATCTATTTATGACTGATACTAGGAGAAAACAATAACACATTAATCAATGCAAGAGCAATGCAAACAGATTACAAAGTTAGGGGGGCAGAGGGAAGCATAACCTAGAATAAAATACAGAAAATCATTGATAAAAAGCCTTTCCAATTTCATCCAGTCATGCCTCCAGAAATCAATACCTTGATAAACAGTAAGCAAATGAGATCACAGTTGACAAAGATCTCACAAAATTCAGCAGCCGCTGCTTTACAACCTGGCTGGTCACAGATGGTAGCACCAGTGGATCTAATGCCCTGAAACAAATAATGCTATGATCAACACGAATAGTGCTTCTTGGGTGATATACTTCTCGGCCCAGAAACAAACCTGCATATAAGCATTGCCCCAGACCACAACAGCAATGGCTGAAAATAAGATGCCATAATATATCGTGAAGTACTTTTCTTCCAACTACTGTCAGTCCTCTGAAACATTTTTTCATAGATCAGAAAAGGTATTAATTATATTTGTCAATCAGATTTGGGACAAATGAGTAATTAAAAATGGATGGTAACTACTTGAAGGAATAAAATCCTGCTAAGACGAAGGAGTGGCTCAAGACCGCAAACAGCAAAAGCAATGATACCAAGGGCTGGGATCAATCGAATCAGAATAGGGCTTCCTTGTAAAGCATCATATGACCTGCATAAATACGAGAGAAAGAGAAGCAACAAGAATAGCACAAATTTAGCACCAATTGATACCAGTAGTTCAGAAATAACACAAATATAAATTGTACATATCATAATATCATGTTGCAGCTTACTTTACAAATTCATATGCTAATAATTTAAGTCTTGGTAGGTCCAGTCAATGCCAATTTATATTTATATTCACTCCTAAAAGAGAAAAGATAAAAAGACCAGTTGACAGGTTCAATATACTCCAAATTATGTGTCAACAAGCTAATAAATAGATACCATAAAAGAAAGAGGGGGCATGAGAAGTACAGCAATCATGCAGCTGTAGTTTGGCACTAGATTATTGATAACATATAGGTAATTTAAAGACGTTACAAATTAAATAGAGAAAGATATCAAAGAACATCTATTCATCAACCACAATATGATATATAGCTATACACTTCTGAATCATAACTACAAGTTGACTACAGTACAACCATTAACAAGAAACTTATAAGAGAACAAAAAAAAAAAATTCATGCCACAAGCATGATTGTCTATACATGTAACAGTATGAGAAAAGAGCAAATATCAATCATAAACAAGTTCACACTCACACATATATATTGCATGTGCATATATTCACTAAACTTTAGAAACTTTTCTTAAGAAGGAAAAGAGAGAGAGAGAGGCCAACCGTGTTAACATAACACTAGCAGATTTCATGAGTGGAGTCCCACTCCCTCCACCTGGTATTAGGACAGACCGGCATATGAAAACATTACATCTGGAAGGCACATGCCTTATTGGGGCGTGTAATCTCCTTAAAAGATGGAGCGTTGAAGAATCTTGCTTCTGTTATTTGCAAAAGAAAGATCTCCAGGGATTCAGATTAAATTAATTAATAAACACAATCAATACTAAGACATACAAAGGAAAAACAACAAATGTATGGAAAGATTAGGGGTGCTTCAAGACCCAATTCTGGCCAATAACCCAACCAATCTCAAAGCTAATTGAGCTGGACCCAGGTTCTAAACTTTCACCTGATATAATTTTTTTGTCACATTTTATGTAGGCCAAGCTTACTGGTTACTACAATTTTCTTCACTTAAAAAATATCTTATGCATAGCAAGACAGTATTTTCATTATACTATAATTTATTTGAAAATATATAATATAAAAATGCCTTTTTTTTTACGCTGAAGAGCAATGAAAAAAATCTAACAATTAAGCTGAAAAAGGATCAGGTAGATCCATAAAAAAATATATAATAGAAGGAGGGGAGGAGGATATATGAAATTTTTAATCCACAAGAGTCATACCAAACTACATGGTGAAAGATTTATGGTGACCAAATGCAATCGACCAACCCCCATCCGATTCTGTCAAATGACATGGAAATGAAACTCAGCATTCTAAATTTGAAAAGGAAAACACTAGGGAATCACCTAAATATTAAAATTAAAAAAATAAGTACGTACACGATGGAAACAACTGAATCCAATATTACTGTTAAGCCTAACATCAGGAGACATTTGCATTGAACCCGTGTTGACCATTGTTGAAATTGAAGTGCAAGGTCACGCAATCAGCTCACAGATTAAATTAAACCAGTTTTCCCTTTCAACCCAATGCCTCAGTTTCAATGAGAAATAAAACCTGCAAGAAACAAAACAAGAACATTAGCAAAGTAGAAAACTCAATAATTCTTAGCAATCCTGATCCTTTCCCCCATTTTCGGAAGGGAATATCAAGAAAGAAAATGCAAACTTCCCTTCTGTAACAATTCCTCACCAACTGAACTAAGCTCAGGGTTTTTCTTTTAAATTGAGATAAAATTAACTTAAGTAATAAACAAAAAGCAAATGAAGAAAGCAAGAGACAAAAAGGCAAAAAAGCAAAAACCAAAACCCTAAATGTTCGTGTCAAACTAATAACAAAATAATCGGAGTTTTAAATAGCCAACACAGCAGGTAATTAAATTGAAATGAAAAGCAGATATGGAACACAGAATTAACTGAAATTTGATATCAAAATACCTGAATTGTACTCCCGATATTATTCCAAGGTTTTTGGAAGACAAGATAATTTTCCTCGGAAAGAAACGCAGGTGCTTCACGAGAAAATAAAAAAGAACATTACAAGTTTACCCTCGTGAAGAAGAAGAGAGAAAAGAAATTTTGGAGGGGTTGTTGTCGATGGGAATTTGAAGAAGTGGTCGAAAAGCCAAACTTGGTTGGCTATGTTTTTTCTTCTCTTCTTGTAATTGTAATGCACAGATTAACGGGTTTCTTGAACGTGGTCCAATCAAAACCAACTGTGTCGGATTAATCTGTGCTCATAACCCGCGAATTACAGATTTATTGTGGATTTATGTGGCGCCTGGAAGATGGCCCTTAAATCCTATTACTTATACGTACACGACATTCGCGTTCACCTTTTTTCTTTTTGTTATTATTATCATCATCATCGTTTTTTATCCCGATATTTGAAGATTGATTCTTAAATTATATAAACATGTTTAAATTTTTTTGATAAAATTATGAAATAGTTTAACATATAGATAAATAAATAAAAAATGACAGACAAGGAACTCATCTTATATGTTTTATTTTCATAATAATTATATTACAGACTCACCATGTGATAAACGGATGCGAAGTTCTTCTATTACTGATATTTATTTACTTAAATCGTTATTATTACTTTTATTAATATTGAAATATTATTTTAGTTAACACTAATAATAACATTAACAAATAAATATATAATATCAAAATCAAGCTAAATGGGGTGGATAATATGCGCAGAAAGAGAGAGGAAGCATGTGGTTGAGAACTTGTCCGTGTCCGTGAAAATGACATGATAAGAAACGTGTTTCGTCTGCTGCATTGCTCGATGCTGAGGCGGTGTTATTAAATTACATGATTTTGGAAATTTTATGTTAAGTAAACAGGAAAAATGCTAACAATGTATATGCACATGCAACATGGGATCTAATAATGAGCTCTTTCTCGTAATAAGACACTACGCGATGCTTTAAGAGAAGAGTGGGAGTTTATTTTTTTAAGAGAAAATAGAAGAAAAAAATATGTTTAATAAATTGTATATTTTTTAAGGTAAAATAAATAAAACAATACAAAATATCTTAATATATAGAGAGAAATAAGTAGTAAAAAATGCTTACCTTTGCACATGACTTTGTTAAGATTAATGACGTTGTTATCTGTGTTTATATGCTTACTTGTCATGCAACCATTTGAGTTTTTTTTTTTTTTTGGTATTTTTTGTTTTAATTATTTTTTTTATATTACCGATGCATATCAGACAAGTGCTCTAAGTATAAGTGTTTTTGTTTTTCTAGTAATTAATGTAGTATAACAAATAAGAATACAGTAACAAGTATTCCTAGTATTAGGTATTTCTTATGGTAGTATTAGTGGTTCTTTATTGAAGAATGACTTCAAAAGAAGGTGTTTATGAAAGAAACATTCAAATGTTCAAGTTAGAGATAATTTGATTAAGGTAAACATATAGGTGGGAAAATATGTGTACATGTATTAAAAAACATGTATGGTGAGATATAATGCGTCTAACAAAACTATCATTTGTTATAAATGTCAAAACATAATTAAACGTGTGTGGCAATTAAATCATTTTAGTTTAGGCTGAGGTAAACTTTAATTGTGTTTGAAATTTATCCATAATTGGTATGTAATTGTGTAGGACCACAATCACAATACTTGGACTATTTCTTCTATAGTGGATTGTGATTAGTGAAGACAATTTTACTAGTGTAATTGTGATCTTATATTTAACTTTTGATTAATTATTACTTTTCTCCATTTAAAAATAATATAAAAAGACTACTATATTATTAAGTTTTGTTTTGTTATATTCATGTCAACTTTAGTGAGAATATTAAATGGGATTGAATAAAATTTAATATGTTTTTATTGGTTCATTTCATTCTAATATATCTTTATCGTTGAAAATAAAGACATATTTTTGTAATACACAATATTTTTTCCCTAAGACAAATGATTGCTTTAGCACTTATTTCATTTTTTAAAATTTAAAAATTGATTTGATTTTTTCCTTTCCCTTTTCACCGATTAATTTGATCAAAAATCGTTTTCTAACTTTTAATTGTGTTAAATATCAGTTATTTATACTCTCCTTTTTCTTTTTACTTTTGGGATCTATCTTTTTTTTTTTCATTTTAAATATGAATGATTCAATTTTTTTACTTATTTATTTGAATTATAAATGGATGTGTTTTTCTAATTTTTTATAAATTTAGAAGAATTATGTATAAGTTTTTAAAATTAATTCTCTAAAAATGATGTAATTAATTAAAAAGTTATTATATGTAAAACTTACGTAAAGCCATATTAGTAAGAGGAAAAAAGTAGTTAATTTAAAAAAAAATAAAAGCTAAAATACAAAAAAAAAATTTAATCTATTTAAAATTTCTCATGTAGTGTGCAAAATACTTACTAAATTTTAGCATCGACAACTAATATCATTTTATTTTATTTTTACAATTATTTACCATTAAATCAAACATAATTTTAATAGAAACAAGTTAGCTCGTGTTTATTTTAGTTATTTTTCTAAGAAATAAAATTTTCAGAGATCTATGTAAAAAAACAATTTATCCTAATATAATTAAATTCAAAATATTTATTTTAAGCTGTTCAAATATTTAACGAGGTGAAAGATATTGACAATAAGGTATAATTTGATTTAAATTATCTAAAACCTTCATTACTAGCTTAATTCTAGAGCTTTGACAAGAATATTATAAAATGAAGTTAAAATGATGATACTCAGACAACAAAAAGAGAAGTTAAATTTGTTTTTAGGGGGCTATGAAGTTGGCTTTGGATAAAAATTATCCATTTTTTGTGGGCTTTCTTTTTCACAAATTTTCACTCACCGGGAGAGACCACTATACCGTTAGTTTCCTGTTCACGTGAGACGCACGTGATCACATTCCGTATTTGAATTTGGACCCGAGCGCCTTTTTCTCCAATTCAGTTTAATACAAACCCAACACGTCCGGATTCAAAATCTCGTTGTTCAAATATCCAAACGAAACGTAAACCCCTCTCGTTGTTCTGTTTCTGTTCCGTTCCGTTCCCTCTCCAACGACGCAGAGAAGAGAATCCATTTCTTCTCTTCATTCTCTCTTTCTCTATCTTCCCTCTCACACTGTTCCTCACTGCGTTCATCTCACAGGTAAGCTCACACACCCAATCCTCTTCCTCTTGATTTCGCCAGCTTCGACGCCTCACGTTTTTCGCATTCATCACGATGTTGATTTTCGCGCTTAAATTGAATTCCAGGGTTTTCTAGTCAGGTTGAATTAGGCAGAAATGGAGAACGCAGATTCAACGCAATGCGTGCGAGTCGCTGTGAATATCCGCCCCTTGATTATGTCCGAGCTTCTTCTTGGCTGCACAGATTGCATTTCCGTTGTTCCCGGTGAACCTCAGGTGCTGAATTGTTTCTTAATTTTGCATTTGATGCGTGTAAATATGGTTTATTTGGCAAATTTGATGTTTAGGCTTTCGTGTATGTTGGAATTATAAAATCTGTGAAACTGATGTTGGTGTGTTCGGTAGGTGCAAATAGGATCGCATTCTTTCACCTACGATTACGTATATGGTAGTACGGGGCCACCTTCCTCTTCAATATACGATGGATGTGTAGCACCGCTTATTGATGCACTATTCCATGGCTATAATGCCACGGTTCTTGCATATGGTCAGGTATAATTTTCGTATGCTGTTGGTTATGTATCGCGCGTGATTGTGAAAATAAAATTTGGGAAACTTGTGCATTGTTATCGGTTTGCATTTGCAGTTTTATAGAATTATAGTTGTGATTGAGTTTTTTACCCCTCATTTTGTTAGACGGGCTCTGGGAAAACATATACTATGGGCACCAATTATAATGGAGAGGAAAGTAGTGGTGGAATTATACCCAGGGTATTGGAAACGATATTCGACAGAGTTAAGGATACGAAGGATTCCACGGAATTCTTGATTAGAGTGTCATTTATTGAGGTAAACAATGGTGTTGTTTGTTGATGGATTTCTGTGTAATTGTCAGTTTAGATCAAACTTTTAAAACTTCTGGTCAAAATCGACAGATATTCAAGGAAGAGGTTTTTGATTTGCTTGATCCCAATTCATCTAGAGGGGAAGCAGCATCTACAGCTAAGGTTGCTGCTGTGCCCACCAGAGTTCCCATACAAATCAGGGAAACAGTGAATGGAGGAATAACACTAGCTGGGGTGACAGAGGCCGAAGTTAAGACAAAAGAAGAAATGGCATCATATCTCTCAAGCGGTTCAATGTCACGTGCCACTGGGAGTACAAATATGAATAGTCAATCAAGGTAAAATGGCATAAAAATGTATCCGAATTTTTTTGCTTTGCCTTGCCACTGTTTTTTCATAGGCTGGTATGATGTTTACTCTAAAAATAACAGTAATAGTAGCAGTAATACATATGAAATTCACCTTGATGGAAAATTAATTTATTGTATGTTAGCTGTAATATACGATTTGTATGTTTTGTGTAGTCGTTCTCATGCTATATTCACAATCACGATGGATCAAAAGAAAGGCGATGATATCTTATGTGCCAAACTTCATTTAGTGGATCTAGCTGGTTCTGAAAGAGTGAAACGAACTGGTGCAGATGGCCTGCGATTAAAGGAAGGTATTTATCATTGTTAATGATACAATACAATCAACTTATAGGGTTAGACTTAGGAATAGCTATTATACAAAAATAATGTTTATGTTAGAATTGTTAAAATATAAAATTTGAGGTAAGAAAGTCCTTTCTTCTAGCTGAGTTCATTTGTTAAATGCATGTATGTTGTCTGTTATTTGATAATCAACTATTGTCTTTCATGGATTAGGAATTCATATCAACAAGGGTTTATTAGCTCTTGGAAATGTAATAAGTGCACTGGGAGATGAAAAAAAGCGAAAAGAAGGTGGTCATGTGCCATATCGGGATAGCAAATTAACACGCCTACTACAGGTTTGTGCAATACATGTTTAAGCAAAAAGAGTAGTATACTAAAACTCAGTACCTATGTCATGCACATTGTATCATTTCTATAAATGATTCTTTGAATTCTTTATACAATGTGAAATAATGTAAGAAAATAACAGCGGGCATAAAAATAGAAGTTATATATGAATGTTTACTTATGAGATAGGTTTTGTTTTTAGTGATTAGTCGAACATATATATGCCATGGATTTAAATTATCTTTTCATGACATGGAATTGGATAATGAATATGTAGGATTCTCTTGGAGGAAACAGCAAAACAGTGATGATAGGTACATGCCCAATGCGTGATGAGAGTTTTGATATTTCTATATTTTCTTCAGTCAAATGTATTATCTAACCTGTTGTGAATGTTATAGCATGTGTTAGTCCTGCGGACACAAACGCTGAGGAGACATTGAACACTTTAAAGTATGCAAACCGTGCTCGCAACATTCAGAACAAGGCAACTGTGCGTGCTTTGTATTACTCTCTTTATCCCTTATTCTTTTTAGTCTAGGCAAGGCCGTTTGTTTTTGATAATTTTGAATTTTATTGTTTCAGATTAATCGAGATCCAGTGGCAGCTCAAATGCAGACAATGCGAAATCAGATTGAGCAATTGCAAGCTGAGCTTCTATTTTATAAAGGCGATGCTAGCGGACCATTTGAGGAGCTTCAGATTCTTAAACACAAAATATCCTTACTCGAGGCAAGTAATGCAGAGCTACGGCAGGAGCTTAAAAGTCGCCAAGTAACTTCAGAAAGTTTAGCACAGTGTGCTCTCGATGCTCAGGTCTTCTTTTTTATCCTTTCTCCCTTATCAGTTTACTATATTCAATGTTGTGAGTTCCTTACAGTATTTCTGGAGTGTTGTTTTTTTACACTTCAACTGCTGGTCTCACTGATGGTATTGGAATTATTTTTAGGTTGAAAAGGACCAACTGATTTTAAAAATAGAATCAATTCGAAATGGGAAATCATGGGATGAGGTTGACTCAGATTCAAATCAGGTTTGAATGTGATAACATCTTTGTTAATGTGTGGTTGCAGTTTTCAGAAGTAGATCCATCACTGAAACATGGTCTGAACTTATTTTTAGGATTATGACCTACTGAAATCTTATGTGTCAAAGATCCAAGGCCTGGAAGGAGAATTGCTACGTTTGAAAACTTCAAATGCCACAAATTCAAGACATTTTGTTGATTGTGCTGATTCCGATGATGATGGATATGGATCAAAACATGCTTTGTTTGCACGTGGTAATGGGTTTTCATCTGATTGTGATGCAAAAGCTGTTGACATATCAGGTAGTGCATTTGAATTTTGTTATATTGAAGTATTGTGGGTGCATCTATTATTGAGTGTGGACGTGGCTGTCTGGCTGATGCTAAAAATATTGTTGACTACTTTTGTTTTGGTTGAAACAAGTCCATCCGTCAATCTTTTTTGTGATTATATAATGAATTCTGAAAGATACTGCTGCAACATTTGGACTTCTCAATTCTGATGTGTTTTTCTTTTTCTATCTTTGCACATTGACATTTTGGCAACATTGATTTTTTTTACATTTGTACCTTGTTTACAGATGAAATGGAAGATGATGCGAAGGAGCTTGAACACTCATCTCTTCAAGAAAAGTTGGATAAAGAGCTCAAAGAATTGGATATGAAACTTGAACAAAAGGAGGTAAACTATGCTTTATTTAGTTGTAAACTCATTTAGATGTTGACCAGTTTTTTTCCCTAGTTTTTTATTTTTTTTGGCCAGTACTTTCATCTAATTATGACAATTCATAAAATTATATCAATAACCAAGCCTTTTCCCACTAGGTTGATGGGCTAATATCTTTATAAGGTTATGCTTTCAAATTCCCAAGGGTGGCTGAAATCTATTATAGTACCTGTTTAGTACAGGGATATGGTTATTTTTTTCACACGTTTTTTGTTTTTCTATTTCTTTTCTGGTTGAAGGCTGAAATGAAGCTGTACAATAATGCTGATACTTCAGTTCTTAGGCATCATTATGAAAAGAAACTTCTTGAGATGGAACAGGAGAAGAAAATTTTGCAGGTAAATAATCGTCTAGTGCTATGATATCTAGGTTTCCTTACATTTTAGAAGTTAGTTCGATAACCCCTTCCATTTATTATTGGTAGAAAGAAATTGAGGAGCTCAAATACAATCTCGCAAATATTTCATCCACCTCTGATGACGGTGCTCAAAAGTTGAAGCAGGATTATCTTCAAAAGTTGAATGCTCTTGAAGCACAGGTGATTTGCTTTTCTGAATGTGTTAACCCTGAATACCCACTCGAGGCCATATACTGATTATTTGATTTCAGGTCTTTGAACTGAAGAAGAAACAAGATGCTCAAGCTCAACTCATGAAACAAAAACAAAAGAGTGATGAGGCTGCCAAACGACTTCAGGATGAGATCCAGCGAATCAAAGCTCAAAAGGTGCAATGATCTTGTGAGACTTTGTATTTTCAGTTACTAGTAGAAAGCTTATTTTATCCTGCTGGGCACTTCTCATAGTTTATTTTCTTTAGGTTCATCTTCAAAATAAGATTAAGCAGGAATCTGAACAATTTAGGGTATGGAAAGCTAAACGCGAAAAAGAAGTTCTCCAGGTAAATGTAGATGTCCCACTCAATTTCTTTAGCAACAGTGTCATTCTTACTTTGTTATTCCATTCTATAGTCGTATATAGATGGTAATCTTTTCCCAACTTCTGGGAGTCTTTTTTCCATTCGATACTGCTCTTGTCTAGTCTTATCTCTTACCCGTTTAGAGAGGGAATCAGTGGAATAACTCATTTAGACTTTTGTCTTTATCGCAAGCACAGCAACATCTCTCATCAACACTTTCAATAAAAACGTTATTTATGAAATTCTAATTCATGTTTTGATTACTAATCAGCTTAAGAAAGAAGGGAGAAGGAATGAATATGAGATGCATAAACTTTTAGCGTTGAATCAGCGACAGAAGATGGTGAGTTCATGTCCAAATCGCTTGCTGTTGTGGTCTTGTTTCGATGCTCTTTATCCCACTATTTACGCGTTCACCATAGGTACTGCAAAGGAAGACAGAAGAAGCTGCCTTGGCCACAAAAAGGCTGAAAGAACTTCTGGAATCTCGAAGAGCTTCATCTCGTGAAACTATGGGTTAGATGCTTTAATGTGTCATGTAGTTCTTTTTCCTATTTTGTCAGCTTACTAATAACTAGAATTTATTGTTTTATACACAGGTGTTGGAGGTGGGAATGGTCCTGGAATTCAGGTACAGGTAACTTTATGATGAGTTTTTGCAATTTGTATATAAGGATTATTTTTTATTAAATGGTCCTGGACAATGCTGCATATATATTAAAAGTTGTGCATACCTCTCCACGTCTTTGTCTCTTTCAAAGGCTTTGATGAAGGCAATTGAGCATGAACTTGAAGTCACCGTCCGAGTGCACGAAGTACGTTCAGAATATGATCGTCAAATGGAAGTGTATGTTCCCCTTTCCACTTTAAGATCGTTCTAAAATCAGTAGTGGCGTGTTTGATTAAATTTGTGAGCAGAAGTTTGGATTTTAAAGCAATATGTTGATGGCTAATAAGCTGGAAACCCGTGCCTTTCATAGCTATAAAAATCTGGAAATTGATGTTATTTTATTTCTAAATAGGAGCAAAATATGGATTAGCCAAACCAAGCCATTCTACATAGCCGTTACTTCAGCATTGTAATTTTTTTTTTTGGTTGTATGCCAAAGTTTTATTTTATTTTTATCTTTCTATACAAGTCAAGCATAAAACATTAGAAAACTTGGATTGATTATTAACAAATTTTCTTGGCATTCAGTATTTAAGAGTATGTACCGGTGCATGTTATTAACGAACACTGGTTTTGAAGGATTAATTTTCATAAGAGTAGTATGCCTATCCATATCCACAGAGGTGTCAGTTTTAAGTGTTCAAATCACACTGAGGTGTTGGCTCAAGTGTGAGAGCTGATAATTTTTTTTAACTGAACATGTGATAAAGAGTGTGTGACACTTGTGAAACAAGTACCGAGAAGGTGTTTGGTATTGAGAATGGGTTCGACACTGTGTCGCTTTAAATAGGAGAGGTGTTTGTGCTTTATAGTTAAAAATTTCTTTGTTAAGCACTACTAAACGTTACATAAATTTTTTTTTTTTAGATTTATTGCAGTTTTAGTTATTTTAATTTGGGTTGAATGTATGTTGGTTTCTCAAGTTTTTTTTTTAAGTAAATAATGAGGCCTTTCTAGTTTTAAATTAAGTAAATTTATTTTTTTTTATTATCTTTTGTCTAAAATTTTCAAATTCTTATTTTTATCCAAATATTCGAGAGTTTATAGTTTATAATAAATTTTAGATGTGAAATAATATCAAAAGTCTGTAAAATATTGTGTAAATTTGAATGATATTCTAGGAAGTAAAATTGGGATTTGAGTAGAAGAGAATTTGAGATTTATTAGATGAAATTTACTATTTTAGTTAATGAGTTTTGAGTAAAAAGGGGTTTAAATCAGTTGAACCTTTTCAATTGGTGAAAATTTGAGTAAATTTTGAGAAACTAATATCAGATGCCTAAAAAACAACAGCAAGACAGACTTGCTTAATCTTGAAAATAAACTTGACAAACTAAAATCACACACATTCTAAACTAAAGGGGATTAGAGTGAAATTATACCTTTTTTAATTAAATTTTCTTCACTAATTCATTTATGTGCTACTTTTCACTTCAGAAGGGCTAAAATGGCTGAAGAGATGACCAGGTTAAAGGAAGAAGCACAAATGATGAAGCAAAATAACAGAAGGTGAAATGCCTTGCAATTACCTATTTATCCTTCAAGAATCGTACAATTTTGCGTGGGTTTTTAGGCAATCTGTTTGACAAACTCTCTGACTTTTTTGTTGCTAATGTAGTGATTGTCCCACATCAATGTCTCCTGGTGCAAGAAATTCTAGGATTTTTGCCCTTGAAAATATGCTTTCGACTTCGTCCACGACACTAGTGTCTATGGCATCCCATTTGTCAGAGGCAGAAGAGCAGGAACGGGTTTTCAGTGGTAAAGGACGTTGGAGCCAAGTCCGATCCCTTGCTGATGCCAAGAATTTGATGAATTGTTTGTTCAATATTGCATCTTCATCCAGGTATTAGCTTATCTGTATTTTATGTTTTGGTCAATGATTATATACCTTACAAATATGACTTACATTTTCCTGCGGCTTTTCTTTATCATAGGTGTTTACTACGAGATAAAGAAGTGATTTGCAGAGAGAAGGACACGGAAATTAGAGATCTCAAAGAAAAAGTAGTAAGGCTAAGCTACTCACTTCGACAGTTGGAAACGATAAAATCTGAACTTACTCAGAAGTTGAAATTGCAGGTTTGTGTGTTTAACTGTATATTACCTTTCAAAGGGCTTGTCAATATTCTTCCCTTCATGTTTTAGCAGCACTTTGTATAATTTAAGTATCTGTCCTAATTTAGCTGTTTGATTCCCATGTATTTAATATTTTCCGTTTATAATATTTTTCCGATATCATTTGAACTGTATGGCAGAGTGCAGCTTTGAAAAGATACTCAGAAGACGCGGGGGATTCAGAATATTCTGAATTGAATTTTAGAGGTCACGAGTATGAATTACGCAAGCCGGTAGGTTTTTCATATGACACGCTAGCCTCATATAACAACGCCGGCAAAGGATTTTCTATCTCATAATTAAAATCATATTTATTTTTTAGCACTTCAGTTAATGGGTAATAATAGTTTATCATTTAATTTGCTCCAAATTTATTTTAACTTCAGGAATACCGCCGGTCTTTCCTACAATTGGAGGACATGGATATATCTGAGACGGAATCGGATGATCATGATTTGGAGGAGACAACAGATGATGAGTGGGAAGCATCAGGAAAATTAAGGGTTAGGAAAAGGAAATCTAGAAGCAGACGTTCAGGCACGAAAAATGATCAGTTAAATATCAATAATGCAGATGATCGCAAAGAAAATTCAAAAGATGGGCATGTCGATGAATCTGGGGAAACTGCATCAGATGTTTGCTGCTCTTGTAGCAAAATCTCATCATGCAAGACAACAAAATGCAAGTGCAAAGCTACGGGCAGCAGTTGTGGGAGTTCTTGCGGCTGCCTAGCAACCAAGTGTGGCAACAGAGCATCAGAGGAGCCAACACAATCGGGAATGGTTCAAAGGACCGGAAATAATTCAAGTATTGAAGAAACAGACAAACACCGCCTTCTTGCTACTCAAGGTGCAGAGTTACTTCAGGGAGCATTGGTTGATAGGCTTGCCGAGACAAACAGTGACCAAGAACCCAGAAAACCTCTCTCTGACATAGGAAATACACAGGTGCGTGTCGGTCATTCTTTTAAAAGTCGAGTGCCTTTCTTTCTTGATTATTCTTTAAAGTCAGATCTTATTTTCTTGATTTAGGAAAAACTGTCTCCTAGGTTGAATTCGCGTTTAAAAATCCGTAAATTCACGTTTATTTTAATATTATCTTTATTTACATATTTTTTTAACAAGAATCAAACACTCCACTTCAAATTCTTTTTAAGATCGGTGGCTTTTGAGTCATGTTCTCTATTTTTCATGTTATTTGTTTTTTAAAATTGTATGGTAATCCTCTTTTTCGTTTCGTGCTTTCTAATTACTAAAATATTTTTCTTTATTTTTAATCTTTTGTATCAGTTAAGCAGTCCATGAATGGCCTGATTGTGTAAGCGTGCTAACTTCGTTTCATACAATCAATAAATCTTTTGGTCTCACAAAAATTGCATAGTAATTCGTATAAATTGAATTGTTTTATTATCGAAGTCCCCATTAAAATTAATTATCAGTTTATTATTATTTTAGCTGTTAACTCTTTTATAATGTGGATGGTTTTTGTACTCTTATTTTTTGTCTTAATTTCAATTATTATCTTACTCAAAAATTATTTGAGTTTAATTTAGTGTTTTATTCTACATCATCAATCGATTAAGATATATTGTAGGTGAAATTTTTATATTAATTATTACAAAAATTAACAATTTTTTGTTAATATGATAATTTATAATTAAACAATAGAGTTAAAAAAAAAATTTAACACTATTAATATATTTAAATTAAAAATTATTAATATTTATAAAACCTTTAAAAAATATAGCTAATTATTTTCTATATGTGTTAGCTTACACCATTTATCAGAAATGTTAAAAAGTTCTCTCAATTTTGTTATGAATTTTTACATTTATTTTTGTATTTGTTTATTAATGCTTTTGCTTTAAATAGTTACTGATATTATTAATCCAAATATCCTTATTAATTATAGACTTAGTAATTTAATAATTATTATGTATTCTTGTTTTAAAATAGTTATCACTTGTGTTATAATTTAATTAAAAATATCTTAATTTTAAAAGTTTAAAAATAATTTTTTTTTTAGTTTTACTCTTTTCTATTTTCATTTAATAGAAAAATATCATTAATTTAACAAAAGTATTATTAAATGAATTTATATTTTTATAACTTCAAAAACTAGTACTGTTTTATTATTTTTGTACCTGAACAACTATTTTGGATTTGCTGTCACTAATTTTGCTTTTATTAATACAGTTTTTTAATGTGTGGAAAAATCTGTAAAAAAAAATGAATAAATAATAATAAATTTAATAGCATATTAAATTTTATAATCTTAAATATCGTTAACATATACTTAAAAAAAACAGTTATTTTTTCCCGTTCTGAATTATGTCTAATGCTTTCTTATCTGTTGCGCTCCCGTTAAGTATTACCCCTATTGCAGGAGAAATCAAATGCAAAGAACGGTAATCAGAGAAAGAAATCGCGAAAGTCAACCATAATTCTTGTTTCGAATCCGCCACCTTCTTCGCATCCAGAGAATTCTGAAGTCCACAACATAAACACCAAGAAAGAAAATAACATTAGTGAAACAAATGTTGCTGTGAGTAAACCACGACATAGAAGGTCCTCATCTAGGCCGGAAAATGCTGCCTCTGCACCCAGGGCAGAGGGTAATTTCGTAGAACCAGATATACCTTCGAAAATACCAAAGGCTGGTCGAAGGGCAGGCTCATCCAATGGTGGGGTGCCATTGTGGGACAGGAATGCTGGTAAATCAGATGAATCTATTAGTAAAGAACTCGAAGGTTTTGGAACGAGGAGTCCGCTAAGACAGAAAAGAACACTAGATGAAAAAGAGAACAACAGACGCTAATCAGATACTCATTTCTTACCCTTTTGTTGATGTTTATACCCAAGAAGGTCAAAGCTTCAAGACAAATGCCCAGTACCTTGTATTCTTAAGGTGATTTTGTTGAAGAAAGAGGATTTCAGAGGTGTACAGTGTGACTATAAATTTTTTCATCAAATTGATTTTCGTTTTTCTGGCTTCAGCAGGTCGAATAGATTGAAATTCGTCGGGCTTGATTTTCTTGGTTCTTATGCTTTGTTTATTTAAAGCAGCCTGTACTCAAATAGGTCTCAGATGAAAGCCAAAAGTGGCTTTACCTCTTCGTGGTGATCGAAACTAGGTCAAAACTTCTTGTGTTGACGTAAAAATCATTTCTGCTGAATAGTTACATTTTATTATTGTAAAACAATAGAATTTTTTTTGTTACCTTCATTTTCTTGGCGTAGTGAGCTTGTTGCTTTTTATTGCGAGAAGGAATATCATTCAAAATTTGTATGCCATTTAATGGGATTTAGATTTATAATTTCACTTTATTATCTATTTAGTGCGCGCAATAAGGTGCAATATGTTTATCTTTCTTTTTTTTTCATACAGAGCATCTTCTCGCTGAAAAGTAAAGGATTTTTTAGATAATGACAAAAAAAGGATATTTTAGATACAGTTAAACACTAAATTTAAAACTCTTCTTCAAGTGTTTATATTATCTGAATTTTTATCGTTATATAGATGGATATGGATTAAAAAAACCGTTTCAATAAAAATGATAATTAATCTATTTTTACATCGCTATATAATATTTTTATTTTTTAGAGAAATATAATTTTAATCTTTAAGAAATATGATTTGATCATTTAAAAGTATTTTGTTTAGATTGTATAAGTAATGTAATTTTGTCTAAATTTAAAAGATTTGTTTATTTTTATGTAAAGGCAAAATGAAAAGGAGCAAAATAAAGATATAACGGTGAAATAATGTGATATTTGAATGGAAATGAAAAAAAAGGTGAAAATAATGGATTTTTTTTTTGTTTATATGTTTCAATAAGTTAAAATGTGAATAAAAAATGTAAAAAAAATATGTTGACACCATTTTATCCACAGTAGAATAAATGAATTACTTTGTAAATAACATATTTTTGCTAGAGTTTTCACCTACTACTTTGTACTGAGGTTTCCATCAATCAATGTGTTTGACTCTTTTTTCCAAGGCATCCAACCTATGAGAACAATTCCATCATAGAAACAAACATTTCTTTTTTACAAAGATAAATTTTTTTAAAAAAATTGAGATGTTTTTCATTGCTATTTCATAGCAAGAAGGATGATTAGTTTTAACTTGTATGAAGCAAATAGTAATCCATTCCATTCTATTTCACGCAAATCAAATGAAACAAACAAAATATAATTCTCTCCTAACAAGTTTAATACTTCTAATTTAGATAGCTTATCGATATTTGATATTACTTATTCATTCAAACTTACAATTAAACAATATGATCGTCTATTTCTTCTGCTACTGTTTAATCATAGTATGATAATACATTAATAATGTATTTCTATATCATAAAATTAATTAATCTTATGATAATTTAAAGAATCAAACACTAAATAATTTATTAATTAAAGATAGTTCCAAAAAAATTATCAATAAGACTAATATTTAATTTTATATTAATTTTTATTATTTATTACAAATAAAATTCATTTTATCAACATGTATACGGTGAAAGAAAAATTAAAAATTATTGTAAGATGAAAATTTACCTTTGCACACACTTTTTTTTTTAGTTAATTAGAAGAAACGCCATAATATGAATGTAAAGAAAATTTTCATTTTGTTAAATTGCATAACAGCGACCATATTCAATTTAAATATAAATCTTAATGAAATTCAATGTGAAAATCAAAATGTATTTAGTATATTCAAAAAAACCATTTTACCTTTTTTTGGATTTTTAAAATATGTTATAATAAAACACGGTATTTGTTTTTAGAGAAATAATAATGTATTTAATAAATTAATTTAAAAAATAATTTAAATTTTTCGTAATTTTTTAAAAATATATTTTACTTAAACAAGATATTTTTGTGTTTAGATAATTAAAGAATACAACAAATACAAACAGTAAAGATTCGGACAAAGAAAATTTGAATCAGCCAGGTTTCCCTCCACAAGGCTTCAATTACGTTGCTTACGTGGCACATCACGATTGGTTATTAGGTTGGCCTGGTTAACGCAGTAACGTTAAATAGTTGCAGCGAAGCGATAGAGCACTTCGATCATTTCGATCCTATAGACCTTTTCGCTTTCGATTTTTTTTTCTGTGGGAATTACTGCAATTTCAAAAGAGGAAAATGAAGAAGACGAATCGCCGATCGAAGCAATCGAGCCCCATCGATGCCTCAGCTTCCGACCCAAACGAAAAGCAAGTTTACGAGGAGAGAATTCGCGAGCTCGAGCGAGAAAATAAAGCTTATCAGGTATTTGATTTTAGTTTCCTCATTTGTTTTTACTCTTTGCTCATAAACTTGGTAGTTATAGGATCCAATTATTCGTATGTTTATTTATGAGATGTTGATCGAGCTTAAAATCAGTGTTGTAGTTGTTTTTATAATGCGTTCGTATCAAGATAGGTTTATTCTTCAATTAGATACCGAAGGGTTTGGAATTTTGAAATGGAGGCCTACGTTGTGAGGGATTCGAGAACGGAAAGCATACCCCTAATACCAAAATGTTATGAATTTGATAGTCTCATTTTCCCAATGAGTTTTAACAGTTTTTGTGTGGATTGAATCCGTTTTTTCGTATCGATTGTAATACTTCAGACTATCAAAATCGTAGGAGAGAAAGTTGTTACTTACTTCGGGTACGGTGTAATTTGCAGATAGAGATTGCTGAATTAAGGCAAAAACATGGGAATCATTCTTCGGCTTCCAACAATGGAGTTGAAAAGCTCAAAGAGGAGTATCTCCAGAAACTCAACTTACTTGAAGAACAGGTAAATATTACTTTGCAGCATTAGTAGGGTGCAATTGTTCAAAGGTAGACCATGATTTGTTTCATTACCATGCTGTTGCAGGTTACTGAATTGAAGAAAAAATTGGGTACTCAATCCCAATTTTCAACCCAAAGGAAAAGAGTCGATGAATCAACTAGGCAGTTGCAATTTGAGATTCAGAGTTTGAAGGCTCAGAAGGTGACATTTCTTATGTGGATGGACTCTTTTAAGTGCTTTAGTTCTTATCCGTCCCTCTTTTGCTTTGGGTATCAACATTTGTCTTTACACGTATAGGTTCAACTGCAATGTAAGATCAAGTTAGAGTCTGTGCAATTCAGATTATGCAAGGCCTTACTTGAAAAAGAAGTTCTTCAGGTATCTACCCGGCTACATTCTCTTACGTCTAAGATTTTGGATGATTTATGATTTCATCTATATTAAATATATTTTTTATGTGGAAGACTGATGAGGGAAATATATATTAAGTTAACATAGAAGTTGCTTTTTACAGATTCAGCTGTTTCATTTAAACTGTTTCTTTTCCGGTTTGCATTTTTGTCTTATGGAATATTTGTTCATGCATCATCAGCTTAAGAAAGAGGGAAGGAGGAATGAAATCAAGACCCAAAGTTTGCTGGCTTCGAATGAGAGGCTTAAAATGGTCGGTTCACTGTATCTTCCTCAAAGCTTATTTATGCCCTTTTATCTCTCTTGGTTGTTGCTATCTGCTTGTTTTTTTCTTACAACATGGACACTTTTCTCTCCATTTCCTTTCATCAGGTATTACAGCGGAAAACAGAGGAAGCTTCTGCTGCTACTAAACGTCTAGGAGACATGATAGCAGCTCGAAAAGCTATATCACATAGATCAGCAGGTTAGAAGACCCAAAGTCATGTTTCATTTGAATCTTCATTTATTTGATTTATGTTAGCCTCACTAACTTGCCTTTTTTTTTTTTTTTTTGCTGGTTCGCATGTAGGTGCTAGAAATAGAAACGGTCAACTAATTCAGGTAATTTTAAATCAATCGAAAATTACTGATTACTTGTAGATTAAACGTTTTAGATTTGGTGTCATTTGAATTTGACGGGCATTTAATTATTTTTCCTGAAACTTATTCGTGGGCCGGTTTCTAAGACATTTGACTGAGTGATAGATGGTTTATAAGTTCTGCTGAATAATGACTTTTTTCCTCCTACTTATTTCCCTACAAATTTGGCTGACTCTCGCTCATAGATCCTTTACTATGATGTCTTTATTTGATGTCCTTCCATTTTGTAGTGTAGATTTGATGGTCTAAACTTGTAGTGTTTATGATCTAGTGAAGAAAGTTATATTTTGGTCGTTTAAATTTAATCAGAGGTTGCTTCCGTTGAAAATTTGTTTATTGGATGGATTTTATTACTGTTTGGTAGCCGTGGTATAATTTATATATGTTGGCCCATCTTTTTAAAACATCACTCGCTGGTGGCAGGATGCTGAGCATGAACTTGAAGTCACAAGTCAGTTACACAAGTTATGTTCCCAATATGAATCCAAAATGGAAAAGTAAGTCTGATGTCACTCCCATATCGTCTTCCTTGGCTTATGCTTATGGCGCTTCTTTGTGGTCATAGCCTTAAAAAAAACTCTGTTGTTCATTTCATATTTCTTAACTTTCCTCAATCCTCACTTGTAATACGTCTTCGGATTTAGCAAGGATGAAATGTATTTCTAATCTGTCCAAAATGATTACTAATACTGTTTGAAAGCTTGGTATGTATTTATATGTATGTTTCTTCTAATGAGGAAAAGTATCTTTTACCATAATTGATGTTAGGGTAGGAATGTTTACTTTGAGACACTAACAACAGAACAGTTATTTAACTGTTTGAAGGCTAGCATAAGTGCGTCAGATTTTATTAAATCGAGATATGTTCTTATGACACTGATGTTAGCGCATATTTCAAGAACATTGAGTTTTATATGCCCTCAGCAAGTCCGTTGGAGGTTCTGTTTTTCTAACCTTCCATTTAATCACATGGCTCCATATTCCTCTAATGTTTACTTCGAGATACAAGTTTCTTGTCATTTGAGTTTTTATCCAATTGAGAATTTGAAATAGAAGTTGATTGAAGTGGGGAAGTAACATAAAAACCAATTAAGGGATCAAGATTGTATTCATTCCGTTCACTTTTTTCAATATGTCAGCTTGCTTGCAAGAGTATTCGTTAGTATGACTTTTGTGAAATGCCATAATAAGGGATGCTATTCTAACAAATTGGAATGGCAGGATGGCTGAAGAAATTGTGCAGCTGAAGGAAGAAATTGAGATGCATAGGCAGGGAAAATTAGGGTGAAAACTGTTACTTGCTTTCCTTTTGCAATGTTGAATACTTGAATTCTACCAGTTTGCAGTACTATATAGTCCACTTTCTAATTTAACATTGTGTTTCAATTCTCTTCCTACATTGTTACTTCAAGGTCTCAGGTACAGGAGGAAGACTGTGACGGCCTGAAGAAGGATTTTGATATCCAAGATTTAAAGGAACAAATAAACAGCCTTGGTTGTCTATTCGGAGAATTACAATCGCGGAAGGAGAAGGTTGATTTCAAGGATAAGAAACAGGTTTGGGCCGTTGACATCGAATTAGAACTGTATTAGAACTGACATTGTTCAAAATAAATATTACGTTGTTAATTTCTTAAACTGTGGCATCTTCTGATCAGGGGGACCTGGGTCACTCTCCTCTTCTCTCCGAAGAGAGTGACGACAAGATAAAGATGGTTACACCCGAAGTGAGCAGTGTTAGTGAAAATAATACTAAGAAGGTGAGAACAGCTGAAGGGCTTTGCTGCTCGTGTAGTAAGAAGTCCCTGTGCAAGACTACCAAATGCATATGCCGATCCTCTGGTGGGAGCTGCGGAGCATCGTGCGGCTGCACACGTTTTAAGTGCACAAATAGGGAACCAAACCAATTGGCAGAAAATGAATCACTAAAATCAGATAATACAGAATGCTCTACGGACGCTTCAGCTGCAGACAAAGATGGAAATACAATCGCATCTGAATGTGCTAAACTACTCCAGAGTGCGCTTGTTCAGAAACCTGCTAGTTGCAGAGACAACCCGGGGCCCATAAAGAAGCCGTTATGTGACATTCAGAACTCACTGGTATTCTAAATCCCAAAGCGAGACCTTTCTCAGATTTTCCTACTTTGTATTTTAACCCTGGAATGCACTACTAAATTTTGGTATGTGCTGCAGTTTTCCAACTAGCTTACTAATCCACAGCAAAATCTTATTGCAGGGTAATTTGGATGATCAAAGGCTAGGCAAGAAGAAGAAAGTGCAGAAACCAGTAATTCGGCTTGTTACCACGGATCCGATGTCTTCGTCGCCAGAACATAGCAGCAGTACCGAGACATATAAAATTGAAACTCAGGGAAATAATCCGATGAGGTTGGACAGGGTGACAAAACCAGCTATAGAGAGCCATTCTAGCCAGCCAAATGAATTGGCGACATCCATTAGTGACGCAGCTGGTTTTCGTCTCTTAAGAAACTCAACACGACTGGCCAAATCTTTTGTCGGGAAGGAGGACCGTTTCATTTAAAAAGACTTCAATGTGAAGTGCTTTTTTCTGGGGGAGATACTATAAGAGCAACCAGCATTCTTTTGTTCTTGTGTCGAAAATTCATGCCAGAGCTGAATTGTCGAGTGTGATTACTTAGTTGATTTGTATCTCTTTAATACGATGTGTTTTCGTAAGAGAAGCCATAACGGTAAATTTAATAGACTGAGTTACCTTTTTCTTATAATTCAAATACAGGGATTTGCTTTCTTTTGCTTGCAACGGCGATTGTAATAATCAATAAATCAATAACCTTTTGACATCAGTGCGGGAAGTAACTAATTTTAATTTACTTACTAATTATTCTTTGTTTTTCTTAATTAACTTGTATTCATGTTTTTCGATATATAATTTTGTAATCTTTTAATGTTGTATATTTGTTATATAATCTTTAATTTGTCAAATTATGTTCTGACTTCTATTTTTTAAGCAACAGCTCAATTAATGTGCATAATCCAATTTGTAATGTTTTAACACGTTTTTTTAGGTTATAAATATTTTTCAATAGAAGTAATTTTTTTAAACACCTCTTAAGGCACATGGCGTACTTTTAAAACATAATATAATATATAATGTCTTAATAACATATATGTTAGTGGGATTGCTAAGTATATGTTCCATAAAAAATTGTTAATATCATACTTCTTAAGAAAATTATAAAGTTTCGCTCTTAATTTAATATATCTCACATATAATTTAATAAGTATTTTTATAATTTTTAATAAAATTTAATTAATATTATGTAAGTGTTAAAAAAGTGTATTCCTAACGCTTTTTATATACTAATACTATATAAAGCAAATACATGGTAGATGAATATTTTGAATTTGATAAAATTTTTAAATATATAATTTAAGAAATTATTTTAAAAATATGTACAATTAGTTTAATTTTATAAAAAAATAATTCTTTTAAAAAAAGAGAGAAAGTATACTATGATTTAAGAGAACATAGATTAAAATTAAGTGACTCTTATTCTTACATTAATATACTACAAAATTTGTCATTCATTACCGAGATATGTGAGATAAAAATATTATTATTCAATAAAAAATATGATGTATTTTTTTTAAGGAAAAAAGTCATAAAGAAATACATTGTTAAAAATGATTTCATAATTTTACACATCTTTATTGCTTCATTGGATGCAATGTCCTAATTATTTAAATAATTTATATTTTAAAATTAGGTAATTTTTACAATATCTTATAAATTAAAAATAAATTTATATTTTTTTTACACATAAAATATCACTGTTGTATTAATCGATAGTAAAGTTAGTAGTTTATTAAAAAAAAATATTTAATCTTTAAAATATTAAAAAAATCATAACTATTAAAAAGAGTATACAATATCCTTTCAAATTTATGAGTATCAAACAAAGAAACCACCTTAAAATTATTGTCATTCAAGTTCCATATTACAATCCCTTATAATGTAAAATTGACTTTTTTTACTTCAATAATAACCTAATTACAGTAATTCTCAACCTAAATTATACACACTATTACTCAATTTAAGTAAATTTCTAAAAAAATATTTATAAAAAAAATAGGTTTAATTTGAGTAAAATTTTAGAGACGTTCTTATAAAAAATATTATAAAAAGTAAACAAAATTTCTCTCTTAAATTAGAAATATATAATATTTTTTTATTTTTTAATAAATTTTTTATTTAACTTCTCTAAAATTTAAGATGATAATTTATTTTTAACTTACAAAAGAAATTATATTAATTTTTTTTATAAAGATTTCTTTAAAAATTTACTAAAAATGAACTTTAGTTTAAAAAGTAAATAATTTTTTCATAAATTATAAATTAAAAACAATTATGCTTCTTTATTTTTGAGAAATTCTTTTATTCTCGTTTTGAGAGAAATATAGTTTTTTTATTGTAATCTTTCAACTTTTTTAGTATTTTTATTAATACTTTTTTAATTTATACACTTTATTAACAGTTATAGTTAATGACATGTCAATATAGTTTATCGATGTAGTGGATCCAATTTCTGGTAGATATTAAAATAGTAAAACTCATTAAACAAGTTTGTTTATTAAAATCGAATTTTTTCTAATAATTCATTACTTATTTTAAGTAAAGAGAAATGGCAAACTGCATGAATGAGTTATAGTATAAATTTTGACTAAGTCACATGTCTTGAGTGATTAAATAATAATAATAATAATAATAATAAAAGAATTCAAGGGATTGGCAAAAATCGCGGTTGGTACGGGCTCTTCGTCACCTTATATTTATCTTCATTCATTCTCACTCGTTTTGTTTTTTTTTAAGAAAATCAATTCTTATTTACAAAAAGTTTAAAAGTACCTTTGACTCCATAGAAAAATTTGCATTATTATCTGCATGTTAACCAAAGTGACTTAAACTAAGTATATAATTCAATTAGTTAACACTAGTTTTTTTCAATTAATTTTTCTAAAAATTATTGATAAATCTAATCAAAACATACAATAAATATAAATTTAAGTAAATTATACTCTCTTATTTTAAGAAATGCTTAAATTATACTTTTAAATTTTTTAAAATTATATTTTCCTCTCCTAAGAAATTATACTTCAAAATCATTGAGTGGGAAGAATTCTCTAACAAAGCCCTCCAAAATTTTTGCTCTTCAAAGGATCATACAACATATTAGACACCTAAGATTGTGGCGAAGTATCCTCCTCTTCATGCCTGCCTCATAAGAAGGCATATTCGCCAACATTTGTTTCTCTTTTGCCAAATAATTCGTTAAAGTTAATCACCAAGATCATTAATAAACTACAGCTCTTCACTAACGAGACATTTGTGTGCCTTTGTTTATCTTTGTTCCACCTTGTTGGTTTCATTAATCTTCATCATCAAGGTTTTACCCCGATGGGTTGAATGTGTTTGATTGTGAAACAAGATAAAATGTTGAGAAGGGCAGCAACTAATGCATATTCATGGTGGTGGGCAAGCCACATCAGGACAAAGCAATCCAAATGGCTAGAACAAAGCCTCCAAGGTATGTTCTCTTAGTACACAGGTTGATACCTTTTCCTTAAGCCACCAATCTGGTTGTTTCCTTGATCACTAATTCCACTTAAACACCTCTCTTTTTTTTTGTATGTGATTAGTTTCATCAGGATAGGAGGTTTCAATCCACAGGCAATTATATTACCCACATTTTCATTTTCTCTAGATTTCACAAAATTATTTAGATGGCCGCATCCTTAACCATGATGCAGGATGCATTCCTCTCCATATATAATACAAAACCTTCTTTTTTATATTCACCATTTTCAGAGTAGTTTTGAGGAGAAAAACAAAATGATTTGTAATGTCGAACAAAAGATAACGTATTAGAATGTCCTGAAAATCATATATATACATTGATGGCACGAAGAACAAAAAGCAGAAATATATAGAGGATAATTAGATAATGGCATATTGTAGTTCTACTGTTTCATTTGGTACACAACTACTACCCACTTTTCTTATATTAGCTCAAGTTCATAGATGAATAATCAAACATTAAACTTAGAAGAAAATTCATTGTCAATATAACATGCAAACAAATTTAACAGATATGGAGGAGAATGTGGCTGAAACCCTCAAAATCATTCATGATGATGGGGAGTCATTTTCCCAGAGGGCAGAAATGTACTTCAGGAAGAGGCCAGAGCTGGTAGGTTTTGTGGAAGAAGCCTTTCGAGCATATAGAGCATTAGCAGAGAGATATGACCATTTATCAAAGGAGCTCCAAAGTGCCAACCGCACTATTGCCACTGTCTTCCCAGAACAAGTCCATTATAGAATTGATGAAGATGATGATGATGAAGTAAGTTTCCTTGGAACAAATTCACCATCTCAAGACCCCAACAATCAAACACCAAAACCAGTCATTCCTAAAGTTCCAAGCATCCCAAAGAAGGATTTTAGAAGCAAATCCATGGTTCTTGCCAGGAAGGGACCACTGAGGAGGATTGCTAGCTCAGTAAAATCTACTCCAACAACTCCATCTTCAGGGCTGAGTAAGGCTGAAGCACTAGCAGAAGTAGATAAGCTTCAGAAGGAAATTTTGGCTCTACAGACTGAGAAAGAGTTTTTTAGGAGCTTGTATGAAAATTCCTATAAGAAGTACTGGGAAATTGAAGACCAGATAACAGAAATGCATAAAAGAGTTTGCAGCCTTCAAGATGAGTTTGACATTAGTACAGTCATTGAAGAAAATGATGCACAGGCTTTAATGGCAGCCAAAGCTATAAATTCATGCAAAGTGGCCGTGGCTAAGTTGCAAGAAATACAAGCACAATCATCTGAAGAAGCTAAAGCAGCATACGAAATGGTTAAGGAAGCTCATGAAACGTTTGAAACTCTTAGAGACCAATTTATTTCTAAACATTCAAGTCAACAAGACCAAGGAACAGAACCAAAAGGCTTAGAGGAAGAGATGGCTAGCTTGGAAGAAGAGATGCATGGGAATGATGTGGGGCTGTTGCAAGACATGATTAAGGAAAACCTTGAGGAAGATTCTGGGAACTCCCTCACTATGACAGAAATAGCAGAGAAGATTGATGAGTTTGTAAGTAAGATTGTTACCCTGGAGACTGCGGTCTCCTCTCAGACTGGCTTGGTAAAGAGACTGAGAACAGAAACAGATGAATTTCAAAAAAATATACTAAGCTTAGAAGAGGACAAGGAAAAACTGATAGAAAATTCAGAAGAGACCAAAGAGAAGCTGAAAGAATTGGAAAAGGAGTTGAGGAGAGTTCAAATTATTGATCAAAGTATCAAAAGGCAAATCAGCAGTCTCCAAACACGCTTTAATGACAGTGGTAAACTTGAACGTCTTTCAGGAAAATTGAATAATGTGAAGCTAGATGAGGGGGAGAACTTTCTACTTAATGGAAACAGAAGTGAGCCAGATGGAAAACTAAAAGAGGAGACTGAAAAACCAGGTGATAAATTTCCTACTGATGACTTAGCAATAAAAGAGGAGTCTGACAAACCAGGCGATAATTTGCCTACTGATGACTTAGCAATCACGAATGATGTTGAGACAACAAAGGAGGAGAAGGAAGAATATGCTGCAAATCTCAGTGATATCAGAAATGAAGATGATGAGTCCAATTTGAAGGGAAACATTGATATTAGGACTGAAGGGATTCCAGCGCTAAAGATGCAGGATAACAGTGATTTGTCTGAGGCGAGGAGTAATCTTCACACTGAATCACTTGATCAGGTGACTGGTGAGGAAGAAGATCAACCTAGCAGGAGACAGATGTTTGTGAGTGGATTAGATGACCCAGAAAAGATTTCGTTGGAGGAGAACACATCCATTTCAAAGAACTGTAACGATGAAAAGGTCAAGCTCAATGATGTGGAGAAGAAAAATCTGGATAGTATTTCTGAGTTGACACTTCAGGTAAACAAAAGTCATCTATATATGTGGGCCAGTAAAATTAATAATTAGATAAACATTCAGGGTTATAATGAACTTCATTGAATCATTGTTAACAATTTAAAGCCAAAGTGAAAGAGACTTTTAACAAATTTGATACATGGATGTACTTTAAACAATCATTATATATAATATCTTATCATGTTATATATAATGTAACATCACAATATACGAAAATACTAATCTAGAAGTTGTATAGTAGGCTTTGCATTACCTCTAGTCCTGAAATTGCAGATCTAACCCTGCAGGTTAGGGAATTGAAAGATGTTGTTGCCACTAAGGATAAAGAGATAGACTTATTACAACAGAAACTGACCAGTTCAGAAACGAATTGGGGTGAAAGTCCTTGCACCACTCTCACAGATTATAAATATGCACCACAAGAAGTAATTATTAGTGAAGGAACTAACATGCAGGACACCGAAAATCCATCTTCAAATACAGATGCAAGTGTAGTTAGTACTTCTTATGCTGAGCAACACCAAGTAGTTGTAAACACAACAAATATAGACATGACAAGGACCATATTAGTGAAGGTGAAAGGAAACCAGGTTGATACGAAGCCTTCACTTTCAACCTTGGAAAAGAAATATCGATCAGACATTGATGATTTGCTGGAAGAGAACTTGCAGTTCTGGATGAGATTTAGCACCTCAGTTCATCAGATTCAAAAGTTTCAAAACTCTATACAGGACTTAAAAGCCGAGCTTCGAAAAATAAAGGATACTATGTCCCGAGAGAAATTAAACTCCATAAAATCGGAAATAAAACCAATATTTAGACACCTGAAAGAGATAAGAACCGAGTTATTACTGTGGCTGGAACATAATCAAGTGTTGCAGGAAGAGTTGCAAGGTAGGCATCCATCTTTGTGTACCTTACAAGATGAAATAGCAAGAGCAGCCAATCCAGATTCTGCATCAAGTAAAGCAGAACTAAGTGGGTATCAAGCTGCTAAGTTTCAAGGTGAGGTTCTAAACATGAAACAGGAGAACAACAAGGTCTCTGGTGAACTACAAGTTGGTCTCAATTTTATGAAGGGACTGAAAAATGATATTGAGAAAATGCTAGAAGAACTGAGTCAAGAGATAGGGGTTAACAACAATGGGTATGGCCATGATCAAACGAAACAGTCCTCAAGTCGTTCTAAATTACCCTTGAAGTCTTTTTTGTTTGGAATCAAGTTAAAGAAGCAAAGACAATCTGTTTTCTCATGTGTCAATCCAACATTGCAGAAACAAAACAGTGATCTAACAGCTGCTAATGATGCCCCCATATAGACAGACCAACTTCTATTTTCTATTTAAGTATTTGTGAAACTCTACATTCTGTATAGTCTGATTATGGTTTTGAAGTTTTTCCTTCTAAGATTAGTTTTTTTTTTAATCAGAGAACTATTTACGCGTGTGTATACGAAAGGCAAAAGATTCTCTCTAGATTTCAATGAATCCATCAATTATGATCACTTCATTATGATTAAGTTGCTCCTATTTTTCTTGTTCTGTTTTTATAAGAAAAATGGTATTAAACTGCTAAATTAAATTGCTATCTATCTATCTGTCCATCATATTTTCTTTAAGTCGAGAGACCCTCTATAGCAAAAGTAAATTGGTAAAACTGGGATAACTTAATAATTTTCATCAAATATTTGTTATTTGTTAAAAATCAAGCTTTAACAAATCTTCAAAAAAAGTAAAAAAAAAAAAGAAAAAGAAAAAGGCTTGAGCATAAAATTGCAATATCCTTTGGATGCTAAGAAAAGGCCGCATTTTAATACGAGAATTCATATCCAGACACAATAATTCATATAAATAAGAGAAAAATAGAAAGAGAAAAAAAATATAAATTAAGATGAGTAATGTAAGGAAGGGAGATGAAGGAAAAAAGGTTGTAAAATTTTATAGAATAAATATAATATATCTTTTAATATTCTAGCATACATTGTAAAATGTTCAGTAAAATATGATCATTTCATTTTTTTTTTTAAAAAAGGCTTGAAATTACCATAACTGATTTAAGTAAAAAAAGATAAAGTTTTATTAAAAAATACGGCATGCAAGAATCATATTTTTTTATATAGAATTTGAAAATATTTTATACTAAACATGCAATTTTAAAAAATCACCGCCAACAATTTTATATTTTTAATAAAATTTAAAAATTATTAATGACAATATAGATAAAATTAGTTAATTTTAAAAAATTGTCATTAGTGAAATTTTAATTATTTAAAAATATCGTTAGTAAATTTTTAAAGTTTATATTTAAGTAATTTCTCCAAAAAATCATAATACGATATATTATGCCCTAAATCATCATACATAAAATAAAAAAGGCAAGACTGGGGTGTAAGAAAAAGTGTTTAGAATATATTTAACATTTATTTTTGTATGGCATAGAAATGAAGGGAAGCAACCATTGTACCACATAAAAGAAAAAACAACAACAAATAGCTTTATCCAAAACACACAAACAAGGAAAATGGCGATGGTAACATCACCGTCACTGCAAATCACAACCCCATTCCCTCTTTCTTCTCCCAAATCTCACCTCCGCAAGCTCTTCACCATCCGAGCCACGGAACCTGAAACCCCACCCTCCGAATCGGACCCATCCCAACCCGAACCTGAACCTTCCGAGGACGACTTCGACAGCCGCATCAACCAACTCCGCCTCCGTTACCGCAGCGGAACCGGGAAGAAAGCGGAGCTCCGAAAGAGCCGAAAGTCGAAGAAAGGCACCACGGAATCGGGGTCGAGCGTGTACCTGCCGCCGGTGCCGCTGAAGGAGGCGGTTTCCGGCGGATTGAAGGTGGAATTGGGGTTCAGCCAATACAGCGAACGGTTAAACGGTCGCATTGCTATTCTGGGTCTCACGGCGTTGTTGTTGGTGGAGCTTGCGACGGGGAAGAGCGTTATCAACTATCACACACCTGCTATTATTTTTATTCAGATTTATTTTGTGGCTGCCGTTTCTACTATCTTTGTCAAGTATGAGAAGGAAAAAATCAGTGTTTGGCCTCAACCCGAATCTTCAAGTAACGAATGATATAATAAAGATGATGATGATGATGATGATGATGATAATACCATTCTATTTTAATAGCTTTTGTGGATGTAATTGTAATTAGTGAATTGAAACAAATGTTATTTTTCTGATTGCAGTAGATTTTAAGTAATATTATATTCCTATTGAGAATGAGAGGAGCTGTGTGAAAGTGAAATTCAATTTGCTTTCTGTTGGATCCTTTCATTGGATTGAATAGAAGCAAACACAATTGGTTTGGTTTATGAAGTTTTTTTTTTTTCTTTCGAGTTAGTTTTGTTTTGAATCATAGAACTGTTTTTAGATACAAACATTTCGTATGTAATGCTTCTCTTCTGTGTGTGTGTGTTTCCCTATACTATAGATTGATTTAGGGACTCCATTCAAATGTGCTACCTAATAAAAAGTAGAAAAGTTATAATCACTTCATTTTTATCTAAGTTGCCTTTTTTTTTGTTTTCAAACTGCTAACTTAAATTGCTGTCTTCTTTTGGGTTAACAATTAAATTGTTAAAAGTGGTACGGTGCTTATGGCCAAAGCGGTTTCACGACCTACACTACTCTGTGAGTGTTTGGGTTCCAATCTTATATTTTGTCATTCTTTGGATAGGCTGTAGAATTAAAATGTCTCTCTGTTTTTTATTAAAAAATAAAATAAAATTGGGATGCTGATGAGCCATAACTAAGGCATCCTTGAAAATACTTCTAACAAGTGGGGTGAGAACTTGACTTTTCTATCGGTAATAAGTTATAATAACAAAAAATACTTTTATGTCTTGAGGTAAAATCAGCTTAGTTACTTAGATGATACAAAATCATTAAATTTGATTTTTTTTTTTAACAAATTGGCAGCACCATAAAATTTTATTTTATATTAAATTTTTTTTTACTAATATTAGTCTATGATAAGCAGCTAATAATAATAAAATTTTATTAAAAAATATTTTTATTTTTATAACTTTAATTTAATAACGGTATATTTTTTATACAAATTTTTTATTTGCGGATTCTTAAACTCAGTCCTAAGCCCTAAAGGCTGAAGTTAATAAAATCTTTAAAAAAATATATGAAAAAACTTTTTTGTATTGTAACGTTTTTTTAACTCCTTTATGAGATGTAGTTAAATTTTTAGTGACATCTCATTTTTTAAAATTTTAATTTATTTATCTTGAAAAAAATAAATATGGAAATATTTATTATAGTTCTTTTTTGCTAAAAACTTTTTTTGTTTGCGTTCTTTTATTAATAAATGCTAAGTCTAAACTAAAAGACCAACACTTTTACCGTTACATCACTTTTGTTGATATGTTGCACGTAAAGTGAATTAATAATATATTACAATTTTTTTTTTTGCATTGCACATTTTCATGAGACTGCAGTACATGGTGTTTGAATGGTTTAATGTTAGTTTATATTTACTTAAAAATTTACACGAAACATTATTGAACATGTGTAAAATATAATGTGAAAAAAAAATGGAAGAGAGTTTTAATTATATAATTTGTTATAGTATAGACAATATAACTTTAGCGGAATAATATTTTCTTTAATAGCATTGTGTTAAATGTTAGTAAAATATTTGAATTTACAAAATACTATTTTTAAAAATGGCTTACATCAAGACTTTTGGTAAGATTTACGTGTGAATTGAATAAATTAATAATTTATTAATATATTAAGTCTAAAAAAGAGTTTCCTAATATTATACATGTTTTAGATGGATAAAAAGTCAAAAACGTCGTCCAAACATATTGCCATTAGTTTCATAATAAGACTAAAACATTGCCCTTTTTTTTCCGAGAAACAAAGCTTTAATAAATTAACATGTAGTACTTTCTACAACAAATTTAATTGTAAGTACAGATATATTGAGCGAGAAAGATTTTAAGATAGTGATACTATCCCCACCACTCAGTTAATTTCATTTACACCTTCCATTAAAATGGTAAACTAACTAGTAGGCACTGCTCCCTAATGTCAAATTATAATAAAATGGTAAACTTGATTTCTCAAATCCTTTCTATACCAACATATGTGATTTACTCTTTATTATTGACTAAACTTCACAAACATTCTACATAAAACTCATCTAAAAATAGCGATTTAAAGAATGCGTTGTTCATATTTCTCCTACTGACAGATATCATGCATAAATTTTTAAAAGAGAGTTTTTATAAAGCTTTACAAATGTCTCGATATTTTAAAAATCAGAAGAAAGTTTTAGGACAACACATAACATTCAGCTTCGCTTCTACTTAAACCAACAGTTTCTTGGTGTTCTTGGAGATTTTTCTATATATCAATGTATAATTTATTACAAACTTTTCAATCGGAAAATATAATTTACAATAAACTATTGTAAGTATTATTTAGCTAACCTTTGGAGAAGTCTGAAAGAACTATAGACATATTTACTGAGGACACATCACCACACCAACCCACATCATTAACCAGTTATTGTTAAAAAAAACCTTTGAATAATAAAGCTAAAGATAACGGGTATTTGTAGAAATTGTTTTACAACTCATTTATAAAAGCTTGCCAGGCATCAAAATATATTTACCACTTAAACAATAATTTTAAAAAATATTACAATATATTAATTTGCTACAAATTCCTAAAATAACTTGAAATTCCATCAAAACTTTTAAGTTAAAATAAAAAATAAAAATAAAAAAATTGGTCATTTGCACAAACTAATCACTCAATAATCCCCATTAGTTTTTACTACCTCGGCATATCCAGACTTTTGCTGCAAACATCTTGTGCTGGCAAATTTACATGTTTACCATTCGTGTTTTGATCATTCGAGCTTTCGTTAAGTGAATTCATCCTCTTATCTTCATTTAAATCTTGACTCTCCTTGTGTTGGTTGCTATTCTCAGTCGCCTTTGAATTCTTAACATTTCCTTGCTCTTCACACGCTCCTGGAATTCCTTTATCTTTTAAAGCTTCATCATTGCTTGTAATTTTAACAAGAGGCACACTCTTCTCTTGACCTAAATTCAATCTTTCCTCCTCCAAGGTGCTATCAACCTGGCTTTCAGTAATACATTTAGGAGCCCCATTTTGTTGTACCTTCTCTTTTGGTGTGGAGCTAGGATCAGAAACTCGGAATTCTTCGGCGGGATTAACATCTTGCTTCAATGGAATTTCATCAGCCACAGAGGTAACAGGTTTGTCCTGTTGAGACAACATAAACAAAATAGTGAGTATTTTCTCCACATTAGGTGAGGCAGGAGATACGTAAGGTACATTTGAATGAACCTTCGGGTCAGAAGGCAAAATGACAGAAATGGATGACTTTGTCGAAGAGCTAGCTGCAGGCTTAGTATCTTCAGTGTTTCTTACTTGAGCAACCGTCAATTGTGACATAGTGTTTGGACGGGACTCAATTTGTGTCCCAGCTGTAATAGATTTCACCGCAGGTTCTGAAATTGGATTGCACTTCAAGACTGGTTTTTCAACTAATTTGGATTTTGCAGAGGATTCAGAAGATCTCAACAAAGCTTGAGGTGGTACAGAACTAGTGGCAACTGTCTCTGTAGTATTTCTAATCTGCACTTGATTTTTAACTAATGTGGATGTCTTAGCTGCAACCATTTACATTGAAATCATTCGAAGGTAAGAAAAGTTATTCAAGTGCAGATCATTTGAGCTAAATAACATTAATAATTAAGTGAATTAAATAACTAGCAGTTAAGTAAATTAAATAATGAAATATTTCATTATCAATGTCAAAATTTGAAAGCCATAAAAAAATCAAAGTAAAAAAATGAGCCCTTCAATTAATATATTTAACACTAATAATCAGCAGAGAACTCACAAATTACAGAGGAAAAGTAATACTATTTGATAGTATTGAGAGATTAGGAAAGTCGTTGAGGTATTGGAAAATTAGCATTGATATACAGACTACAGAGATATTATTGTGTTTATACTTTATATACCAACTTGGAAATCATGTGCAGACCATGAAAAGTATAACCATATTATAAAAAGCATGATGCTTATATCCAATAATCTTGTAAAGTTATACAACACAAGGTCAAACTCAAGCTATTTGGCTACTCTACTCCAGCCAATAAGTGCAAGAAGTCAACTGGTAGAACAGTGATGGTAATCTGCTCATTCAATGTTCCCCCACCTAAGAGCTTTCATATTACAGAATCCCTAGATATATTAAATGCAAAAGTTTAAATAATCCAAGAATAGTCATAATAACTTTTAGAGAGAGAGGGGGGGGGGGGGGGGATGACAGAAGCAATATATTGTGATTTGCTTCATGGTTTTGAGGGTAAAACATAAAACATTTCAAATCACATTTGCATCTTGCAGCACTTTAAAGAACCATAAGCCCAAAAAGGGAATTTGATCCATCACTTAGCAAGACCATGATTAACAAGTGTTCCAGGGACAAGGCACTAAATATGTCTACAATCATTAATAGACCCATCCTAAAATAGGTTGAGAACCATAGAACCCAAGATTCAGTTGATAGTTAGGAACTTACACTTAGTTTGGAACTGAGGATTAAGGAGAGAAAGAATTGAGTAGGGAAGAAAACATACTTCCAAAGAGAAAGTTATCTCATTTGGAAAGGAGGAGAGATGAAGAGAAATAAAGAAAATGCTGCGAGACCCGTGAAGAAATTGGTTTCTCCATGTCTCGAAGAAAAAGGTACAAGAGGGGAGAGCTTTGCTGTAATGACCAAAATGTCCTTGCTTTGATTTTATTTTATTATAAAAGTAAGAAGCCATTTAACATAATTTTTCTTTTTTTCTCTCTATCCAACCAAATAAGGGGGAAGAGAGAACTCAACTTTTCTTTCTTATTTCTCTTAATCTAAATACCAGACCAGACAACTTAAAACTGTACCCATTTTCTACTTATTTTTCTCTTCTCTTCCACTTTTTTCTGCCCTATTTCTCTCCTTCCTACTACATCTCACATCCAAACAAAGGGATAATAAAAATAGGTAGAAAAATGAACAAAATCATTGGAATTTGTTTAATATGAAGATAAATTAAATAAAATAGAAAAAGGTTCAAAGACAATTACCAGGATCAGTCACTCCAGGAGCAGTTAACTTTTTGAATGGCATATCAAGGGCTAAAGATAAAGAGTGTCGAGTTGCTAGCTGTTCAGCAGTAGTATACTGTGTGCTGGTTGAGATGGTTCCTGGATTGGTGCAGCCATCTTTCTTTCGTAAAATGCTCCACCTCTGTAAGTATTTGGATAACCCATGACAATATGTAAAACCAAAAGTAAATAACAATAAAGGTGAAATGGAACAGTTATTAAATCACATTAATATTTACAAATCAATCGATACAAGAAAATATGTATTCACAAGTATACAAAGTAAAATGCTCCACCTCTGCAAGTATTTAGACAGCCCATGATAATATGTAGAATATAGAGTAAATAATAATAAAGGTGAAATACAGCAGTTATTGAATCACATTAATATTCACAAAACAATCAGTGCTCAAAAATATGCATTAACAAGGATATAAGAATTCATTCATTATGATCTAAATCATCACACATATGACCAGTTCCTTGTAAGAGTTGGACACGTAAAACTCCATTGCCGGGATTTGAACCCGGGAGAACTGGGTGATGCCCAGACATCTGACCTGACTAGATGACAACGGATAAAATATATTCAGTGCCATCAGTCATTATATTAGGATGGAATATAGCAGTCGCAGGAAGATATCGCCAAGCATGCCATAATACATATGCATTTTTTTCATTGCCAATTTTCCTTTCACCCATTTAAAATCAAGGGAAGGAATGACAAGGTTAACACTTAACACACAATGTACAGTTGTACACAAAAAAGAAAAGGTCAGTTTTCAGCATGCCCGACTCCAACAGCTGCACAAACAGGCTAAAGAATCCCCTCCCAATAACATAGCTGACAGGTATAGATCTGCTACATTAGATGAGGGCATCATCAGATTTTAACTTGAAGACCATTTTCTTTGCATCTGCAGATCATGCAGTCAATCTATCAACAGGATACCAAGGATTACAACCTCCTAGCAATATTTAACTTTAGATAATTCCTGCCACAATTATCTAACTTATTAATCAACGTGATGACATTAACTAGAATTAATTTTGATAAATATTGATGGTTAATAAATTGAATGCTTTAAAAGTGTCCACCTAAAAGAGAATGAACTTTCAGTGAGCTTGTTACAAGGAACAGGCACAAGACAAACCATAGGGATCAAACAATAATTAAACTTATCTGGTTTGGATTTCAGGGAAAACCAGGCTGGTTTCCAAATGTATAGGATAATAAATATAATGAATCTTGGAGATATGCAAGGTCTAGACTCTAGAACTAATTAAACTAGATAGATTATATGATGTAGTATGCCAGGATCTCCATACTTCATCATTTACAATTGCCAAAGGGTGCTGTTCGAGAGCTATGACCCCCAAAAGTAAGATAACACTAAAATAAACTATAAAAAGTGGTATTAATGAGAAAAAAGTGTTGCTGCCTTTTCTTTCTTACACTTATCTTTACCACCATGATGGACATGACCATTTGCAAATACCTCTAGCTATTAATCAAAACAGATGATGATAAACATGTTGCCTTTTAAGGACTATTAATGAAATCTTCACATAAATACTTAGAAAAGATAAATGAGTCACCAATGGCCACATAGTTTATAAATCTTTAGGATTGAAAAGCCACCTGAGCCAACTGTGTAGGACTTCTCTTGATAGGAAAGTTGTCTAGTTTTGCCATTGTTGCCCAATTCCCTTCACCGCATCTCTGAACTGCAGCTCGTAGCTGCATGTCCTCTTCCTCTGACCATGCTTTTCTTTTTCTTTTGGAAGCCATGTTACCACCAACTAATCCCTTAGATTCTATACCATCTGATGATGATACAGTTGGCAGTGTCTGTCTCTGAACAGTAACTGGAAAAATAATGCTTGACCCTTGCATCAAATTAGAGGGCTGAGAACTTTCAATGGGAGTTCTAGATGAATGGCAAACTGGAACATTTATAGTCAACGGAGCCTCTATTGTTGAGCTACTTGGGGTAGATTCACTTAGAGTACAAGAAGCAATCATTACCTGAGGAATAAAACAATTCCCAAAAATAGGCTGGTTAAATTGAAGAACAAGAAATAGCACAATAGCAAGTTTGAACATTGAAACCATAAGGTGAACTCAATTATTCCACGCTACATGGGGTCATTTACTAGGATCAATCAACGTCATTGGGCTCTACCAAAGACTAACTTTTCAGCAAAACTTGTAGAGGTGATTTTTATTGCCTTGTAATACTTTCTTTAGTTTTTTATGCCTTCCTCTACCCATTGTAGTCAAACTATCATTTACTAGCTCCATTTTTCTCAATGGAGACTCTGCTAGTCTTGTCACAGAACCAAACTACCTTTCACAAGCTTCTATCATCTTCTCCTCTATAGCTGATACATCAACTTTCTCTTGGATACGTTCATTCCTAATCTCATCTTTCTTTTTAGTATATTTACCCATTTGCCTCAGCATTCCTATCTTCACGGCACTAATATTTTTGCTCTTGCCAGCACTTTACTGCCTAGCATTCACAAACATACATTGTTACTAGTCCAATTGTTGTCTGGTAAAGGCGAGCCACCTTGCAATCAGATATTAATCAAATAGTTTTTATAATTGTAATGCCCCCCACAATCAAAAAGAAATTAACAATTTAAATCAGGGGTTCTATTAAAATTGTTTTCTTATAGATAGGACAAGTATATTTACCTTCACACATGCTGTAGCCTCCGCTGAAGATTCCACACTTACTAGGGGTAATGCTTCTAGCTCACACTCTAGGTCACTATCATCATCCTGCAAATGAGACTCCAAGTAAGCCTGAATCCATACAATACTAATCCAAGAATCCAGTGAAAAAAAAATACAGTACAGCAGTTTGTGCACACCTAATCTGAGATAGCAATTTGAAGAGTAAAGGTTGTCATGACTAAAATAATAAACAGAACACTGACAAGTTTTTTTTATTTTCTGCAGGAGGTGAATCTTCATGTCGCTGACAAATTCAACTATAATCACTAGTTGAGTAACAGCATAGTAAAGCAATATTTATGCATTAGAGTTTCAGCCAATACCTTGATTGATAGTTACATTTTTTAATATTAGCTAAAACCTGATTGTATTTGTACTCAAGACTTCAATATCATAAAATTGAATGATCACGCATATTAAAAATTAATCACACTTGACTCTTCATTATTAGCACCAAATATGATTATTAGGTTGCTAAAGCTATAGAAACCATTAAACAGCCAAAAGAATTCCAAAGCTGGTGCAACAAACGTGTTTGACTTAAAAAATGAAATGACCAGTAAATTCAGCATAAGTAATAGCTAAATGTATAAAATAATACTGACATGGATACACACAGCATAAGCATACAAATACACTACTAAGACTTATTTGAGATTTAATATCATAATATCTCATACTAACGTAGAAATCCAAGATTGGGTTAAATCCTTTAATAACTTAAGAATTGGGAGTGTTTAACCTGATTTAGCATAACAAGGAGAAAAAATAATAACTAAGAAATAAGAAGCGTGATACAAACCAGAGGTTCAACCCCGTCGTCGAAATTTTCAGGCAAGGCTTCACGATAAGCTAAGTGACGCCACAGCATTTGGTACTCCCTAGCATTAGATATACCCGTCGAGGTTTTCTTCACCAACTCATTCCAATCAATTTTGGAGTTAGGGCAATGTGCCGCCACTTCTTGAAGCAACGCTAGCACCGTCGTTGCGTCATACCTGCACAAAACCCCAAATCAAAACTCTAAATCCTCGAAGAGCAACGCAAAAAGAATAAAAATAATAACAAGAATGAAAGAAAAAAGACCTCTGAATGAGTGTAGCAGCATCTTCCTCCGTGAAAGAGACCTTTTTGTTCTTCTTTTCTGGCATTGGTGATTGAAACATAAGGAAGAAGAATAAAACTCTGTTGAATAAACCCTAATCCCTAACGACAAAGAGAGACGAAACCGGAAAAGGGTGTGACCGTTGAGTTGAAGAAGTGTTTCAGCAAAACATTGAAGACGTGTTAAGCAAAACAAAAGAATTGGGGGATATTGCGCGAGCTGATTACTGAGGACGGAATCATGATAACAACAAAAAGAATCCAAGACGTAAAATACAAGACAAAATATTAATGGAAAATCATTATTCTTAATTACTGTTTAGATTTTTATTCTGTACTTTTTTTTGTTATGTAATGGTATAATTTTTTGCTTTTTTTGCCCCCAATTATTTTAAGTCAGTTATACGTAGTGCAAATTTAATCATATTTCATTAAGCAATCATTGGAGAAGGGTAAATTATACTTAGTTTTCCTTTAACTTTTTTACTTTTTCAAAGAAATTTCTTGTACTATATTTTGTGTTACATCCTTTTCTTTTAGTTTTTATAGAAGGCCCTTCAAGAGCACGTGTCAATCTATCCTTTTTATTTTCCAGGCTATTTATTGGGCTCTACCCAGGAATAAAAATTTACTGAGAGTTAATGGACAAAAAAGGTATAACAGATACCCAGAAAGTGAAAAAAAAATATAAGGGAATAAAGGGTTCAATTATTGATAAGTTTTGTCATTAACTAAATCATCTGAATTCCTTAAAATATAGTAGTTGTATCACTATTTATGTTTTTTTATAATTTAAATTTTTGAAATTATTTATCATTTTAAATTCTTTTATTGTAAATTTTATTTAATTTTTGGTTTAAAATTCAGCTTACTCTAAATGACTACTAACTTTTTATATTGTTTTTTTCTTAAATCTTAACTATTTATACTCTCAAATTAATTTTAAAAAGATTGATCTTTTCTTTCTCAACTACTTTTTTTCGAATTAATTATATATATAGTTGTATATATTTATTCACTTAAATAGATATCTTTTAAGCTATGTTTTATAATCCTACCTAATTAAAAAAATATTCATGCAAGTGAAAAATACTTGCTAGCTTCACTATGTGTCTGAAGCAAAATTTTCTCTGTAATTAGAGACGGGAGTTTCTTTTGTTAAATTCTTAACATTATTAATTTTAATCTCTTGACCTTTTATAGTCGAATTGATCTCAAAATTTATCAAAATTACATTAGGAGGGGAAGAACCTGCAAGAGTCAGATCTTGAAGCACATGTAGGTAAATGGATCCCAATAACACTATACGCCAACGCTAAATTTTGAAGAAAACGCCGTTGGCTTGTAGCATCTGTCTTTGACTCGTATAGCACATTGAGAATCGTTTTCTAGCTGTGATGCATTAACTTATAATACTGTTCAACCTTATTCAGAAGAGCTTTTCTGCTGTAAACAAACCAACTACAGCAATAATATGACGTCTTCAGCTTTTCACACTTTTTGTGGGTATATATTTAAAACAACTTTTCATGGCGGCCATGATCTTCTGCCGTTGTACATCCAAAATCACCTTATCCCTACTAGTTCTTCATTGGGTGATAATATCTTTAAATATTCTAGACATGTAACCCATTAATATAGCTTACCAAAAGTAGTTGATGCAAAATTTATTGGTAATTGCGATCCACAACAGCTTTCTCAATACCTGTTTAGAAACTGTATTTGCATGGAGCTGGGGGGTACCTCTATCTGCGTATGTTCGGGTGTGTGGTGTGTGTTGCGGGGCACTCGTCATACATGGTGAGTAACTCTAAGCAATTAACTTCCCAACTCTGAACAAAAAACCGCAAACCAAGAGAATCGATTGTCTTCAAATTGATGGGTGTATAGACAGAAACCTATATCCAGATTTAAGCATTTCTTTTCCCAGACAATCAAAGCTTCAATAGTACCACACCAAGAAAGTCCCATCGCTTCTATTATTCTATGAGCTATCGATTCTCATCCAAGGAAAACTCACAGCCTTGAAAACCGAAACACGGCGAATCGTACCACGGCTAGTGTGTTTGAATTCCCAATCGTAAACCTCAAAATCATATTTTGAACAGAAGTTACATGATAAACTTTTGCCCAAACCATAATTTGAACAGAAATTCAAAGAAGCACTATAATAAAACTCTCAGTATAGTACTCCTTGTAACAAGTTTGAGCCAATGACTTTGCCAGAACTCAAGTGTACGAGCCTCAGCATACAAAAAAAAGGTAACATCTTAAACATTATGCACATCAGAAAGATCAAGAAATTGAGGTATTTCACTTTTAAAGAAACTCGTACTCAACACAGAAAGATACAGTATTGAGCATCCACTGTATTTTAAAAAATACATGCTTCATTAATAAAACAATTATTCGTTATCAATTCCTACAATAATAATACAAGACCACCCACTGTAACCTGTATGTGTTGTTGACCAATCTCTGAGACTAACTATAACAAAGTCCCCTAAAAATAATCCTAGTTCGGAGAGATCCAACCTATCATAATAAGAGAATATAAAGATACAGAAGAAAAAAGAAAAAGATAGATGTCCAGAAAATCATTTCTCAAGGAAACCTGTTTAGCCTCCACTGTCAGTGTCCTAAAATTCCATCTAAGCAGTGACTTGTCTCAAAAATATCCTTCAGCCAATGTTGAATTTAGCATACCAAATAACAAGGATACTACAATCCAGACAGAGGAACAATCAGAAAAATCACCAGACATCCCTAAGGTATCGTCCATCCATCTGCAGTTTTTTCACCATAGCCTCTGCTTTTGATGACTCCACATTTTCCTGAAATTCAATCCAGAATCGTGGTTTTTTGAGATAGGTTCATCGAACACATACGGAGAGTAGATGCCATTGCAATAAAAAATACACGTTGGAGTGGTGCGTCAAAAGAAAATATAGCATCATAAATTAAATTCTTTGCAAAAAGGTATTATTCAAAGATGAAAATTGGTATTGTTGTGTCCCTTCAAATACTAACACAACAGAAATGTAGACATAACAAAAGCAAATCTGACAGAATCAGGCAATCAGCCGATTACCGTGGCCATCTCTCACACCCACTCAAATTGCGAACATTAAAGTCAAGTACAAAGAGGAAAGGAGGAACTAATGATACTGATACATGCACGTGTAACATACATTAGATGGAATCTTGATAATTGATTTATTCCGTAGTTTTTAAAAGGCTTTTTAGTTAGGAGAGAGAATCCCTCCAAAAACTAATGAAAAACAAGAATTAACACACAAACGGCATCATAATCCACTAAAAAAATAAAATAAAGAAGGAACCATTTCCCCCAAATAATAACCCCTTTTAAACCTCAAATAGCAAGATTATTTATTTATGCATCAATTTCTTCAGTGTCATTGCACCAAAAGTTAAAAAAAATCTCAATTTTAATCTCTATCACAGGATGGTAAGGACAACTTAATGTAATTTTCAAATCACAGCACAAAGGCATAGTCACATGCCCACACAAAGAAGAATGTTCAAAATTTTCCCACATTTAAAGTATTTAATACAACAATATGATAGTAAACCCAAAAGAGAAGAACAGAACCATACACAAAGTTTGTATTAATAATAATGTCAATTCATAAATATTTTTCACCTAAGAGTTAGAAATAGCTTTGGTGCCCGCTAGAAAGAGCAAATACACTAAATATACTGAAATTTTCACCAAACAGAAAGCGTATTTCTACTCCCAAAAGAAAAACCTAAACATCTGTCACTCCTACACTATCACATAAATATACTACTATACTCACTGCTCATCAAAATTATTTTAAGCATTCATTCTAGATGAAGAGAATAAAACATAAGATACAAAAACTTCTCTTATTGCCTCATAATAGCGGGTTAAGTTCTTTGAAAATCAATACTCATTATGCATGTTAAGGAACAAGAAAGTTGTCACTTTCAAGTATTATGCAAAAGGGAGGGAGGGAGGGATGAAAGCAATCAGCACCTGCTGCTGGACAATGGTATGAAGAGTTCGATGAACATCTCTGGCCATACCCTTGGCATCACCACAGACGTAAAGATAACCTCCATGAGAAATCAGGCTCCACAGTTGTGCAGCCTACACTTAAGAAAATTAATCCAATAAATAATTTATGCAGCAACAATTTTATTCCCACCAGGCTGTTACTCAAACTTACTTTATCCATCATCTTGTGTTGAACATATTCCTTTTTAGGCCCCTCTCTAGAGAATGCAACTATCAACTCTGACAGAGAACCTTGTTCCACAAAATTCTTTAGCTCATCCTCATAAATAAAATCCTACACAAAGAACATAATTAGCAAATCACAAACTGCTCTGAAAATCCACTCGGATTGAAAGTTCACAGGAAAATTAATTTACCATTCGACGGTTCCTACATCCAAAGAAAAGTAATGCAGGACCAAGTTGAACACCATCCTCTTTGAGGGCAAATCTTTCCTGGGTAAATCAAAGATGAAGCAATAATTAAAAACAAGTAGATGCTTCGAATAATGTGGTATCACCTGATTTCACTATACAGCAAAGCACTAAATACTGCAAAATGGAGCTTTCTAATTGTAACAGAATCAAAACTAGGTGTTTCATTTTGTTGCCGAATTGTGATTGATTATTACATAATTATCAATTTGATTCCAATGTTTGTCACCTAAATTATTTCTTTTTCTATTCTAACCCCTCCCTTTTTTTATTCTATTACATCACTATCTAACAGAATGATTTTTATGGAAATTATAAAAATACAAACATCTATTTATTCACCTGTAAAAATCCCCTGAAAGGTGCCAAACCAGTACCAGGTCCAACCATAATAATAGGAATTGAAAGATCAACTGGTAGCTTGAAATTTGAGGGTCTAATAAAAACAGGAGCCCAGCTACAGTCACGGCTTTTCTCCAAGGATATAGCATTCTGATCATTCATGAGAGAGATTTAAGTTAGACACTACATAGCATGATTGAGTATTCCACCTCTAAGGAGTGGTGAGAATCATAAACATAACAACAGAGGGTATGTTGAAAATGGAGCATATGATTGCATGAGAATTGTATCAATTACATATTGCTACCTTCATCCATGTTGAACACACTCCTTTGTGAATTCTACCAGTGGGAGTTGGACCATAGACCAAGGCGCAAGTTACATGTACCCTTTGTGGGGCAAACCTGGACAATCAAGTAATGCAATATTACTTTTCAACAGTTACAAAGCGTTGCTTGGATAGTTTAATGCAATATTATATCTTCACCAGTTATCTTATAAAGCTTTATTGGATTGTTTAGATAGGATAAGACAATCACCTTGGAGAGGATGAAATAGAATAATATCGAGGCTGTAAACGAGGGGCTACAGCAGCAAAAAACACACCGAGGGGAGGTTTTGCTGATGGAAACTCAGCCATCACCTCAAGGAGACTTCTCTGGCTTCCAACCACCCATTTGGAGTACTCATCCTGGAAACCAAAAATTGAAAACCACCATCAAAGAGCAGGGGGAAAAGGAGAAAATTTCATAATTTTAAACAGAAGACAAACACTGTACTAGCAAGCTTTTTTACCTTTCCCTGAGGCGATGTGAGGAACTTTAATCTTTCTGCTTCACTAGGTTCAGAAGCATGAGCAGCTAAGGCAACTAAAGCAGCCTGAAAGAGAAGTATGTGTAACTATTTATTAATTTTTTTTAACATGGACAAATCCCTACTGAAACACTTTATAACCAGTAAAACCAAATGCGTACATGATACAAAAGAAACAAGAAATGGTAAGCACATGAAGCAAAGATAATATAAAAACCTTGCGTGGGGGATTCAAGAGATCAGCATGGTGTGCTAATGCAGCACGCAGGGTGCAAGGACCAGGGAAAGGAGGCAGCAGAGACCCACCAAGGGAAGTGCCATCCTCATTATCAGTGTGAAGAGAAAACAACAGATCTAAATTCTGACCCAACAATTTCCCAGCTTCTTCAACAGTTTCATCACAATTCTCAGAATAAACACCCACATGGTCTCCAGTTTCATATCTGGGAAAATATCAGACAAAATCCATTAATGGATTTATTAAACACTATCAGATAATTGGGACAGCATATTCCGGTGCAATCTAATTAGAGATGACAAAACATCAATCCATTAATTCCTGATAACTTTATAATTTTCTAAATTTCATGCTCCACAAGATTGCATGCCTTAAAATTTTTTAGAAGCTTAACGCACTTAACATATGACATATTTGCACAGATCAAAATCATTACAATAAATTCATCAGGGAACCTCACTCTCATCAAAATTTACAGTTTATCCAGTCAGTGCTTAATAATTGGGGAAGAGAAGAAAATTTTGGATAACTGACATTTTTCTGAATTTCTTTTTTTACCTGTAAAACCAACATTAAACTGTTTTCTTGGAATGATGAGTAAAAGCCTTCATAAAAAAATGTTATAACACATTATATCTCAACAGGACTCAAAATATCAACTTAACAATCATATAATATCTTTAAAATAAGTTAAAAATTCTATAAAAATAAATATTAACAAAATTTATTAGAAGTCAATAAAAAACAAAATAATTGTAGTTGACCAATGTTATTGTTCTTTGTTTTCTTGTTTACCAAGAAAAAGTGATGAGGGTCTTTGAAATGAAACATAGTTCAACTTACGTTATGCCAGTCCCTGATATATCAAACTCCAAATGTATGCAAGAACGGTCAGACTCAGGTTTGTGAAGCTCCCTCTGAACAGCAACATTCACCCTTCAGGAAAAGAAACAACAGTTTTGTTTTATCCTTGATAAGTAACAATGATAAAAAAATGATGTACAAATCCAAGCACCTGCAAGGATGATGAATATCAAACACAGCATTCCCATTTGCCACATTTAAGTGATTATCATACGATGATGTGACAGTGGGATCATGAATCACTACTCGGTATTTGGGAATAGCAGCTGTATAGGGAGTAGAGACAGTATTTGTATCATCCTCATCTCGAAGCAGATGATCCAGCTCAGGCCACAGAGTTTCTTTCCTGCAAAGCCAGAAACAATTCACAACATTAGAAATGCCAAAAAGCAGTAGCCATGTTTCACACAATTTTTATGTACCGTCAAGTGGTAGATAGATAGCAGAAGCAAGAGGGCTCTATTTACCAGGCAGAAAAATCATCCTCAATGGATTGATCATCGTCACCTAGTCCAACAGGAACAAGGCGCTTTGCACCTGCAGCAAAACACACACTGTGTAAGAAGCAGAAATATAAAACTCAACAATGTAAACAAACAACAATCTTGTAATCAAATTTCATCAGCACAATGTAAGTGCCGGATGGAGTTTGTGCTTTGTACATCTAGAATCAAGATATTATAATAAGATTGCTTGACAAATGACTTACGATATTTTCTGAAAGTTAGAGTTAGAACCAATATTTTACACCCATTAGACTTCATGGAAGGCTTTATCAAAAACACATTGAATCTAACAAAGTAAAGCACCAGTTCACTAAGCAAACAAAAAAACTTACAGTTGAAGCACAAATGAAAAAAATGAAAAGACAAACCATCCTCTTCAGCTTTTATCAATAATAACGATTCTAAGAAATACAGAAGAGCAGATAACCAATTTAATACATTTTGAAAGTTCAATTGATGAAATTACATACCTTGTTCACTAAGTTCTTCATCAACAACTTTACCTATCTGTATCAAAAGAACGTCAGATTCAAATGATATTTTTTGTTAATTAATTAAAAACAAAATCATTTGATTTTACCTTATTAAAATGTTCATATTGTCTGTTACCTAGGCCAAAAACTCCATACGTGAGCTGTTGAAGCCAGGTGCCCCTCTCATCTTTCCCCTTAAATTAAAGCCCACCAAAACTTAGAATTATTTTAAGTATGCCATATGAATTATAAAAGTGCAAATAGAGAGCAAGACTGATTTAGAATTCACTTAAAAGTGATACAACTACAAACCTCAGTAAACCATTTGTAGAATCTTGCAGCATTGTCAGTTGGCTCTCCATCTCCATAACTGTCATCAAGTCCAAATGCACCACAATTTCAATAAATAAATGCATTTCAACCATTTTTATGTACATAAATCTTACGTTGCCAGCATGAAAAATGCAAGAGTCTCTTTCTTCAGCTTCTCCTCATACTGATCATCATCCATTGCATAGTCATCCTAGATAAAATTAAATACATCATACACTAAGCCAGTGATAATTCTTATAAATTGAAATTACTGATTTCCTGTAGAATGAAATCAAACGTTTTCTAGAACTCCCCCTAGTGAGAAATCAAACATTTAACATAGAAATATTTATCCCACATATCCACGACCAGAGTCAAGGAATTGCCATAATTCATTTCAATCCAACTTACCAGGTCAACAACTTTGACAGCTGCTTTTTCATACCTTGCCTTGATCTCCTCAGCCAATGCCTATAATTAAAAGAAAAATATTTATGTTACAGTGGCACATGATTGCCTGTTGATTTAAAGATAAACATCTGTCCAAGGGGTGACCATTTCAAGCATTCTGGAAAAGGGGGAAATAGTTTCATCTTTACACAAAATACATTTGCATAAGACGAAACCATGTTCTAGCTAAATTCAGAACATCAACAATTAGCCAACTATGAAGACATGTCAATATAGGGACGGCATGAGGCAGGAAAAGTGCAAGCTTTGCTTCCCAATAAAGGTGTTAATTATATGCGAGGGACAAAATACAGAGAAAAAGAAAACACTAGTGTTTGACTATCTTGAATTGATTTCCCATATCGGTTAACCACTCAAGCATAAAATTCACGGTAAAAACAAAATCTTAAAATTTTCAATTTGAAAAACCTTGGTCCTAACAGTCCCAATGACAGACACTTTCAAGATTTTGACTATTTTACCCCATCTAATTTCACAGTTTGCAAGTTAAATGGCCGGACCTTTTCAGTTTTTCACAGGTACCAGTAAGAAAGGCACGCAAAGCACACCAAAGCCGTGAACCTTGAAAAGGCAGCGTCTCTAACAGCAAGAGGCACAGTCACCCCACACCTTAAGCAATAGGCACGCCTTTTGGCACCTTTGACTACAATCAACACTTTTGAAATTGACACCAATGACATAACAAAACAACATCCTCGCCCATTTATGCCTCCAAAATACCAAAATGGACACATCAAACAAAAACACAGGCCAAATAATTCGCTCCGCCACGAATAACACTATCCATAACCTAGGTTAACAAACTCACAACACAAGTCAAAACTACGAATCTTCTTCTCCCTACAAGAAAGTCAATTTCACAGCATGAAAAACAGTAAATATATTTTATTCGAATAATTATCATTTTTTAAAAAGATCCAGCACATTCGATTCGATCCAGCACAAGAAAAAAAGAATCAAGAATAAACAAAACAGGGAAATGATTCAAATATACCTTAGCAAATCCCTCAGCAGTGCCGGTTTGAGTACCAAAGAAAACGGTGACCTTAGTCTTACCCGAGGCAACGTCAACGTCATCATCTTCATCCTTCACCAACGACTTCGGCACGATCACCGGCTTCACCTCCTTGTTCCGATCCGAAGATTTCTTCCACAGGAACACCAAAAGGCCGATTATAACGGCGGCGGAAGTGGTCGCGATGAGAAGCAACGAATCGGAAACGGAATCGCCGAGCGAAACGCCGAGCACCGACTCAATGGTGCGCACCAAATCGGAATTCGAAGCCATCGAGTCAACTCAGTCAAAATCGGTTCGAATTCAGAATATGGTGAGTTTGAAGGTTTGAGAGTGAGAAGATGGAAGTTGTAGTGAACTCGGGGCGAGAGGGAAGCAGTGGTGAAGAACCAACCAGAGCTAAACCAGAAATTTTTGGTCACTTTCCATTGATGTCAATCGATGTCCTTTTCCAGCTATGATATATGAGAATTTCCGAGCTGCGATAGATGCGAGATATCGCAACTCTCGCGTTGACAACTACACCGAAAAGGTTGCTTTTGTGTTTCCTTTCTTTACCTTTTTGCGCTCCCTACCCTCGTTATTTTACCTTTTACTCGTCTCGCAAAAGAAATGAAAAAGAAAAAAGGCATTTTAATAAAATAGTTCTTTATTTACGTAATTTTTATGAACAAATAAAATAAATTTTTTAATTTATTATTGAATACTTATTATTTTACTTTAAATCATCTTTAAAATTATCAATGATGATGATTAAAAAAACATTATCAAACATTATTCCATGAAACTCGATTCAAAGTAATTAAGTATATATTTTGTATATATTTTTTAATATACGTTTGACTGTACTCAATTAAAGTATGAATCCAAATTTTGTAAATAAAAAATTGTTTTTGTCATCTTCATAATCAATAAAATAGGATATTTTTGTCATTAATGTTTTAAAAAATTCCATTAATATTTAATTTTATAAAATACTTTATCTTTATCTTTAATTTATAACTAAAATGATTGATTCATATCATTTGAAAAATAAATGTGATATTTTTTTAATATATTGTTTATTTTTATTAATTTTTTGGAAAGTTTTAAAAATTTGTCTAAGAAATATTAATATTTGAACAATTTAAGATAGCACTAGCTAATTCGACATTCTAAGCTCATAATAGTGAGTTGATTTTTTACTCTCTCTCAACTTGTTCCTATTCTTAAAAAGCAGAAAAATATGTTTTACCAAGATAATTAATTAGAGTATGTTTGATTTTATTTTTAAAAATATTTATAGTTTTTAAAAATAATTATAGTATAAATTTGTACTACATTTTATTTATAAAAATTAAAAAATATTTTAAAATGAAATCAAATATGCTCTTAGTCTTTTGTTCTATCAATTTTGTTTCTATTGATATATATATATATATATATATATATATATATATATATATATTAAAGTTATCCAATAAATATTAAAAAACAATTAAATATTGTTAAAAATTAATACAATAAAATTTAAAACTAATTTTTTAATGAGTGTCCTTGAGAAATTTATTATCCTCTAATTTTAAAAATTGATTACTTTATAATAAATAATATAATATTTAAACTATAATTAAACTGATTCACAAAAGCATCTATTTAAACAAATTTATATTTATTCAATATATTAATTTTATTGTTTCCCTTTTTTAATATTAAAATATTTGTTAATGCATTATTTGAAACAAGTGCAAGTACCAAAAATTATAAGACACCTCCCTTGCGTGATAAATTGTCTTAGCTATTGTTGGCAACAATATTAAATAAAAGCACAAGTACAAGATAATTTATGATTTTTTTAAAAATCTTTATAATCATTAAATCTGAGAATATAGGTTGATTAAAAAAATATATCATCATTGCAAAACTAAATAAGGATTAACTGACATTGGACGTTAAATTTTATAGATTTATAGTTTTAATCATTTTTATAGAAATTAATATTTTTTAAAAACTATTACACTGAAAATTCTCACGAAATAAAACAAATTTATAATTTTTTATGCAATTTTAAAATTAATCAATAATTCACTGTGCTGCTTTATTTTATATTTGTGTATATGTATAATGAATTATTTAAATATAAATAAATTTTGTAACTCCATGTATGTGAATATTGAAAATATTTAACATGTATTAAGGATGTCAACAAAATAACATTGTATAATTTAACGTTTATCATAATAGAATTTAATATTTTAAAAAATAAATATAATTTTATAAAAGTTATCACCAGTATCGATTCATCTTTCCCAAATTAAATGTCTAAAATGTTAAACATTTCAAAATGTCATTATTTAGACATTAGGACGCCGCTAATGTAACAAAACTTTACGTCATTATTTAACAATATTATCGTATCGCTTACTAAGTTTGACAATATTAAAACTTACGTGAGATGTTAAACTACAACTTAATTATTAACACATCGTTGGACTTGGATTATTCATAATACATGAACATTAATTTATTAGTTTTTAATTAAAAACAATAACTTTTAAAAGCCAGTGCAGTTTGTAGCATTTTTCTTTCCATTCACCCATAATTTAAACAAAACTGCAGGTATATTTTTGTTATTCATACAATAATAATAATTGTTGTAAATGTATTCACTGTCACAGTTTTGATGTAGGGTAAAAGACGTATAAAATAAATTGAATAAAAAATGAGATTTATATTATCTTGAGAGATTAATAATTTAATATTAATGTTAACTGATTAAAAAATTGCTTTTGTAAATTGTAACGCGTGTTTAATAATACATGTCAGAAAGTAAAGAAATAGTAAATTTAATTTAAAAGTATAACCAATTTTATTAATTTATTAAATTTTTATTGTATATTTTAAAATACACATTAAAAAATGTGATAGAAAATACATTATATATTTTTATACTTTTGTATTAAATAATGTCTCAGAAGATTTAAATAATTATTAATTATACAAAATTTTATGACAAAATATATTTCTCAACGAAAATGTCTTTTGTAAAGGCATTTTTTGGTTTTTCTAATAATTAGTTGAGTGTTTTTGTGAAGTTTAAGCCCTAAGGTGAGGCGATATATCAATTATTCAATGTACTATTGAAAATCAATTAGTGTTTTATTTTATTATAAAGTATATTTTTTAGTAAACTGCTTTTTTTAAAAATCCTTATAATACTTTATAAAATATCAAACAAAAATTTATTGAACATGTAAATAAATAAAATAATAAAAAAAATTCTTACATGCTATTCCTTCCTATTTATTTTATAAAAATAACTATCGTTATTTTTTAATTCTTTAATAAGTGTCTTGATAGTTTTTTTAATTACAATTTTACATTACGAATTTATATGAGTGAATATACTTATTTTTTTTAATATATAAGTTATCGATTTAATTAATTATTATTATAAATATTTATAAAAAATTATTAAGCATCATGATATATAATTATTTTATTGATATCAATAAATTATTTATTTATAAAATGGACAAGAGAAAATATATAATTTTGCATTAAAGAAGTACAAGTATCACTTCTGCTTAATTAATATATTTAAATAGTTTTTACTTCATGTTAGTTCATCGGCAAGTTCAGTCAAATAGTTAATATAGAAAACACTCTTTTTTAGTTTCTAGCACCAAGTTCACCAACTGGTTCACAATTTCGTTCATGCTTTTAAACACGATCTATATGCCAAACATAGACCAACATCAATTTTTTTTCCTTGTCTAATGTCTACATCGTTTTATTATAATTAACGTGCATTCATCAAGAGGAATAAAATATTAGTCCATGTAAGACTTATGCAACACTTCTTTATATAGACTCTTTACTCTTTCAAAGATATATTCATTATCAATTTAACCATTCAATGATAACAGGTTGAGGGCGTTGTATATTATTGGATAATGACAATGACCATCGGGAGATACTTTTTTCTTCTTCCAAAAACAAAAGGACTGGCTCAAAAAAGTACAGCTAAATATAATATTTTTTAATAAATATTTAATGCATTGCTTGTATTTTTTTTCTTAAAAAAGAACAATTATTTTAATTTTAAGAAATATATCATGAAAATTTAAATTTTTATAATTATTTAAAGTTGATGTACTTTATTTAAAAAAAAAATAGAAAAATAATCAGCAAAAAAAAATTGTAGTGTTTGTATAAGATTAGAAACTTAAGAAATCGAGAAATACGTGCATAAAATAAAATTGTTTGATGTAATTAAATTAAAAAAAAATATGTAATTAATTTAATTGGATAATTTTAAAATTATACGTGGATTTCTTGCCAGACAGTGATTATCAGACCAATATTTTATTTCTCGCATACTAATTAAACAGATACAGCAATTAAAATAGATGAAAAATAATACACACAACTTGAGCTAGTTTTGCTTTGAAAAATATAAAACATGGACGTGACTAATGAATACCCCATTCTCCTCCTAATTTATCTTTCAGTTGGTCTAGTTCTTTCTCAGGCAAAGAAATAGTAACGATCCTTCCATCTTTGTCACCTTCATTATCTTCCGGTGCTGGGAGCACCAAAACGACCCCTTTATCACCCACCCCACGGAATGTACAGTTTGACATAATTGGTTTCTGACCATTCAACTTTGGCCCATAAATGTTAGCTTCTTCCAAATCCACAAATGTCAAATTTGCTCCATACATTATAAAATCCTCTTTCCCATCATCTTCCTCCACCAACTTTTCCATTATATGGTTTTCAACCATCTTTTCTTCAGCAATCAACTTTGCTAATTTGGATACATCACATTTTTGGAGTGAGCAATTTGCTTCAACTTTGCTTAACATCAAGCCATTGGTGGGGATTTCATTTCCAGCACGATTAGAGCTAATTGTGCATATTGTCACGACTTTTGGTTCTTCCCTTATGTTTGATATACATTTCCATACCAGTGCTGAAATAATTTCAAAATAAGAGGTATTGATTTTATCGCTAGTGTCAATGGTTTGATTAGATGTGGTAGTTACCAATTGGTGCAGTTGTTTAGAAGTGAGGTGAAAAGAGTGAGTAGCCACATCGCTATCATTAGTAGCAAGCCAATATTCCCCAACAATTGTGACCCTTTTAATGGAAATGGGAGGCTTATGAGAAATGGAATGAGGTATTAGTTGAGGTTCAGAGAGTTTTGGCATGTGCAGAGATTTTGGAGGCGCTTGACCAGCTAGTACTTCACTCCACTTGTTGATGAAGTTGAAAGCTGAAAATGCATCTCCAAGGACATGAGCCCAGCTCAATCCCAGAGATAGTCCTCCACACTTAAACCAGGTGAACTGAAAGGTAAACATAACAACACCTAAGAGATCCAATTACTTTTATCTTAACAACAAAACATCAAGTGCAGATGATTTTTAGATGGTCTCTAATTAAAATGTGTGTGCAAATAATAAATGAACCTTTTGTAATGTTTTTAGTTTTATATTTTTAAACTATGTGAGTATATAGGTAGACATGTACAGACATCTAATGTGGCACAGATAAAAACTATAAGACAAATTCAGGTACTACTATAGTTTTATTAAATTTAAAGAAATATAAATGTAATATATTTATATTTTTAAATGTATAGAAAATATATTTAACAAAAAAAGAAAAGTAATAAAACAAACTTTGGTAGAAAATTAACAGAGAAAAAAATTTAAAATAGTCTGGTCTGTCGGCTTAGCATGCATTAAATTTTGTTCAGCATCAGCCATTCAGCGGTAGTGTCACGAATCATGATTCATACCGGTTGAGATTCTCAACAGAGACTTTATCACTGTGTCATGATTTTTACTGATGTCTATCAGATTTACCAGAAAAACATGCCCCACTTTTGGCACCCTTTTCCATACATCTCGACCAACAGGTCACGGATGTTTAATTTAGTATTGTTTTACTTTTAGATTTTAGTATAAAATTCTAAAGTACTTGCTTTTAATATTTACCGTTATTATGAATTTGTTAAATATATATGTTACTTAGCAATGAGTTAGATATCTATTTATTATGTTAATACTTAACACTAAGAACTAAAATATTCATTTTTAATAAAGTAAAACACATTTCAAAACATTTGAAAAGTTAAATTAATATTTAAGCCTTTTTAGTTTTGTATAAAATAACTAAAAAATTATCGCCAATAGAAAAAGGAAAGTAATTAACTACGTTAACAAGAGGATTTTTATTTTTATTTTCAATTTTATCACCTACAATTTAAACACATTTGAGGAAATATGAGGCATGAAAAATAAATGAATAATTTAACACTTTCTTATGATTTATTTTTAAGCAAAACACCTAAATTTAGCAGAACACTTCATGACATCAAGAAATTAATTTTTGAACGATTTTATTAACATAAATTTAAATATTTAAGAGTAATGTTTTTATAAAAAAAAAATTATATCTTTAATATAAAATAATTTGTATATAAAAATTTAAAATTTTTATATTTAAATTCAACTTTAAAAGTTTAAAGAAAATCGAATGTCGAACAGGACTATCAACTATTATAACTAAATAAAGTACGAAGATTTTAACAAATGCGACTTCAATGCCTCAAATTGTGTCATTGAATTATATCATACGTAATTATGGAAAATCATTAATTAGTACCTTTTCTTATGTAAAACGAAAGGATAAACAAAGAAAATGAATAGAGACAGTGGCATATGAATTTGTTATTCGTATTGTGTAATATTGTATAATACTGTCTCTATTTTCAATTTATTATTATATAAATATGAATCTAAAAATGCAACTCATCTATAAAAAAATTATATTCTCTCAATAACACTATTATTATTTAAAAACATAAAACATATTTAGTACTTTTTAATTAATAACTATAAGATTCATAAAAAATACAAAATTAAAATTATTTTTTTAAAAAATCTTTTTTATGGTTGATAAAACAATTTTCGGATAATGAAGGGAAAAGGGAAGGAAAAAAAAAAAAAGATTGGCGTTACGTCATGTTTAAAGTTTAAGAAAAGCACTTGTATGAGTTGTATCAGAGTTCTATAACTATAATTACCGGTATTAAAAAAAAAATCCTTATAATAAAATATTAAAATAATAACTAGTTAAGGATGAACAGTGATACCTAATAAAAGTTTATATTGATATACCTTGACAAAAACAAGAGGAGAAAAGCCAAGATCAGGACCAAGCACATGATCATGAACGAGTCCATCAACACAGTACCCATTTTCATCGAACCATTCTTGGAGGGTTTTGTCACAGTGTGACTCGGCGATGCGAACGCCAGCGTCGTTGCACTTTATGAACGGGCGTCCCGATTCGGATCTCCTGATCCGACCCGAAACGTGTGAATACGGGTCGAGGAGTAGGAACATGGGTTTCTTCATGTCGGAAATTGCGAGGCCTCTTACGGCTTCGGAGTTGAAAAAATAAACGGGTCGAATATAGTGGAGCTTCATGAGTAAGTCCATGTAGTTGAGTTGATACGCACCGTTTTGCTCGCCTCGAGGGGTTGCTGGAACCACTGTTGAGATTCTAGAGCTCAGAGGAGGGGTTTCTAAATTGGGTAGTGAACCCATTTCCACAATGAATTAGACACACGCACTGTGAAACAGAGAGAGAAAGTTGTGACGATGCGATTATGCGAGTGTGTTTGCAGAAATGCCTTATTTAGCTTCATTTATAGGGGAATGTTGGGATCATACCTACCTCTTTAATTTAAAACAACTTATTTATGAAAAAGTATTAACTTTATATCGTTATTATAATTTTAGGAATTATCAATGTTGAAGTTAATTTTAAATACTTCTATTTCTATTTCAAAATCAGTACTTACTGTTTTGATTTTTTTTTTAAACATGATCAAAGAAATATAATACGAATTTACGTATAAAAAGTTTTATTAAAAGTTACGCGATGTTATAAATTTCAATACATAACATCAAGTGTTGTTTTTTAATAAAAATAAATAAATAAATGTTTATTATATTTTTATTATATATCGCCAATGTAAGCTAAAAAAATAATTTATTATATTAAAATTATAAAAGTTGATATTGACCAACCTAAGTTTGTTTCGAGTCTTTCTAATTGGCTCAAACCCTTGCTTTGAAGCTCATTAAGTTATACATGTTTATACATTTAATACTCTATACACGGTTATCACAAAAAATTGTAGTAATAAGTCACAAACATGTTTATAGAGATCTAAAATCTTCAATAATTGTACCTTTATTGTGTGTCAACCATATTGAAACTCTACGTAATCAGCAAAGTATTTCGATATGTAATGTATTTTTTATTGTTAATTTATTAATATAAATACTAATGTGAACATTGTAATGTATTTGAATGATACTTAGATTAATGTATATTTTTAAACAAAATTAATATTATTTGTATATATTTGAAATTAATTATAAAATTAGTTTTCAGAGAAAAAACAAAATTCTAATTTTAATTAAAAACTAGTGTAAATAATACTTGTACCATTACTCATAATTTTTATTATAATAATATTTCTTAAAGAGAAGAAACAAAATAGTTGATAAACTTTGTGATGAGCACTGCGTGCGTCGTGTCCAGTAATTGTCTACCAGTTTCCTATTTTATTGCATAACATATGTGCACCACAATGTAAACCAGTTTCTACGTTAGAGTTGACACTGCACCCTACCCCAAAAAAAATGCTAACTATTATTTAACGCATTAGTTAACAGATTAATAGTATTTTTTTATTAAAAAAAGCTATGCTCTTATGATTTTTAAATAATTTGATATAAATTTAATAAAATTATGATTTATTAATTTTTTAACATACATCTTGAATACACTGTTTAAAAAAGATTGCTAATTATAACCAAGCCACAAACAAGATTGAGCAACCACTAACTAAAATAATGTTGAATACCGAGCTGAGCGCCTGAGCCACATGCATGCTAACCATTATTCAATGAACCACATCTACCGCAAAAGAAGAACAGATCGTAGAGTAATCATTTCAGGCATTAATGATAAACTGTTTACTTGTTTGTAGTGAACAGCGACATTTCCTTTATTTGGAAATTAATTGTAGTAGTTCGGAGTTAGTTGTTATCAGATGCTGTTCCATACATTGGATTTTGAATTTTCTTTAAACAACATTTTTTATTAAAAATATTTAAATATCTAATTTATTTTATTTCACAAAACATGTAAAATTAAAAACAATGGTTATTTTATCTATATTTATTAATAATAATATATTTGTTAAAATAAAAATGAAAAAATAAATCGAAATAACTACAATGTATCTGCAGTTGTTCATTTAAGGCGACAGCTTCTTGTTTCCTTTTTGTTTTCCTCAACGTGCCAAAAAACTTGCTTCAATGTTCCTCCTAAAGATATGTAATGTATTCTTTTACTTATCTTAAATTATTGCATGCCAGTTTCCACTACTTTTTATTATATATTTCTTCGGGTGTTTTGAGTTATTATGAAACATTTATTAGTTTAAACATTAAGAAATTATATTTTTTTAACAATGTTATTATTTATTGTTATTTCGCCTGAATATTTATTTTTTTTCATATCTAATTTTTAATTATTTTAATAAAAAACACTTTATTTAAGAAACATTTATTGTACTAATTTATATAATTGTTTATTTTGTTTTGAAATGTGCATTATCTTAAGAGCTATTTCAGTGTAAAAAAAAAAAAAAAAAACTTTCATTCCCAGCAAAATAAATTTCCTTAAAACGACATTCATGTGAATATGTTTTATTTCGTATAACTTACAAAATGTATGCAATTATTATTTAACTTTCTTAAGAATATATTATCGTCAATTGCTATGAGATAAGTTAATATTTTATTTATATTATAAAGCATAAAATGTGTATAGTTATTATTTAATTTAAAATATATATATATATATATATATATATATATATTACCATATAATATAAGTTTAATGACTCATGTTTAGTTACGGTTAAAAGTTTATTCTTATTTATACATTAGTATTTTGAGAGTTTTTATTATTATTATAAAAAATATCTCTATGTCATGTTTTAAAAATATTAAAATAATTTGTATACTAGAAAGACTCTGATTAGAAGAAAAATATTAGAGAGAGAATGGGAGAAAATTTTATAATTTTTTTTTGTTAAAAAAAAGAGACTAAAAATTATAGTCACTCAATTTTAGTTATTTTAAAAAAATAAGAATATTTAAAAAATAAAACAAACAAATTATTCATATTAATAAATATATTTAATATTTTAAATATGTAATAATAATTTAATTACTAAGCATATTAATTAACTAACATATAATTATTTTAGTTTAACATGTAGTCCCAAATTTTTAACTATTAAACAAGTTGTTCAAGCACATTGATCGATTGACAAATAATTATTTTAACTTAATATATAGTCTTAAGTGTGACTTTTAGTAAATATTTAGAAAAAAAATTACTTTCAATAAATACTACATTTATCGTATATTAGAAATAAATTTGTTTATATTTTCTCTCCTCTTATTAAACTTAATATCAAATTCTTTTCCCCCTTTAAACCAAACATAAATATACCTGAAAAGTGCTAGCAAAGTTTCTGACAAGTTAATAAAGAGTGCAATCCATTATATCTTTTATTGTGCCCATTTGCTTTAAAGATAAGTAAAATCAATTTAAAATTAAATATTTTTCAAATATGAGTTTCAACTAATTTAAATTATATATTTTTTATTAAATGATATATTTAACATAAAAAATAATATAAACCAAACAAATGAGTGTCATGCTGAACGTCATCGATCTCACATTTATACTTTTAAATTTCTTTATCTCCCTTATGCTTTGCATAGAAATAAAAATATTTAGATAAACTGGTTACTATTTATGTCTAGGGTGAAATAAATACTTCTATCCTCGTCGTAATAAAATGGGACCCTGTGTGTTTGAACTGAACAGCATGTATGTTGCTGGGAAGCCATCGAAAGGAAAAAAAAATTGGATTCGTACTATTTTTTATATGATGAACTGTAAAATTAAAAAAATAAAAGGGACATAATAAAATAATTAACGTAATGGAAAATAATATTGTGTAAAATAATATATAAATCCTAACATAGAAACGGATTATTTATTTATTTATTTCGAACTTGTGTTAATTTTTGTCAGCAAAATGTTTTTTACATTGACATTGCTGATTTGATCATAACGTTACCAGTGAGCTCTTCGTATACGAATATTGTTAAATTTAAATAATTGCCTGAATAAAAAACAAAATTTATATTATAGGATGCTTTTAAATTTAATTTTTTTAATTTCAAGAAAGTGTATTCTTTATTTTCAATAATAAATATTTGATTATATTAAATAAATAAACTAAAGACAAAAGAGTTCATAACATATTAAAAATTTAAACTATTTAAAACGAAAAATAATACAGAACAAATAATGTAATAAATTTTAAAGATGAAATGTTTAAGATATAGTAGTAAGTTATTAGTAATGAAATGTAAAAAGAAAAAAATATTATTTTGACTGCTGATTTTGGAAGTCAGAGAATTTAAATAAAATAAAATAAAACTTAAACTAGTAAAATGCAAGAAGATATATTTACTTTATATTACAAAGACTTAATCCCATTCTGAAAATGTCTATTATTTTGGCGTGTCTATTAATATTTCTAGTGTTGACAGACACTAACAATGATAATATATGTACTCTAACATTTTTTATGTCTTTAATTTTTGAAAGAGTTAAAATTTAAGCTTTTTATTTAACTTATATCTAACTATTAATAAAATAATAAGTTATAATTTGTTAATTTGTAGAAATTTTAGTTAAATTTTATTAGTTTAAGGTGATAACTAATGAATTTCTCGTCTCCCAAAATAATAATAATAAAAGAAAACAAGATGGTGGTTGCAAATTACGTAATACACGGGCAACGTAAAAGAAACCCAATGAAAGTATTGTTTCAAATTCTTAAAGTAAACAAGTGACTTTGAAGCTAAGAGGTTGTCTACCAATAGGAAAAGGTCATTCTAAGACCCCCAATAAAATGGGCTTACTCTCACAAAGCCCCAAAAGTTGCATTGAATCTCGATCCTCGCCCAGCAATCAATTGCTAAATAATACGAAAATTATAATCATTTCACTCACTAATAATTAATAAAATTTTATGGAGCCTGTTGTTTACTCCTGTTTAGCTTAAATTATTACATTGAGAGTTGGTCTATTCTCAATCCCATTCATGTTAACATTCTGAAGTGAGAGTGTAACTTGACTTGATATTTGAAAATTATAGGATATGGCAAAACGTAGTTATTGAAAGTCAAAAACATTATAAGAAGATATATGCCATCTCCACAAATACCTTGGCTTGCAAAATTCTCGTAGGGGTAAAAAATATACAAAAGATTGTAAACTTAACTTTCTAATTGTTGAACAATGAAGTGGGCACTGCGTAATGAATGCATTGTATGGAAATATATAGAAGGTAGGTTTAAAATAATTACTTATTTAAACACTTAATAAGTTTTTTAAATGATAATTTATCAATTTAATAATAAATTTGATTAAACTATGTTAAAAAATAACTAATGAGAATCACTGTTGATAAACCTTTTCAAACATTTTCATTTTTGAAAAGAAGTGTTGAGAAAAATGAGTTTTTCAGTTTTTTTAAGGTTATGACGTGTTGAGAAAAGAAGTTTTGAATATGACGTTCGTGTGGCTTACACAAAGTCAACTAAGGACACATTATCAACACTTTCTCCTTCATAATAGTTGAGCATCTCAATAATGTCTTAGTCATATTCAACAAAGTGCCCCCTCCCTCAACTCCACATTGCTGGGTGTATATCATTCCATCACTGGTTAAGTTTTCCCTTTCATTGGTCAAACATTTTGCATGGGGACATTGTGAAAAGTAGAGGTGCCAGAAACAATAACTGGGATCCGTTTCCTTTCAGACACAATGCACTGTTACGTCTCTTCAATGCCCTGAAATCCAAACTATGAAGCCCACACTTGATTGATACTACACAACATCCAAAAAAAATTTGAGGTTTATACTTTTCATTTTTATACTTTTCTCTTAATTAGTACCATTATATCACTATTATTATTTTTGCTCTTTCTCTTATTTAATTGATGTAATCAAAAGTAATCAATGAAAAATAATTTATTTAATTGACATTTGAAAGTTATAGAAATAAATTAAATTTATTTTATTTTAAAAAATTGAGGTTAGAGGATCAAAGTACCAACTTTGCATAGTTTTAACTTTTATTTTCTGTGTTTTAATTAATAATTTGGAAAGGCATTACTTTCTCCCATTAAAAAAATCTACAATTGAAAACAAAAGATGAATATAGCTACTCATTTAATATTTGTGTTGTTAGAATTACCTAGAACCTAAAAAAAACAATAATATGTTGTTAGAAGTTAGGACTTCGGGTTGAGAAGAGAAATGTTTTTGTTTTTTACCAAGGAGAAGAGAAATGTGTGCATGTATGATTATTACTGGTTGAAATATGAATGGTGTGATGAAGCTGAAATCTAAATAAAGGAACAAGCAATGAGGAATGCCGAATGCCATATGATGGGCCTGATGAGTGGGCCTTTGTTGGGTTTTGTAAACTATTCACACAAAGAAACGCGTCCCACTCACTTAACAGGAATGAGAGTGGCGCAGATTCCGGCATTGCCCGCACAGTACATGCCATTACATCATCTCTCTCTCTCTCTCTCTCTTTACTTTCCTTCTTCTCTTCTCACACCGTATATATAGCTTCATTCATAATCATACTTCTGATTCCTGAATCACAAACCACAACCACACACACACACACACACTACACTCTCTCTAATACTTAAGTCTTAGACTTTCCCTCTATTCATCCCTTCTCTTACTCGATCCTCGAGAAGCTGTCACTGTAGAGGCTATGCCCACTAACGAAGACTTCCAAGGTTTTCTCTCTACCCCCCCCCCCCCCTCCCCCTTTTTTTATTTACTTAAATTATTTAAGTTGAATCTCTTCGCTACTCTCGCTGCCCCCTGCACTTAACTTATTAATTTTTCGCTTCTCTGTTTTTTCTTTGTTGAAAATTTCAAAATAAATGTTCAATTTGAAGTGTATGGTTTCTTTTATTGGTTTTCTGGAGGTTTTGTTTAACTTTGAGATGAGTTTTGAATGCATTTTCTGAATGATTCTCTTGTGCTTTTCGTGGGTTTGGCAACAGAAGACCCAATGCTCCTATTAATTTATTGTTCAACACCTGTTTTACTATATATATATATATATATATATATTATCAAGAATAAAGAATCGATCCTGACATGGTGCTGTATTTTGTTGTTTTGGATGACTGAGTAAGTATTTAACATGTAATTTTAAGAAAGAGGATTTGAGAAGGAATAAGTGACCAAATTATGTTTCCTCGAACGTGTTAACTGCATGATTAATCGAACATTCAACTTTCGTAGGGCAAGCAGCTATTTGATTACTTTATTCATAATATTGGTTAGCATGTACTTTATTTGTCATTTTACTTATATTGTTTGTGATCTTGATGTATGCTAACTATTTACTTACTCTTTGATGTATGTCAGGTGTTTCGAATTGTTATGTGTTCAAGAGCAGATTGCAGGAGTATGCTCAGAAGGCGGGGCTCCCCACGCCGGTCTATGAAACTATTAAGGAAGGACCTTCTCATGAACCTTCTTTTAGGTCAACAGTGATAGTGAATGATGTTCGATATGATTCTTTGCCTGGATTTTTCAACCGTAAGGCAGCAGAGCAGTCAGCTGCAGAAGTTGCTTTGGTGGAGTTGGCCAAATCTAATGAAGTTAATCAATCCATCACTCAACCTGTCGTAAGTAGTCTTTACCGAGTCTAAACTTTTGTTCTTTGTAAGGTCCGAGTATACTCAATTGTTTTTTATATTGCTTCAACTAATTGGGATGTTTGAAGTTTTTTCTGTTGTGGGACAATTTCATGCATTTGCTACTCATGAATGGTTATCTTTTTGCCATTTTTATCGTAGTTAGCTAATGTTTACTTTTTATGGAATACAGCAGGAATGGCGAACATTGCCTTGTTGATATGACTGGTCTTTTTTTTTTTGCTCCTCTTTTCATTGACAATATGGCTTATCTTCCTTATGCCTTTGTAGTTTGTACCCTTTTGCTCCTCATTGATAGAATTTCCTCCATAATCTAGAAGAGATTTCTCTTAAATTTCCATCTGATAAATATTTCTGTATGTTTTCTAATTTTTGTTTATAATTATGTATTCTTTAGCTTTCTGTTAGATGAATTACTTTTTTGGAATGTATGTATTTTGAGAAAAGATACCTACCGCTTTGAGTGTTGCAGCATTGTCTGCCAAAGTTGATGATGTCCCACTGTAGTTGAAGTCATATTGTTCTTTCTCACTCATACATAACTGACCTTAACTCATGAAGTAACTACGTTCAAGGGTAAGAAAGGGAAGGGTAGTTGGTTGAAAACTGAAACTATAATGCTTTGTTCTTCTTGCTCACACTTGACTCACCATCCATACCCCTTGCCACTCATCACCACTTTGTTTTTGTCCATTTTGACTATGAGCAGAAACATAAATCTTGCATATTTTGTACATGGAAAATACTAGATAGCCACAACTTTTTTTTGCTAGAATATTTACTGAAATATTCTAATCATGATTGGACAAGAGTAGTACTAGGATGAGTAATTTCTTGGAAAGTTCTCATGTTGCACCTCTTCTTATAGCCAACCCCACCTAGTGGGATAAGGCTTGGTTGTTTTTATATTTGACTAAAATAATTGAATGCTTATTTTTGCTCTATCACTTCCACCAATGAATTAATGTGAGTTATTGTCAAAATTTTGGCTAAATTTTTTGACCACATAGCACTACACTTGGCAGATTACGTTTTCACCCATCTAGTCATTATCCAATTTTGAAATATGCATAGCTATCTGATCTAGGGTTTGAACAGCTTATAGATTTGTTGCATAATAAATCTTGGTTGTGTTGTCTTTAGGCATATAAGATTTTTTAGTTCTGCATTCTAGTCTCTTACAGCTGTATGAGTCATTGTATATTTACTGCCTCTGAACATGTTAATGATGTTTCTTCCAGCATGAAACTGGATTATGCAAGAATTTACTTCAGGAATACGCACAAAAGATGAATTATGCAATGCCTATGTATCAGTGCAAAAAGGAAGAAACACCAGGTCGAGCATCAGTATTTTCATGTACCGTTGACATTGGGGGGATTCTCTATATTGGGGGAACCGCAAAAACAAAGAAGGAAGCAGAGATAAAAGCAGCTAGAACTGCTTTATTAGCTATCCAGTCAAGTGCATCTCTTGCTTCCCAAAACCAGGTTGGCCATTCACAGTTGACAGTCATTCCATGCAGAAAAAGGGCAACAGAATCTGTTGTAATAGCTGATGAGGCTTCAAATCCCCCAAAGCCTAAGAAAGCACGGTTTAAAAGGAAATCTTCTAAGAGGAAAACCCCTAGAGATAAGATGGGCCAAAGTCATGCTGAAAACGTGGGCATCAGAGCAAATACCAATCATGAGGAAGAAGCACTTGCAAGTGTTAATAATGAATCTGGCGTTCATGAAATGAAATCTGAAGAATTAACTGTAGAAGCCACGAAGAATTTTGAGAATGGAATGTTAGTTAATTATCATGAGAATAAAGCATTGGCTGGGGAGGGTTCTTTTGCTCTGAATAGCCAAGAGATTTTTGAAAATGGGAAGTCAACAGAATTATACTGCAAGGAAAACAATCTTGGGACTGTTGTTACAGAACTATCTTCTGTGGCTAATGGAGGCATACCGGAAATAAGTGTGGAGATGAACACGCAGCAATACAATGGAGAAATGGTCAGCGCCGCGGATCATTGTATTGTGGGGGGTTTTGAGGCTTAATGTATCAAATTAAAAGATCCAAGCAGGGGGAGTTATTCATTAGTGTTAGGAACCTTGAGGATTCCAACTGTTTTTCTTTGTTGGGTGTCACTCAATTAAGATAGTAGAATATAGGATGTCATGATTCTCAAAGAAAGTTGATAAATTTTGACTGATAACGGTGTTTCAGACCATTTGTTTGTATTGTATTAGATTTGAGCTATGTGCTCGGGACATGAGATTTGGACGTGTATTTGACAACGTGTTAGGGGCGAAAACATTTAAAATAGAGTATAAAAATGCAGTTTTCTTTCAGAAAATTTTAACTTCAAAATTGAAATGTGTGGTTGGGGTTAGATTATTTAAAAACACGCCAAGTTGAATCCTAATTTCTATGAATAAACGCTGCTCGTTTATGCATTTCAAGGCTAAAATGCAAGGTTCTTTAGATAGGACGATTTTTAAAAACTGTTTAAAATTTAATGACATGACTACGTTTATGAAATTGTACAAGATAGTTTATATAATAGCTTTTATCATGTCTTCACGTGAGACTTTTCAGATAAAAGTAGTGAAGTGAGGAAAGCAAAAAAGAGAAGGAAAAAAATAATAGCAATGAGGAAATGGGCCATAGAAAAAAGAAATATTTGTGTGAGGGAAAAAGATTTACTTAAATAATATAAATTTGTATAAGAAAATTTTACAAGTTTTTAAAGTTATTTTTAAAAGATTCATTTAAGTGAAAATAAAATTGGACTTATAATTCTCAATTCAATAGAAATGATGTGTATTATACAAGTAAAAACAAACATCTTAAGAAAAAAAATTATTGTTAAATTGAATAATATTAACTAGAAATTTTCTTGATTATAATTTTTTTAAATTTATTAATTAATAAATGGCTTCAGGCAAGTTAAAAATTAATTACGTTAAATTAAATATAATATTTAATATATTAAAATGAAAAGCACATGTTAATTAAACATTTTTTAAATGTTGAAAGTACCAAACTTTGCGAAATATTTCATGTTCGCGGTTCAAGCGGTATGAAGGAAGTAGAAATATAAACATTAGTTAATTAATTCGATTTTTATAAATAACTAAATATTGTCTGTCTTGCTTTTCTTTTTCCTTTCTTAGATGTATCTCTCAATTCTCATCTTCCTTGGGCCACCAGAGACCTTCTTAAGGGAAAAGTTTTTTACAACTTTTTTTTTTTTTCAAAATTAAAATTGCAAAATGCGTCAAACTTTCTTCTAAAAACTAAATTGTAAAAATGATTTATAAATTATTTATAAAATTAAATTTTAAAAGAATAAAAAATTATGAAAAATGCAACCAAAAAAAATATAAAGGGTGTCAAAAAATGAAAAATAAAAAGAGTCCAACTGCGTTTTTTTTTTGTTCCACAAAAGGGTTCGACTGCTAAGCTAACGTGGTAGAAGGCCTTTAATAAATTATTTAAAAAGAAAAAACAGTATTTGCCAAAAGAAAAAAAAAGAAGTAAAAGCAGTCATTGACAAAAAAGAGAAAACAGTGAGATGAGATCTGCGTAATAGCATGACAAAAAAAAAAAAAAAAAAAAGTTTGCGTAATAATAAACACTAAAAAAAATGAAATGAGGGCGAAGTTGAGAGTCAGTAGCAATCCCGTTTGAAAATGCACGGTAGGCCTCGCAAAGCGTTGAAGGAAGAAGATGCAGCTGCTGCTTCAGCCAAAGCTGAAAAGCTTCGTTCAGTCCAATTGCAGTTCCTCGCCAATCACCACAATCGCATGTTGTCTCTTCTTCCTTCAACTCTCTCTCTCTCTCTCTCCTTTTCTTCTTCTTGGACTAATTCCAATTGCGTGAATCTCGTTGGTTGTAGATATAGCAAGGAAGCACTAGATGTGAGCGCGAAGCTTCTAGAAGTTAATCCAGAGTGCTACACTGCTTGGAATTACAGAAAGCTCGCCGTTCAACACCTCCTCTCTGACTCCGATTCCGATCCTTACTCTCTCTTCGACAACGAGCTCAAACTCGTGCGTTTTCTCTCTTAATTCATTTTATTCAATATTTTCGATTAATATTGTTTTATTTTAGTCCATCATTTGGTTGGTTATTTATTTTCAATTGTTTAGGCGGAGATTGCGTTGAGGAAGAATTTCAAGTCTTATGGTGCGTGGCATCATAGAAAATGGGTACTAAGCAAGGGGCATTCATCCATAGACAACGAATTGCGTCTTCTCAATGGTTTTCAGAAGGCAGATCCTCGAAATTTTCACGCATGGAATTATCGAAGGTTAAATACTGCTTCTAAATAAAATTGTGCAATTTGAGAGAATTTTTTTTTCGTAATTTAGTGTGTTTGTTTGTTTCAATTTTGCTTCTAGGTTTGTTGCTTCACTGATGAAACGATCAGATGAGGATGAGTTGAAATACACGGAGGATGTGATAGGGGCTAATTTCAGTAATTACTCTGCGTGGCACAATCGTAGGTAGGTATGGTTATAAAAAAAATTACTCATTCAAAGGGACATTCTGGTGCTTCTGGTTGTCTGCTTTTTCTGTATGGTTGCGGTTGTTTAATTATGAGTTGCATAAATTTGTTTTGCAGAACTTTTGAATTGACCGCAAACTGTTTTACCTTATGTGCATGTGTATCTGAAAAAACATGAAATTGCAATGTTGGGAATGATGTTGTATTGTTTTATTGCCCGCATCTTGCTCTTATCGTATACTGGTATACAAGATTGATTTGGCCAATTATGTTCTTGAAACAAACGGTTTTGTCTATCAACCTTATGCTTTTAAACATTTTTCATGTGAGCCTTGGAGGTGTACTTCTGATATCTTTGATCAACTGTGACCAAGAATGATGGTTTGATATCATGCCTACACCCATCTGGGTATTTGACAAATATTGTTTCAGTATCGTCAATAATGATCAGTTCGTGCTACTTTGACGCATTCGACAAGATTCTCATGCAGATAAACAAACTGAAAGTATATTATTGCATGTATTTTGAAAATCCTTTCTGGTGATTGATGTTGACATGCTATGTTATATCAAAATATAAACCTGCCCATTTCCCACCTCTTGAATGATCATCATGCATGATGCAATGGCTTTTATCATTTGAATATGAGATATGACAGTGTTGGGAAGTTTGTAGGGTTGCATGCACTTTGTACTATCTTTCATTAGAATAGTAGGAATCATTTCTTTTGGTCTTCATTCGGTGTTCTGTTTCTTTTTTTGTCAGACCAACACCCTTCTTTAAGAATTTGTTTTATTGAGTAAATTGTGACTCTTGATTAACTATGTTTATCAATGCATATTGCATTGACAAATTTCAGTTGGCTTTTGTCTAATTTACTGAAAAGTAAGGCTGAAGGATATTTCCCTAAAGAAAAAGTTTTGAAAGAGGAGTTTGAGCATGTCCACAATGCTATTTTCACCGATCCAGATGATCAGAGTGGATGGTTTTATCATCTTTGGCTTATTGATCAAACTGTGAAAACTGATGCTCCTCTACTTGTTTCATCTTGGCCTTCCCATGGATCTAATATAACCCTAAATGGGAACAACTTCCCAATCCTTCTTTATTTCAATCAAGCTGTTGAAGGCATAAACACATTCACAGTGGCTATTAAATCTGAAATTTTAAAGGAGGAACTTGTTTGGAAACCACTTTCAACAAACAATTCAAATACTGCTCAAGTTTGGGTTGCATATCTAAACCTTGGAACTATGGAGCTTCAACTGTCAAAAACTTATTCTGTAGAGATCAACATTGGACATTCTAAGGGTATTGTATCTCCAAGCGGAAATCACTACGGTGATCCTTCCCAAATTTCCTTTAAAGTGTTTGTACAGCTTCCATATACTGAACCTACTGAAGGACAGGGTGGAAAAAGGACTATGTGGAATGATATAAATTTCCAAAAAGTTGATCATTTTCAGGAATCAAATTCAATTGTTTCTTCTGATCAAAATCACCTTAATCCAACAATATCCAATTGGTGCATGGAGGAAATTAATGAAGAGATAACTAAATTTCGGGACTTATTGTCAGAGTATGACTGGTAAGGTTGATATGTTAAATGAATAATTTTGTGGTTTGAAATGCTGCCTTGAAATTTTTTCCCATGTTTTCATCCCTGTTTTATTTCTATATAATATTGTGCCCTTTTCTTTTTGTAGTAAAATTGGAAGGCTTACTCTTGCAAGACTTTTGAGTGCTCTTGATTTGTTATCATCTCAACACGATAGAAGAAAATCTCACATCGAAGAAGTTCTTCAACTTTACACTGATTTGATGAAGTTGGATCCAACACATTCTCTATACTATAAGGATGAGCGTAGTCGGACGTTACTTCAGCAGGTAATTTTTTTTTTCCCAGTATTAAGTATCTATCACAGCATGATCCCATTCCCGTTTCATTGGTGTTGAAAAAAATGTCAAATACTAAGGTGAATATCAATCAAGATACATTATGTATGAACATGATTGCTAGCTAGAATAAATAGACCTTTCATTCCTGTACCTGCTGACACATGAGCTTGTTTACTTTTCTGTTTTCAAATTGAAAACAGATAACATGGCTAGAAATGTATTTATTTGGTTTTGGCTTTCTAAGATTCCCATTTGGGATATGGGGTAAAAAAGGGGAAACTGAATATATTCTGAACCAAACTCACCTTATAGTAAAACCAGTTGACTGAAGGAAAGGCATTTACAAAATACTAGAATCTTATAATTTTCTAAATGATTTTTTAACTCAACTAGTTTTTCTATAGCTAGACTTTGGTGGCTTTTATTAGGCCATGCTGGTGTATTTTTATATTTATGTCTAGCTTTATATTATTGGAAATTCTGTTTCTTCCACAACAAATCATTTTTCCAATGTTTTGATGACTCTGCAGATAACTTCAACCAGGGAGTCTTTACTACCATACTGCCACTATTATAAAGATGCAACAGAAGCAATCACTGGTTATGTCTGTCTACGATTACAGAATCTATCATTGTCACGGATGGGGTCTGTTGAGAATTTATTGTGGGTGCAAATGCTAGACCTTAGTCACAATGAACTTCAATCCATTGACGGTAGAACTTGCATATCTTATAATTTTGCTTTAACTTACCTTTTTCCCACCCTTCAAATACAACAATAATCTATCATTATTCCTACTTAGTGTGTTCAGCAACATGGGTTCTAGTATGCCATTGTACTTGGTCCTGTATCATAGATTCAAGAACCCCTTTATTTTTTTATACTTAAACAAACTGTATGAAATTAAGCTCATCTATTGTTTTTTATCAATGTTTACCTAAGTTAATGATGCATAAGCTATCCAACTTTTAAGAGTGCGTTTGGGTAACTACTTATTTAAACATTTATTTAATAAACTCTCTTTAAAAAATAACTTATATCTTAAATTTAATGATGAAATTTATTGTGAAAAGAAACTTATTTTGATAAGCTATATCAAGAAGCTTATTGAAATAAGCTGAAAACAGCTAATGAGAGGCATAAGCTGTTTTTTCAAGTTGTTCACAAGCTCTTCCAAATAGGCTCTAAATCTATATTACTTTAGTTAGACCACTAAATGAAATTTCATAAATTCACCTTAATGATTGAAATGTTTTATTTTTTTGTTTCTTGCAATAACTATTTACCCAATTGCAACAAACAAGATGACATATTTCAGGTTATTATGCATAGAAATTGAACCCTTAAAAGGTTGTCTCTAGCTTAAGTTATTATATCCTTGGCAAATCACGTTTGTAAAGTTCAGCTTTTGACTTGTATCTAAAATTGGAATTAAATGTCCCATACTGAATCTTTTGACAGGGTTGGAGGCCATGCAGCTTCTATCTTGCTTAAATCTGAGTCATAATAAACTTGCTAGTTTTACTGCTTTGGGGCCTCTCAGATTGCTCAAGTCACTTAAAGTGTTGAATATCTCATACAATGAATTAGGCTCTCACTCAATTGACACAACAAGATATTTATGCTCTTCTCCTTTAGCTCATACTGAAGAATTTGCATGGGACCGTTTTGAAATCCTCATGGGCAGCATTGGTGCTGCAAAATTTTGGGAAGCTTTCTTGATACTTGGAAGCTTGAAATTGACTGAGTTAAACATAACAGGGAATGCAGTAGCTGATGAGAACTTCAGGTCATTTTTTGTCAAAGTTTTGCCAACACTCAAGTGGCTAGATGATGAAGAATTATCTTGACCAATCTTGGCTTCTAAAGATACAGTTTTATCTTTCTGGTATAATGAAGATATACTTCTGCACCCAGCAGATTGTTCACTCATTGGGTAAACCTGTCCTTGACAAAGGACATTTTTTAACCCGTTTCACATTTGGTCCTTGTTTGCATCAGGTGCTGGACTGCTAGTATGGTTACGCTATTAAAAGTGGGTAACATTTTTATACTGTCTATACAAATGCCAACTACGGCTTTGAGGAGTAATACGACCTTCCTGTTCAAATTTCTATGCTTTGCCTTAGTCATGAAGGAGAAGATGCAGTTTGTACGGTTCTTAAGCATGTACAACTACAACATCTTTGATATTTGCCATGTTAGCCTTTAATTTCGCTCAATTTATATAATTTTTGGTGCACTGACAAATGAAGATATTTTCATTCTATTGTGAAGGATGAAAGAATCATTTTTGTGTAATCAATCTCTCATCTTCCCTCTACCTTGTATTGCGAACAAGACATGCTTAAAACTGTGATTATGACTTGCTGGCCTTGCTATGAGTAAATTGATTTTACGAATCAATAGAAAAAAAAGTTTGTGAAATAACATTACATGACCCGAGCTATGTAGAGCGAGGTAAATTGTCATTATCTTTGGTACTGTTTTTTCGTTTTATGTTCGAAATACTAATCACCAACAAACCAAGAGGCCTTCTTGACATGAAGTAGAGCAAAGTTTTCTGTTGGTATGAGATACCAAAGAACGGCAACAAATTTCTGTTCCAAAATGTTTTCCAATTTCTTCTGTACCCATGAACTTGGGAGGATTCTGCTATCCTTCTTAGTTGGCCAATATCTATTATAGATACAATTGACGTCATTGACTTGTGTTCTAATTTTAGCTTTAGTCAGGAGGTTCAAACAAGTTTTATTTAGTGGCATTGAAGGATCATTTCATAATTATATGAAAACGTTAAACCCATCTCCTTTCTAAGTCAAAACAAAGCTGGCAATGTCTCTAAATCATAGGAATCCAAAATGAACCATATCATTGTTTTAAGGGTGATGGAAGACGAAGGTTCATTAAGGTGGTTGCCGCATTAAGAAAGTCGCATTGTGCTCGAAGAATACTCTGCTTATTATTGCCTTCTCTTTTTCAGAGCACTAAGTATTTAAAATAATCCGAATATTAAGCAGCTAATATGTATTACTTTAAAATTATTATTTTTCACATTTCAATTCATAAATCTTTTTATATATTTCTATTTCATGTTGCATGAGGATTGTTTTTATGAAATCATCCTGTTTAACTAGCCAAATAAATGGTCGAACCTGGAACGGAAATCTCACCGGTTCACTGTCTAGGTAGTATTAACCACACTGCTTTTAAGAATCTATCACAATTTCAGACCTGAATTCAGAGCTAGGATTGAGTCACGGGCATTTCGTAATCCAGTTACAGTATGCCTGAGATGATGCAAGATAATAACCTCAATACCGTATGTAGGTTGGATTTTTTCAAACCACAAATTTCATTCGTTGAGTCTTGAGATCCATGGTACTAAATGTTTTCGAACCTTGAAATCAGTGCTATTAATTTATTTTGTCTCTTTGAAAGAACATATGAACAGCTTATGAAAACAGCTCTCCTTTTAGCTTTATTTCAATAAGCTATTTAGTACAAGTTATTTAGTTAAGCTGTTTTCAACTTATTCTATTAAGTTTTATCGTTAAATTGACTGCATAAGTAATCGTTTTAAAAAAGTTTATATAATAAACGCTAAAGTATGTATACAAGCACATTCTAAACCTTTCTAAGAATTGATGATAGTCCATGATTGTTTACCAAGTAGTTTGCATGATTTGGAAGACAGTTTCACAATAATTTAGCCTTCATAAAATGGATCTTAATCATCTAATATTTTCAGAGGGCTCCAACCTCCAAGAAATTCAAGGAATATCCATCATCAAAAGGTTGCTCTTTTCCTAATTTCCTTACATTAAGCTTATAAAGATTGAATAATAAAACTTTTTCTGTTTTTCAGTTCTCGCCAGAAGTTGTACCCGGCTATTTCAAAAAGATAGATTAATCTGGTTGAATTTGTTTCCTTAATTTTCTGAACCTTTGTTCCTTGAATGTTGGCAATAAGTGCTTCATATGGAAGTACGACACAAAAGGCTGAGTTATTGACTATCGTTATGGGATGAAGGATCCATAAAGAGGACAAGAAAGATCAAATACAAAGATCCTCTCCAGAGGTAAGGGTTTCTTTCCCCCTTCATATTACTAAGATTTTCACACTTCAACATGCTGTATAATTCAAATCCTTTTGAGAAAATCATTTATTGCTGCTCACTCTTAGCATTCAATTACTGAATCTATATTCTAGGATTAGAAACAAGAGAATTATTAATTAAACATAGAGTTCAAATCCAAGGTTTTGCAATAACCAAACCTTACAAAGCGATGTCGTTTGGAAGCTCATGATGAAGCCAACCTGTTGAGCGCATCTTGAGCCAAACTCAAGCGTGGCTCCACTTCCAGAGCCTCCTTGTAAGCCTTAATGGCTTCTTCTTCCATCTTGTTTCCTTCGTAGCATTCCCCTAACATACACCACGCCTTAGCGTTTTTCGGACTCAGCTTCACCGACTCCGTCAAATCGGCCAGGGCCGAGTCAACGTGGCCGGGTTGATTCAAGGCGATTTTCAACTCGGCTCTCTTGAGAAGCGCGTCGCCCCTCTCGGCGTCGGCGAGAGACTTAGCGGCGAGTGGAGACAACGCGGCGTCGAGCGCGTCGAGGGCGGAAGTACGGAAGCCCTGGAGGATGAGAGCCATGGCTTTTAAGAGGTAAGAGGCGGCGTCTTTGGGGTCCAGAGCGATGGCTTGATCGGCTTCGGCTTCGGCTTGTTTGGCGAGGGAGGTGGAATTGGATGGTGTTGTTCTTCTGGCTTGGTCGAGGAGCTGAGCGCCTTTGACGAAGTGACGTTTGGCTCGGAGGGAGGTTCGGTTTCGGAAACGGAGTTTGGCGAAGAGTTTTTGGGGAATGCCGTGCATGGCGAGGTACATGAAAATCATGAGAAGGAAGAGAACGATTTGCAATGCGACGTCGCGTATCATTGCTTCTTTCTCGCTGAGCTCCGTAACCATTTTCGATCTCAGGATTTCGATTTCGGAAGAATGAAAGTGTTCGATTGGTTCTTTCACTTCGTTGGGTTAGAAATTCAGAATCCCTTCTTCCCTTCTCTTTGAGTCACCGAAATTGGACTTTTGACTCTTCGCATTGACCGCAGCCTGCCGTGTTTGATTTGATTGGGTCTTTTTTCTTCGTTCCATTATTATTATTACAATTTTTTTAAGGTGTTTTGAAGCTTCATGTTACATCATTAAAAAAAATAATAAATAAATATTTTTAAAATATAATATTTAATATTTGTAATACATTAAATTTTTATAATATTTATAGTTTTTAATAAAAATATATTATACATATAAAACTAATGGCCAATTATTTTGTGCCTTTGTTTGGTTAAAAATAAAAAATGAGACAAAACCAAAAAGGGAAAAGAAAAAAATAAAGAAAAGGTTATTTTTTATTAGAAAGAAAATAAATTATACTAAATAAATTTTATATCTTTTTAACGTAATGATAAATAAACAAATAAATTAGTACCTGCATAAATTTAGCATTTGTTAAACTGTTTTTTTCTCCTGTTTTTCTGTATTAAGGAGAGACAATATATTTGACTCTTTTTTTTCATGCTTTCTCCTGAAAAAATAATTACTTATAATTTTGAAAAATATGATAGTGCATGGAATTTCAGAGGATGCAATTGTAGAATCTCGTTTAAAAATAAATAACTCCGTATTTATCTTTAAGCTTTTTTAATGTTAAAATAAATACAACCTCTTGTAACTGAAACCCTGACATTTTCACTATCGGACTTGGATAGAAATAAGAGCAACACAATTTTGATTAATTGAAACTTGGGTCTCAAATTTTCGAGCATTTAAGAAACACATTTATAAATTGAAATGAATTTACTTCTTGACCACTTCACAATCTAACAAACTAACATTCTCATTTGAGTCCAGGAAGCGCTATCTAATATTACTTGAAGTAAAACCCAGTGTAAAAAGCGTGAATAGTTTAAATTACTGAAAAAATGTGTGATGAAATCCAATTACCATTAAAGAAACCTAAGAATTAATTAATAATGTTAAATGATACTACTACCATTATTAGATAAATACAAATCATTAACTTGCTTTTGTATGACTAAAATCTTCTGCTCGACCAATTTCATCCAATGGTCCTTTATAAGAAATAGCTAATCAGCACCGCAAACGAATACCAAGAGAGAACAAGTTATGGAAGGATATTAACTCGACGCTTTGTCAAAATAATTAATTAATACGACAATTATATATAACTTAATCGGTATAGCACTTTGACAATGAATAAGCAGAAATGTTACATAACATATGTCCTCAAATATTTTGACTTCAAGCTATCTATAAAAGAGCTTGAGGTCACGAGTTTATTTATAAGTATATTCAGAAACTCGGGAACCCCATACGATACAGGCACAACACCTACAAGCACCATTGAAGTTACCACTTTGACTAGATGCCTTTCAGTGCCCTCCTGAAATGCGTTAGCGCAAGAAGCATCCAATATACAGTTGCAGACAACCAAGGGTTCCGTCAATCAGAGAATACATGACCACCAAGGGCCGGGTTACTTGTTGATTAACGTTTCCATAAAACAGCAACAACTTCAAGGACAAGAAAGACCAATTATGGGCTGCAAATCCTTATGTATCTCCCATTTTTATCACCTCTGCTGGAGACTTCAGCAACTTCTTTAGTGACTCAACTATGCCAGCGAAAGATGGGCGTTCACTAGGGTCACTGCCAAGTAAATAAAGCAAGCACCAGAAACAAAGCAATGCTTAGAAACATAAAAAAACCAGTAGTTGACAAATCAAAATAGTACATGAATTATGCTGATTTTTCTAAAATTGTTAAGGCATCTGCGCTGGGAATCTCTACTCCCCATGTCAGAGCTGAAGTGAGAAATGATAAAATCAATATGTAACGAGGCAATACTCATAACAAATTATCACTTATTTTACTACGAGGAATTTCAGCCTGATTTAATTATTGGCTTGTCCTGACCCATCAATCGCCTAAAGAAATATGCTTTGGTAGGAAATTAGGCATTTAGAGATCCAACATCATGTTGATTAAGAAAACTCTATATTGTTGCCAGGACCGAACTGTCCAAAATTTTGGATTCCATCTTTACAAAATCGTATAAGAATGTAGTTTTAATTGACATTTTCAAATAATTTTAATCACAGAACTATATTATACGTTCTTGGCAAGTCATGTTCTTCAAATACAAATACCAGTGTTCATAGAACACCCAAAAATGAAAAAGAAAATAGATGCAATTTTCTAATAAAATTGGACCAAATGGCACAAGATGTTCGCAATTTACCGAACAATATGACACGATTAACACTTACTCAGCCCAACAAGATTCCATGAGAGAGGCCAATGCTGGGGAAATGTTTGGAGGGATAGTAAGCCTCCTATTCTGGAAAGCAACAGCTCCAACCACCTGAGAGTTCACATTATGATTGTTAATTTACAAAATCCATTAGTAAAACTCAGGTTTCATTATGCCAATCAATTGTTTGAAATGTGCAAGTTTGCATGTATACCTTTCCATTATATGTCCTTTTTAAATTAACAAATTCTTGCAAATGATCCCTACTACTGTATGAATAAACACATTAAGTAAAAATAATTGGCTTCAAATATTTAAAATTTAGAGCATAAGTATTCGTTGTGTTTACCTGAGCAGGGCTAAGTCCACTCCATGGTTGTTCCATGGTCACAAGTTCCCACAGGATAACTCCAAAACTGTATACATCAGATTTCTCATTGGAAGGTTCCCCACGAAGAAATTCAGGAGCCATCCACTCAGGCTAAAAATAAAATCAACAGAGTCACACACTTATTGAGAGTGAGGTACAATGAAGTACAAGTTCAACCTGTGAAGTATTAAAAGAATGACCACTTTCAATATTAAAAGGAAATTGCCTCTATATCTAGGCCAAAAGTAAGTCCATTGTTCACTTATCACATGCCTGAAAATGCACATTCCTCCCATCCAAATGACTGAACCAACATAAAAATGATGACACCCCTAATAAATTCAATTAGATAATAAAAAACATGATTGTATCATTGATTTCAACACCATGTTGAGAGCAAAAGGCTATTCAGACAGTTCTTTTGTTTACAAGAATCAACATGCATTCAAAAATAGCTACAACAGTTCAAATTTTGAACTCTCTTGACTTCTATTCACAAGTTAAACTGGGAAGAGAACTGTAACTAGAAGTTGATATGCTTAAGCTTATGAACAGAATGAGAGACTTAACTGTTCCGGCAACAGATTTTGATGGTATGAAAGTGTTTGCCTTAAATCTGGACAGTCCAAAATCACAAACCTGAACATGAAATGAAAAAAAATAACAATCTACTTGCAAAAAATGTATAAATTCTCATATAAAACTTCTAAATCAGTTCCATTCTACCTTCACAGTCCAATTTTTATCCACCAACAAGTTTGGGGATTTGAGATCCCAGTGCACAATTGGAGGTTTCAAACAGTGGAGATAATTGATCCCTTTAGCCTGCAATCAACAAATGATATATTACCTACAAGATGACTATTTCGGGTAATGAAATAATAATATCTGGCACAAACCACATCCAAAGCCATCCGTAATCTTCTCCTATTATCCAGAATTTCACCAGATGCTGGCCTGTGTATCAGGCGGTATAAACTACCCCTGTCACCGATGTATCAGGAAACAGTGTAAGACATCCACTTCTTCATGCAAGAACTTGAAATATTATGGTTAACAATATAAAAAGTCGGTTGTCTTACCTAGGCAAATACTCTGTCACTATAGATAGATGGGGGCGTTTTGTAACTGCACCCATGAAGAGCACCACATTTGGATGACGAACACGTTTCATTATTGCAACCTAAAGCAATGCAAATAATAACTTTAACATAACTAGCTTCCACTTTACCCCCAGAGAAAGGAAAAAGAAGTGTGTTTCATAGACCAAGTTCGAAATCTTATTGTGCACAACCAGCTTTGCACAAAAGATAAATACATGTTTTAACTGTTCAACAGAGTTTGCTTCTGTGCCCCACAAACCATGCAATGTTATGATTGTCAAAAAGTCTAGCCAACTTGAATAATTAGAGATCATGGCACACAGCAGTATTATTCAAGCAGGAGAACTGTGGTGCCTGTTACTTAATATCAGAGATTCAGAGGGATGAGTTTTACACACCAAGGTGGAACAAATCTGATCTTTACAGAAAAGAGGTGTGCATATTTGAACTGAAAAGAGTCATACATGGATCCAGTGTGCACCCAATCAAAATGAAATGCTTCCGTGCATGCTGAGTGGAAGACTTGTACATAATTAATTGTGCAAGTAGCTTTAGTCTTGTATTGAATAAAACAAAGCATGGCCTTAATAAATGTGAATATTTTCTGCCCAACAGGATGAAATATATACTCAGAACAAGCATGCTAATAGGGAATAGCCCGGCACTAGCACTACTCAAGACAATAAAAGAAAAGAAATGTTAGAAATATGTGTATGAAATAGGTGAGGATAATTGATTATTATCAACTAATATATATGGTTTGCCTTCAGTGTATATATATACCATTTGGCAAACACGATCCAAATCATAAGCAACACGATAAAGAGGCACCCAATACATTTGTCTCATGAATACATACCTCTCTCAGAAACTCCTTCAACTGATCATCATGGAAATCTTGAACTGTTAAAACCTTGACTGCAACATCCTGCAATTTATAAAATAAATATAATCTCCAAATCATAAATAAATAGATACAAACTCACTGGTGTGGTGGTGGATAAGTGTCGTTAATTCAATTGCAATCAGACAGACTAAGAAATTACATGATTCTAAGGTATCAAAACGCTACATCTATATATTCAAATGTGCCTATTCTACCAAAAATAAAAAATAAAATCAGCACAATAAAAAGAAATGTGTATTAACACTTACTGATCCATGCCATTCAGCACGGTGCACCGTCCCAAATGAGCCTGCATAGTGAAAAGGACAGCAGCATTTAGAGTCACCTAATAAGGAAACAAGTCCATGATACCAAAGGTAAGTGGATTAAAGAAGCAATAGAGGACGAAAAAGTACCAGCACCAACTCGCTCTTTAATTCGTAAATCATCCCATGAAATCTCAAGCCAGTCCATTGCAAGTGATGGTTCAAGATTTACATATCTTGGAATATTCCCAGCAGGTAAACAACCCTGGTTTTCTATTCTATTGTCTTTCAGTTCGGACTGGCTGGATGAAGTAAGTACAGATTGCTTGAAAGCACTTTTTACAACAGAACTTCCAGTTACAATGATGTCACTGTTGGAAGTTTCTTGTACTATAATTGAATCTTCACTAAGCCTCTGATATTCATGTAATGATGCTTCTTCAATGGCAGTATGAAGACCTTTAGAAACATCTTCATGGATGGTAGGCAAAACTGAACTTAGAACTTCACACTCCTCCTCATTCCTTTTTAAACCAAAAGAAATTAGAGAAGGTTCTGTTCCTTCAAAGATTTGATCAACTGAAGCGTAAACTGAACCCTTCTGATTTATCAGTAAATCGGATTCCTTAACTTGTTGATCATTCTGTCCACAGCCTGCAGGTCATTGAATAATGGCTAAGACCAACTTTATACTAGAATTTCCTTCTGCTTGTTATAAGATTTACTAAAACGGAAGTACAAAGGCATAAGTTACCCTGTCCCCAAGGGGTTAAAATTTAAAATTTCTGAGCCAAACATGCTTCACAAGCTTAAGAAGGCAAAAAGCTTAAAGCAACTTTAAAATGTATTTACTATGGAGTACGGGAAGTTAATTTGAACAGCAGTGAAGTACATAGATAGACCACTTTTGCAGTGATAGAAAAAACGAATAGTTCAAGGCATTATCAGCACACACTGATGATTGTGTGCATGTACTTCACAGCTAATTGATGTATTAGCGTTTAGCCTGAACATCGGGCTCAAACTTGATTCAAAAATCTGAGTAGTTCAAGGCACTATCAGCACACACTGATGGTTGTGTGCATGTACTTCACAGCACACACTGTTTCACCTGGCCTTTTTACAGCTTTAAAGCTACTTTTAAAGTTAAAGTTAAAAATAAAAGCTTTAAATTTAAAACCAAAGCTATTTGGTAATTCTATTATTTTTTAAGCTTAAAAGTTACTTTTTAAGTTAAAATTTCATGGGTATTGTGTTCTTGGACCTTGGGATTTGAAATAAAGAAGAAAAATGAGAAGTAGAAGCCAAAAGCTCCTAAGATTAACTATGTTTCTTTTTTCAAAGTTTTATTCTTTAAAAGAGGCTACTTTTTTAAAGCTACTTTTCTTAAAATTTTGTTTGGCCCAACTTCTCCTTATAGAAGCCCAAAATAAGTTAGGCCGAACACTACCAGATAAAGTATAAAATTGATACCAATAAAAGGGTATTGTCTCTCCTAAGTGTTTATTGTCATCCCATTTAAGTGATTTTTTTGCCTAAAATATCTTTTCTCTTTTATAACTACATTAACAATAGGGGTATTTTAGACATAATTACTAAGATAAGAGTGGCAATAGACACTTCCCAGAAGAAAATGTGTGGAAGTACTGAGACCCATACTGAAAATCAGTTCAAATAATATGCATCCTAAAGGTCCAAGAATATACTTACGGCTACACAGATTCTTCCCTTCCAGTTACAATACTAACAAACAATTTGAAGATAAACTTTCCAGGTATGCAAATCACAATATACCTGAATATGGAAGACTTTCAGGATTAACAGATCCGTGATTGAAACTTAGAGATTGAGAACTTGCTGCATCATCCATATAAGGTGATTGTGATTCTTTCAAATGAGAAATTTGAAATGGAGAAGGCATTGAAGAAACATATGCTCCATTAATTGAGGAATCTGGCCCGTGGACATTTCCTGGATCCCCAACTAGGTCGACCACATATTCCCTGTTAAATGATAAAACATAACATGTTGTGAAGGAAAATATGAAGTAAATGTCAAGAGGTTGACAAACTTGTCTACAAGAAGTTATGGATTGCATGCAGAAGTCCATAAATGAACAAGCAAAAAAGGAAAGATGCAATTATAAAACTTGTTGAAGGTGCTTAAAGCCCATGAAATCAAGACGAACGCGACATAAAACAAGCAAAACTAACACTAAAAACTTACAGGGAAAAAAGAAGAAAAATGGTCAAAATTCAAAAACTGCTAATGAAATACCTGTAATGTTCATGATTGACAGATAATTATATTGGCATTACCATCTAAACATAAAAGACAGCAAAAATGAGGTTCAAAGTTGGCTGTTGTGCTACCTTGAGAGCTGCTTGTCATCTTTAATCTTGACTAGGCAGGAGGATCTATGATCTGCAACACAATACTTGCAACCACGAGCTATGCGACAAGGCAAACCTATATAATCTGCCAATCTCTGCATTAAAAAAATCCCAAGTTTAAGTTCACAGCTGATCTGTAACCAAGGTTTTCAAGAAATACTACTGCATCCAACTCAGCATCAAATGACCCCAGACAACATTAATGCACCCTCTTCATACATCCATGCATGCTCAACAATATTCTTATGCAACCCCAGTGTTCTTCGATAATAGACACTATAAACACTAAAAGCAAAAAATTCAGAAGGCGTATTAGTATTTCACCTTGAAGAGAATTGCCCGGTGCCTACAAAGCCCGGTAGATAGGCTACCAATAGGAAGCACAACACACTTGTGAAAATTCCTCAACTTCTTACTCACCAATTTCCAGCGCTTGTGAAGATCTCCTTGCTCCACTGGGAACGTACCCCTTCATACATTCAAAATTTATAATAAATATCAAAGCACTTCACATTGGAAGAAGAGATCGTTATACACACACTATAGCTTACCCCATATAAATGGCAACTAGTTTTCCTAGCTGTTCCACCAACACCAAAGTGTTCTCGGAAGCACAATACAACTCTTGCGCTTTATCTTGAAGCAGCTTGAGTCGAGAGTCCTCGTGTCTATCAATAAGCACCACCTCCATAGAAGTCTCGCTTGGTTCAACAGCTTTAAGCGCCATCAAAGTCGGTATCCTTCTACCTTCTTCCACATCATTGCACATCACCCACAGATACGGATTCATCCCCAATATGTTATAAAACCCATCAGATATCTTATCTGTGTACGACAAACACCCACTCACCTGAACCCAAAAAAAAAAACAAACGAATAATAAATAACAACTAACAACACTACTTGTGGTATTACTGTGTTGAATCTAAGTTTTGTTTTATATTAAGAGTTAACAATGAGCTTGAGTTTTATACCCAAAGACGATAAGAAACAGATTCAGCATCCCATGTTTCGGTTCCTGGGGTGAGAACAGGTTCGGTTACGAGGCTGGCCAAGCAAGTGAGTCTCTTCGCTAACGTGAGCTGCAAGATGTAACTTTCTTTGGACTTCTTCGCCAACTTCTCTTTGCTTTGTTCCTCTTCTTCATCCTCCTTCTGCCTCGGAGCAGGGATAGTTGTGATCGTTTTGGTGGAGATGCGAGACGACGACGTTTCCTCCTTAATGTCGCTCGAAAAGTTGCAATCCAACGTCGTCCCCGAAAACAAGCTTCCAGCATAGCTACTCCCGCTCGAGAGCCGCGGAAGCGAAACCTGCCGGTCGAAGCTTTGGTCGAGGGCGGCGTCCTTCACGGCGGTCTCCGGCGCCGGCGGTGGAAGAAGGAGGTCATGGTCTTCCTCAACGTAAGGCTTGAGTTGATGATGGTGGTGGTGGTGGTGGTGGTGGTGGTGATGGTGGCCGGAGTGGTTGGCTTTCTTGTCGATCAACCAGTCGCAGAAAGCCGCAATCGGCTTGTGCTTGGTTCGGAACTTGTCGCCGGCGGCGAAGAGGTCGGAAACGGCGGAGTGTTTCCCCGATGAGAGAACGACGTCGTCCTTGCTCGGTGAAAGTGACTTTTTATGAGTGTCGCTTTCAACGGCATAGGTTTCAGATTTGATTGAGTTGACGATTTTCTTTTTCTCGTGATCTAATAGCTGTTTGGAAGATTCATCCAAACCTCGCTCAGGAAACTGGCGCGGGAAAAAGTAAGTGGTTCTGTGAGGCATTTTCACTCACAACCACTCGTTCCCCACGCTCACGAGCCTCTCGCTCCTCACACTCACTCACGTGCACTCCAATAACCCTAACTACTCTCCCTCCTGGTTCTTCTTCTTCTTCTTCCTTCTCAACTTCAACCTCAATGCAAATATTATTCGATTTATGCGTGCGTAACCAATTCCATTATAAACCATGCATGATATAGTAGTAAATGAACTAATTGCATTCTACTCTTTCCGAATCTGAAAAGTGAAAACCACCGTGGAAAACAAACGGCGATTGAGTACCTGAAAACCACGGATTCAAAGCGCGGTTTCTATGAATTTGAGAAGAGGTATTTAAATACAAACGCTGAAACTAAGACGCTGATTTGAGGAATGAGAGCTTAGAGATTGAGGAATAGAAATAAGTAGAGCCAAATGTATGTGATTGTGAGGTGTGGTTGGATGGATGGTTGTGACGTTAGTTGTGGGTTTAGCAGCAAGGGAGTTGGAATGGGCAGTGGGAAATCGAAATAATATAGAGTCGGTATGCTAACGAGTACTGGGGGTATCCGTGCGCACCCTTGTTACTGAGGTGACACGTAAATCTTATAGCCAATTATTTCAGGACACGCAAGGGCCAAGGTGCGCACTGTGCATGGAGTGCAGTGTAGTGTGCTGCTTGACCGCGGGTTTCTGTGTGCGAGCAGCAGGTTCTAAAATTGGGACTCATGCACTCTCCAGCCTCGAGATAAGATATGTTATATATAAGAAAACCTCGCCTAAAGTAACTGATTTCTCGTTTATGATTTTATTTTTAAAATTTAGTAGTAGTATATTATTGTATTTATTTAAATATTTTAAAGATATTAAGTAAGAAACAAATTTAAAAAATTATAATATTAATACATTGTTATATTAAAAATATTTACAATTCTTTAATTAATATCTCAAAAAGACGGGCCTATAGTGTATATATACATAAAAAAACATAAAAATGGCCTTATTTGCGGGAGGAGTATAATTAATATATATCATCCTTGCCTAAGCAGTGAGATCTGAATATCAATAGCACCATTTTATGGGTTGTTTTGAATATTAAACGAAATTATAAAATAATATAATTTCATATGAAAAATTATAAAACATAATAAATATATGGTGTTTGTGTGAAATAAAAAAATATTATAGTAATTTTTAGTGTAGTTTAGTTTTTAAAATTTTTAAAATATATAATGTAATAATAATTTAATACATATTTATCATGTAACGTTGATGACAATTTTACCGCAACATGTTTATTAGTAAATAGTATCGTATTTTATAAAAAAAGAAAATTTAAAATTAACTTAACAAAATACATTTATAAGAAAAAAAATAAATTTTATGTATATTTATAAAACAGAAATTTGTAATTTATTCTTACCAATATTCAAATACAATCATATTTAATGAATAATTAATTTTTACGGGTGCTAATTACAAGTCGTTGTCCCAAAACCTAACATGGATTATCTCAGTTGACTTGTGTATTCTATGTGTGATCTTTGAAATGTGAACAAAATATATAATTAAGTTTTAAATTTTAATTTGGTATAAAGGATGAAAGACAAAGGGGGAAAAAAAAAACTCTAAAACCTAATGAAAATGACCCCTCGCATCGCAGAGGAAGCCAAGAGCAAAGAACCAGACAGCTCATCTTCCTTTTGGCAACAGAGTTTTCCTAAAAAATAAAGCACCTGTGAGTGAGATAAGTTTCTCACTAAACAAATTGATGCATTTGGAATTAATACAAAACTCTGTCTTTCCTTTTTAATAATGGCATGTGATAACTGTTGGGAGTTTGGAATGTGATATCCAAGTCATGAACGTGCTGCTGTAAAGGCTACTTGCTTGGTATTTTTTTGGGTTAAAGTATTCACTTTCTTCCTTTTCCTTCATTTTCACTTGGTATGCGTGATCCTATCTATATCTTTATTTAATTAAGCTTTGCTCTCTCTTCCCCCTCCCACTGTTCAAAGTGCTCGTTCATGCATAGATTTTGTCTCCCTTTTTGGATAGTTTGCATCATTGTCCCACCTTCTTTTAAGTTTGACTTTCAAGGATATAAAAACGGATCCAAACTTTCACAATTTTATTTATTAAAAGTTGTTAAATAATTTCGCTAACACCATTTTAATATGAATTTTCAGTTTCAGTTTTCATTATTATAAAAAAGCTTTATTGATTAACATGCATTTATTAGTATTACAATATAAAATAAAGTACTGTTTATATATTAAATACGAGAGACTTTTATTACAACGGTTTAAAAATTTCTTACTCATTTTCAGTTAGTTAAATTTTTTTAATTTATATGTAGTTTATTATGCTTTCATGCATGGAATCGCCTGTTGTTGTTTTCCCCTTCATTTTAGTATATGTTATAATGCACTTAAAGCATGCATTTATTAAATGTGTTTGTATGTGGGTGTGTGGTGACAAAATAAACTAATTCGAAGGGAGTGCGATAAATTTCAAACCATAGAATAATAACTTAAAATCAAATCAAATTTTACATTACAAATTAAAGAAACAATAACCCAAGACGCGTATGGTTGACGTGAAAAAGTAACTAATAATCAATAAATTTCATGAGAATAATGCTAAGTTAATGACGGATAATGAATAGTAATATTTTTATATAAGTAAATATTTATTTGTATTACTAATAACATTTAATTATTTTTTATTTATATTAATATTAATATATATATATATATATACACACACACACATAACATTAAATTTTAGTGATTTAAATAATAAAATTTAAAAATAAATAAACCCCAGGCGTCATAAAACATTGCTTGGCGACTTGGCGTGCATGTTAGGCAATCGTGATCTATTTCCTTATAATGATCCCATTATCTCACAACAAAATTAAAATTTCAACTAAATGACCAATATTGAAATTATATTGAATAATAGAAGTTAATCTGTCGTAAAATAGTGAATAATGATTTGAATTTGTGTGACATATGTATTTTTTTAATTAAACACATTTGACTACATCTTAAAAACATTACCTTTTTTAAAAAAAAATTATAGTTGAAAAATTAACACTGAATAGCTGGTTTAAGCTCAGTAGTCAAGCTAAGACTTATTAATCAGATTTTTTTAAAAATGAATCCAATAACGTATAATTAAAAACTAATAAATAATATTTTTATTAAAAATTATAATATTTTAATAATGTATTTCAATTTTATAGTTATTAATAACAAATTATTATATATGTTTTTATTTGTTATCCTTAACATAAATTACAAAAATCAAATAAATAAGTGATTCATTAATTTATCAATCAATTATCCCGTACATATCCCAGACTTTGTTAATAAGATTGGATTTCATGTCCCTGGAATCATCAATATGTGGACATTATAATTTTATTCAAAACAATAATTAACAGTTCACACGAATTAAATGCGATATAGCTTGTGGACGACGTTAAGCGCATCTTTGGACCAGCAGGTCATATTTTTTTTAATTCGATTTAATTTAAATTTTATGTGCACTTAAATATGATAAATAAATTTATTATTAAAGATTTTTTTTATATATAATTTGAAATTATAAACTTAACTCTTTAAAATAAAACTGTGCACCATTTTACATGCGTATGTTTATATATATATATATATATATATATATATATATATATATATAACAGTGACAAAACATGGACTTATATATACAGTATAATGCTGTGAGAATCAGGTACAACATTTATGATTTCACAACTTCTCCTGAATATTAAAATCTACCATATATTTATTCTCTAACAAAAGTAGGTTTATAATATTTTTAAATTAATAGTTCATCAAAACGTTTTGTTTTAAATATAAAATAATATAAATTGTAAAATTAAATATACATAAATATTTGAATTTTCAATGGAATATTTTATCTAAAATTTTGTGTGAGGAAGTGAGAATAATAATCGGATTCAATAAAAATTTTGAAAACTTGCCATTCATTAGTTTGTCAAACGCATGTACACAAACACATAAAATTGTAAAAAAAATTGCTCTCAGTTTTCTTATGAAATCCTCAAACATGTATTATTTTTGTTTATTTTAAGATTTTTTTGAACGAAAAAATGTAAACTCTCGGTTGGTCTTCTATAATTACACACGTCATCACATTATTATTTGTTTAAATTTGGTGATTTAATTATTCTTTAAGAAAATAATATTTTCAAAAAACTGGTCTACAAACAAGTGATTTTAATATTTAATCTATTGCCAAATTTATCTCTAACATGTCTAAGCTTAAAGACTAAAACAGTGACACACAAATTTAAAAGATTAATTTAGTGAACAATTTTTTTTATAAAATTAACATGGTAACCGATAACTTTAAAATACTAAACGAGTTTACTGAAAAAATCAATGAACGAGGTTTGATTTTTATGCATTACCATATCTCAAGGAGTCTTACTAATTTACGCATTACTGTACATTAAGATTTTAATTATTTAAAGTTTTGCAAAATTAGTTTTGAGTATATGAAATTGAGAATATATTGTTTCAACGTTGTAATTTTTTAAACTTTTTTCCACAGATATAGTTTATTTCCGGGAATATGTTATCTTTAAATTTTGCTTATTTTTTATTTTCACGACGAGGGTATAATGAAAATTATCATTTATATCATTTAATAACTTTATCTTTACATTTTTTACAAGCATTTAAAAATTGGTAAAATTTGTATTTGATACGATTTGATTGACTGAAACTTTAATTTAAAAAAGGATATATTTTGAAAAACTAAAAATATCATTATGTTTATAGAAATTAAAATTGCCGAGAAACACCTTTATCATTCTTATTTATATGTGGATCTTCTTTAATTGATGGTGCATAACTAAGGTCATTGTTCTTCCGGTAAAGAAAGGTAGACGGATTATTAGCTTGATTCAATGTACTACTGATTTAAGTAATGTTCATTTAGGAATTACAACAAGAGAATGTGGTCCTGCGTTGCGTAAGACTTCAATATCTAATAACTAATAGTTTACCATAAAAGCTACTTTGATTCGTCGCTAACAATGCATTTCAAGCTTTTACTTTATAATCAATGGCATATTCTGTGTCTGTGCTGTTGCAACCATTATCTTAGTTATGACACTGTAAGCATTTGTTTAGCCTATATATAATTGGCCTGTGTAAACTCAATATTTAATTGGTCTGTTCTGGATCATCTTTCCTTAACATGCTTATTAAGACTATGAGATGAGAATAAAAAAGCAATCAAATTATTTGAAAATAATTATAAAGCAATTTAATCTATATAATTTTATATTTTATTATTTGTATTATATTAAGCTCTTTCATCTCTCTTCCCTTCTTATCATCTGGATTATTTATCATTTTTTCGTGTTGATGAACCTCACTCAATTTTAATTATCCTTCTATTTTTTATCCATTCAAAATTATCATTATCCTTATTTCATTTTATTTTCTTTCTCTCCTTAATCTTTCCTCCCATCTCAACACGTCCTAAGTTCAATAACATGCATCTATTATCTCGCATCACCTTAACACAAGCACTCATTGTTTTAAGTTTATATTTGTTTATTCTTTAAGGTTGATGTTATAACATTTTTCATAATTAAAATGTAGATTGATGTGAAAGAAAATGTGTGCATTGAACACGATTGGTTACATTCTAAGAATTGTACCTCTAAAAACC